TACATACATTCTCAAACCTCGACGTCCCCTCCCTTTGCTTTTCCCTCTCGCTTACTCGCACACAAGCTCTCCTTATGTAACCCTCCGGAAGGTGTCATGGTAATATTTACTCTTCAAGAGGGGAAGGGGGGTCTTGGCGTCGTGACTAGGACATCGCCTTGCGAATGTCACCCTTTGAGAGGTAAGGCTGTCCCAGGGAATACGATTCCCCCTCCCCCCCCCCCAATCGAGGCTAGCCCAATCATCATAACAGTTAGATGACCCTGTGTGCCCCCGATACACCCCATAGAAGCTGATTTTCATCGACAAGCCTCGTACTGTCTCACTACTCCTCGCTTACGTCCAGTTCAAGATAAATTCTCAATCACGTCAGCAGTTCTATCACGCTTATTCTTAAAGACTTCAAAGCCGTGCTCCGCCCCCCAGGGTGCGTGTCGCCGCCGTGTTGAGGTTTCTTCGTGGGTTGTAACCATCTTCTCCTCTTAGCGCGTTCTCCGCACAGAGCGACCGTCACAACGCGAAGGATGAGACATCCGCAATATATTGCGGTCTCTACCGTGGTAAGGCGTACCCAGCTGAACCGAGGCCTGAGCGGAATTTTCCGAACATCGTCGACCAACCTGCCAATCCATCCTAGCCCGGAGACCTAGCGGGGGAGGCGAGGGGCCGTACGCAACGAGAACTCATCGACGTATGTCACTTGAACATTCCACATAGTTGGCCTAGACCTGGACACGCGGCCGTTTGACATCCCACGGACCTGGAATCTGGAGACGACTTCGCGGCAGCTATGAGCCAGCATCGGCTCTAGGTGACTTTTCTGTTTCGCCCGCCGTCTTGGCTTGGGGTAGGACGAACTGACGCTGGTGATCCGTCTTCACATTCAGCGCCGGAGTCTACATAGGTACCCGTTACCTAGCCGAGGCTGCCCGATGTGCAGGTTATTGCTGAGCACGCGAACCTGCGTGCAACCTGACCTCGGGCGACGCCTATGCTAGCTTGGCCATCTAGCGACCAAAATTCCCTACCCCCCTCACACTCTTTAGGATATGCTGATACTGCGCACAGATTTGATCGGACAGGCCAAACTGCGATGCTCAGCGTCGGGACCCAGAACCCTCGCCCTCGTCGTTTCGGCTTATTAGTTCACTCCCGTGGTGCCGCTCGCTCTCTTGCCTGCCGCAAGGCGACCAAGCCCCTTTCTGCATCATGCCGAGGGGGGGGAGGGGGGTTGTAAACGGCCGCTCTGTAGCTGCCGTGCGACGTCGAGGCCATCCTTGTCCCGTTCGCCTATCTACTTACCTGACTCCGTTGCTTCCGAGACAACGCGGTATCCTTGAGCGGGCATTGTTTGGTATGTTGGCTCCCCTCGCGCGCGTGCTTGCCCACCTACTCACCGTACATCCTCAAAAAGCCCTCTCATCTTGTCTACTCGCTTCCTCGTAGCCCCTCGACGCCTCTCGCCGGGCAGGGAGAGCGTCCTCTCGCTTTCAACCCCCCCCCCCCCCCCCCCGTTGCTAGATAGTGGCCCGCGACATATTGGCTGGTCGGTAGGTAGGCATATCTAGCTGACCTGCCTACTAACGTATGTGCCAGCCCTCATGGCCGGGTTGCCGTGCTGCGTGTAGCCGTACCGCGGGCACATATCTACGTCCTTCTGTCCAACGCGCGTCGAGGGAGGCTGCACGCCGCCCGCGAATACCCATCTGACCGCCTTTTCCCCATGCCAGGCGAGGTAGATTTTCGTAGCCTCGGTATGAGCCCTGGGCATCTCGGGGACGATGACCGGTCGTCGCGAAATAAGTGGTGTGGTGAGACGGCCGAGGTTGTGCATGCGGTAAGGCGGGGAGGTCGTGTCGTTTTTGTTTTTTTTTTTCCTAAAAAAAGCCAGCCAATCCTCTCTTCGGCCTGCCTACATAACTTGCCCACCACCGAGCTCCCAGGCCTTCTCCTGCTTCTCTGCGAGATTATTTATTTTTGGGTGTGGCGCCGAGGGCGAGGGACGGCACGGGAGAGTGGGCTGAGGCGCGTGAGCCCAGGCGCGATATGCATGTATTGCCTACTTCGGCGGAGTTACACCTCGTCGGCGGTGAGAGGTTGGGGGCCGTCAATGCCTTCTAGCCTGCTTGTCGTCTGCTTGCCTCCCCCTTAATACTACCCGTCGCTGGTGAAACGCGAAAGTGGTAGGTACTTGCCATTGAGGACGGGCGGCCGCATGCTTGACGATCGGATGGGTTATACACCCCCTCCCCCACAACCTCGCCGTTGCGAGTTTCGACCCGCCTACACGTCCGCATGACTTACGCGGCAGGTAGGTATCTTGCGGCTGAATACTTACGCATGTATGCACTTGTCCTCTTCTATCCTTCCATTTGTCCCCCTGCGTGCTGTGCTATCTGGCGCGGGTGACTGTGCCGTGTCGTCTCGCCCCCTCAAGTAGAGTGCCGTCGACGTCTCCCGACTTGGTGCGCTCTCCCTATATTCACAACTCGGCGCCAATGATCGTTGCTGGGGTAGGTTTGCCGCACACGAGAGATGCCTGCGCGCGCGCGCGTTCCTACGTGTTCTCCCCCCTTCTCCCTCCCCCATAGCGTCTTGCAGCGTGTTCTCTGGGATGGGTGCCTTCGCGGTCCGTGAGATGAGAGAAATCATTGGGCATACCTACGGTATACCATGTTATGTCACCCGAGAGCCGAGTCCTTGGCTTTGATCTGCGGGCGGACCGTATAACCGCGATCTACAGAGCCTAATTAGGATGTAAACCTATTGCCGGTTTGGAGTCAGTCGGACATCGCCCCTCGGAACTGGCGATGCGGGAATGCCGCTCCTATTTTCTCGTTGTGCGACCCAAGGCGATGTTTGGCGGTGAGACAGGATAGGGGCGCGACGGAGAGAAGGGGACGGCCACTCGCTCTCCGCCACCTCGTGTCGTGATTATATAGTAGCATCCAGACAAGCCTGCGTGTCATGAGAAACCCCCTGCCGTAAGTTGCCCTCATAGCCGTAGGCTACGAAAAGTAAGCAACCCGTCCACGCATCTACCGTCGCGAACATAGACAGCCCGGTCCGCTGCGGGAGTTGGAGAGGAAATGCGGCAGAGACGAAAACAAACTCGAAGCTGCTGGTGATCATAGCCGCCGAAATGTGCATACAGCACGCTTCGGCCATGGACTCCTAAGCCTCTGCCTCGCAGCCTCGCCGCTGCCGAGGACATACAAAATAGTACAGCACCATTGCCAATCAGTCGATCGACCGTCATCCAACTTCTCTCGTCTGTCCAGCCTTACAAACCTGATCTCTGCTAGCTGGCCAAGCGAACGGGAGCAAACACCAGCGTCACCATCATAAACACCAACAAAACCTACTGCGTCACCTATCATGGCGTTCTCCCTCCAGCCCCCCGACCAGGTAGTCCACAAGAACAGCTATAGGGGCACGGTCGGATCTAGCTGCATCCCTAACCCTCTCTCTCTCGCCGGCCATCCCGCCCCGAGCCGGAACCCGCCCTCGTTCCGCGTCATGGCCATGAACAAACTAAGCCAGAATCGAACGTTCGTCGAGGCGGTAATGTTGAAGGGTCACTATGAGGGAGAGAAAGTGAGCAGTGGGGACGTTATCGCCACCGGAATGCCCGCTCTCGCAACGATGGAAGAGCCTTACACATCGTACGGCACTGCCGGGTCCACTTTCATGGGGTCGGCTGAGCATCTAGGAGGGCGAGGCGCGAAGTAGGGAGGGGAAGGACGACACTTCCTTTGTCTTTCTTATCTGGCATTAAGCGGTCGTTTCCGACGTGTCGGTTTGTTATGCCGACATTTGGGAATCAGATATAGACGCCTGGCTCTATAGGCGTTGGGAGTATAGGCAGGCAAGCGGATCGGCGTCGACATTTGGCATGCTTTGATCGCGCTGTGTTAGCAATGAGATTCTGTATTTGGGGGGGGGGGGAGTTAGTACGACAGGGCCGCCTAGTGTAGAGCCATTGCGGATGGGATTACATGCACAGTCACGGTCACGGCGGAGCGATGAAGAGTAGAGTCTAGGTTACCGGCTTCGTCGTTCGTAACTACATCCTCGAGCATCCGTAGATCCAGGTAGAGCAGTTAGGATGGCCGATCGATCGGCTATTTGGCCGACTGAGAGGTCAAGGGCGTCATGAGGACCTCAGCTACCCGTGCTTTATCATAGGGAGACGAAATCATGCCGCCCTAGCAAGGAAACCCTTCGGACACCTCAAGCCGTGTTAGGTCGCAAACGTACTGGGTATTTAGTCAACAGTAAGACAGAGGGTGCTCGTCCTTGTGATAGCCCTTATGAATTGGAAGATTCCAGACAGTCGTAGAGAGAAGTGAAACAAGTCCATACGATGTGAGGATAAATGGGCTAGAAGGCGGCAATAAACAACTCGAGTAAGGGTAGGAAGATATTTAACTAGATTCTTGAGCAGAGCTACAGCGCTACCCAGGAGTGGGTCGATAGAATGCACATCGCGACACCAACTTGTATAAAGTCAGCGGCGAGCCTCTGGTCCTCTTCTCCCCTTTCTTTCTCTTTATCTTTAGGGCGAGAAATGTGACCTGGGGCACTTCAAGAGCTCAAGAGTATCATTTCGCCGTTCTAGCGATGCAGGCCTGCGTTCCGCTGCCCCCCGTGCTAGACGCTAGACGAGTGACCATGGACTTCCGGGTATTCAAAAAAAGGGGTAGAGGAGCTCCGCGGAGATGTGGTCGTCGGGGTGTCCACTTATTCGGCGTTCGGGTCACGGAGTCAGGGGGGCTTGCGTAAATTTAGTCCGCCACTCTCGACTCAACCCCTTTCGGGATTACTGTTACTCAATAAGACGCCAGGTAAACAGTTAATTGGCCATCTTGTCTCTTACATCCTTGAGACGCCATGGATATCTTAGTCACGGACTGTCGCCATCCTCGCCTGGGCTTGACCCTCTGGCGGGGATATTTCGTAATGACACCATAGTCCTGTGGAGGAGGAAGGGAGGCGAGAGGTGAGGAATAGCTTGGCCCGGGCTCGTCGTCTTGCGAAGGCTAGGATCGATATAAGCCTTGCTGTCCACTGCTAGCATGTCCCCGGGCCTTTAGCTTTATAAAAAGAACTCTCCGTGATACGAGGTAACGAGACGACCAGGAAAGCGCCCCGACACCTGCGTGCTCTCGACATCGAGGAGTCGTGAGTAGCTTGGCCAAGGCCGCATATCCAGATGCCTTTTAATCCGTCAAAATGGCATTTCGAAATCGACGGCTACCTTAATCCTTGGGTCCCCTCTGCCCCATGGAAGCATCTGTCGCCTCTCGTCTCCCGCTTCATGGGCCACAGGTCTGAGCACCAACGGCCGCTGGGGAATCTCTTCATGATCTTCTGGGCGTTCATCGGCGTCTTCTGCTCTTTGACCATCATCGAGGTCGTGGGCCGCGCGATCCCCTCCTTCGAGGAGCGCGGCGCCCCCATCATCATCGGTAGCTTTGTGAGTTCCCCCGGTGTCAGTCCCTCCTTCTTCCTCCGAGATGGTTTGATCTCTGGGTTCACCGCACGATGGGGAGGGGGTGAGATGGATAAACAGAGACATATGAGAGCGAGCGAGACGGCTAACACAGACGCTGTGCCAGGGCGCGGCAGCGGTCCTTGAATTCTACGTGATCGAGTCGCCGCTCTCGCAGCCGCGCAACGCCGTGCTCGGGCAGTTCTTCGCGTCGCTCGTTGGCGTCGCAATCAGCAAGCTATTCGCGCTGGGACCGCAGTCGCGCGAGCTGACCTGGCTTGCGGGCTCGCTGAGTTGTGCGTGCGCGGTCGCCGTCATGGCCCTTACCGGCACCGTACACCCGCCAGCAGGAGCCACGGCGCTGCTCGCCGTGGTCGATAGCGGCGTCGCCGGCCTCGGTTGGTTCCTGCTGCCTATCATGCTCCTCGGCTGTGCCCTCATGCAGGCCGTCGCTCTGCTCCTCAACAATGTCCAGCGCCGTTTTCCCGTCTACTGGTGGACCCCGGCGGAGGTTGGGCAGCGCCTCTGCCTCTGCCGCCGAAAGCGGGCAGCTCACCACCAGCACGGCGAGGGAGGGCAGAGCGGCGATGACGGCAGCGGTGGCGGTAGTGGTAATGACAGCGGTAACGGCGATGGCGGCGGGAACGGGGCTAAGCTCGAGATCACCTCGACGCGCCACCTTGAGGAAGGGAGGACCATCGTGGAAGAGTCCCGGCTGATTGTAAGGCGGGGGGGCGTCTCTATCCCCGATGACTTGTATCTGTCACCGGAGGAGAGGATATTTCTAGAGGAGCTTAGCGGGAGGATATGAGAATATAGGTACCTAGATGGTTCTCGTGTGTGGGGTTCGGCGTAGTCTCGTTCAACGTCTGTCTTGATTACCTGCCCCCTTTTCCGGCCTTCTTCCCCGCTTCCCCGTTGCTACCCCCTCTCCCGCGGGTCGCGGTCAACTTGTTGTCGATGGGCGACATGATGGCCAGATCACGGCCGCGCCTATGATGCGACCATTCCTAGGCCAGGGCAGGCGGTGCGAAAACGTTTTGCCAACGCCAGTGATGAGTAGCGAGTAGCTGCTAGGTACGTGCTAGACGGATATGATTATTGTGTGAAGTACGCAACAATCCTACCGGGTCGACGAGCAGGGAGGTCTAGCAGATAAGTATAGATATACGAGTAGCGAGAAATACGGGTCGACGCACCTGGAATATTTAGCATCTCCTCGGAGAAGAGGAGAGAAACCCATCTCCGACAACATCCGCCGCTACCTATCAGTACAGCTACCTTGATCACGACCTTCATACACCTAATCAGTACACCTAATCGATACAACTACATAACCTTGGGTAATCAACACACCTGTCTCCGTCCCAAACGACATCAGACGGGCACGCACTTGGATGTGCCTTACCTACGAGACTACGACCAAGGCACCTACCTACTATCAACACCCCTTCACGCGCTCATCCGCTCAATTGACGCGTCTCCGAAATTGAGACAGCACAGGTGTCGAAGGTGAAAAGCAGGTACCTAGGCACCGAGCAGCCGGGCTCGTATACTCCCTAGGTACCTATATGGAGCAGGCGGAAGGGCGAGATGGAGACGGGCGGCGTCTGTGTCGGAGTGCCTGAGGTCCACCCTAGAATCCCCTAACTGAGGCGCAAATTGCTAGTGCTTAGGTACCTATTTTGCGCACTCAACTCAACTCACCGCACTACAACAACAACACGATACCACCTACAGCATAGCCATCCACATTTGGTCGTCACGTCGTTCATAATCGCCTCGACTTGTGCCCTCGTTTGCTTGACCCCCCTCAGCCCTTATTCCCACACCAGCGAAGGGCGTTCTGGATGAATTCACTCTTGTGCACCGCTAGTCGGATCTACGAGTATCGTTAGCAGGGGAGCTTTCTCGGAATCCACGCCTTCTCCTTACCCGTTTGCCCCAGATGTACAGGATGAACCCGAAGAGGCAGCCGACCCCGTGAATCGCCCCGACCACGAAGTAGACCTGGATCGGCCCCGAGTCGGCGAGCCACGAATTGACGAAGAAGGCGACGGCGAAGGTCATGACCGCCTTGAGTAGCGTGACCGCCGCGTACGCGTCCTGTGCGTACTTGCGGTGGCAATCCAGGAGATAAGTGTTCGAGATGAGCGACAGGATCGAGCCCGAGAACGCAGCTACGCCGAAGAAAAACACAGGCACGAACCAGTGCGCCTTGGCGTTGATGGCCAGTCCGAACCCCCAGTACCCCAGCAAGCCCGTCAGCAGCGCCGGCACACACAGCACATTGCGGAACTCGGGCTCGTACACGCCGTTGTTCCTCCGCGACATGTGGATCACGATCCAGTCCGCCGCCGGCCCGGGGATGAAGTTGCCGAGGATGTTCGCCACGAGCGGCGACAGCACGACCAGCCCCACTGCGCTCGTTGAGAAGTTGTACGGCTCTACTGTGAAGACCTGGGATAAGGTTACGGAGAACGCAGCGGAGAAAGCAACGGCACAGCCGTACGAGTACGCCGCCCAGGACACCCCGGGCAGCAGGAACGTGGCGAATGGGGAGAGAACGGCCTTGAAGTAGTTCTCGTCGCTGAAGTGGCCGTTGTAGACCCTGAGACCTTGCACCCACGACTTCTTCCGGGTTGCTGTCCGGTCAGCCGGCGTTTCCGGATCGAGAACGTTCACGGAGTAGTCGGCTTTCTCAACCGGCTCGTCAAGACTTCCTCCTGCGCTACTGGCCTGGGTCTCTTCGTCGAATAGGACTTCGTGCATGTCGGTGTCGTACTTCTTGGCGCGGGTGTAAGTTGTCTCGGGGGCGAACAAGAAGAGCAGGATAATGTACGCCGACATGAATATAACGCTGGCGGTCCGCTGAGCCGTCATTCTGCTACTTCGGTTCAAACGGGGGCCCAGAATGAAACTTACGCATATCGGAAAGCCCAGGCGTACCCTTGCCCTTGCACGATCTGGCTCGCTATGACCTGGCCCAGAGAATTACCTCCCGCCAGGCCGAAATGCCAGAGGGCGAGGTGAAAGCCCCGCTGGTGCACGAAAAATAGGTCGCCGACGCTGGAGCTAACGAGATACTCGAGACCGCTCTGCGCTGCGCCCCATAACGCGCGCCCGGCATATATATATCGAATATCCTTTGGGCTGGCCAGGACGATGCTGTACCCAACGATTCCTAGAATTCCGAGACCTAGGAATACTAAGTGCCCCGTTAGAGATTGCGCGTCCGTGCCTGCGTATTAGCGTCGTGAGGATAGTATTGCTCACCAGGTCGCTTCCCGTAGATGCGGGCTAGGGGCGTCGTCAAGATGGATGTGATACCCATGCACAGCATGAGCACGCTAACGCTGCGAGAGAGCTGCGATACCGACGTTCCTATCTCCTTCGCCATGAAGGAAGCCGACGGGCTCAGAAAAAAGCATGTTCCAGACGCCAACCCAGTGCCGATGGAGAGGAACCAGCTATGGAAATTCTTCGTGCTTTCCGGCCAATCTACGACTGGTCGTTAGTATCTCAAGAAGAAATGGAGACGAAGACGAATAGCCGAAAAGAGGGGCGAGGAATGGGGGGGCCAAAGGGGGGAATATCTTACTGAGAGGATCGTCGGACGAATCGGACGGCTGAGGGACTAAGACGATGCCTTCATCTTTGCCTTTACCATGCTTGAGGTTGGCAGTAAGAACTCGCTGCTGCTCTGTCCCGCGATCGACATGAACGGTCCCAGGCACCTTTTCGCCGGTCTTTGGTTCGAGAACCCATAGACCCATGATGGGTAGAAGGATTGGCTATTCCTGCGCTTCGGGCTGTCTACTTGTCGAGAAGCCCGCTGCTCAAGGATTACACCCCCTCATAAACTGTGCTTGCATGGACGATATCATGGGTGCAGCAGATATATACTACGTTCATCTCGGTGTGGCTACATTTGCATGGTTACCCTCATGTCCTGTAAGGCATGTGCCACTATCAACCACCCAAGAGAGCCCTAGAGTCGTCACATCACTTACCTAGAACACACACCATCCCCAGGGGGTGATAACTCCCGATCATTAAGCCGAACAACACTTCCTTCCCTCTGGCTTAGTCGACAGCTGATATGGACAGCCGTAAACGAGCATGCACCAGTCAAGCGTGGTGGGGGAATTCCCACTGCGAATATACCATTGCCCCATTGCCACCTTACTGAGATATCAGAGTAGCCGATTCGTTCGCTCACGGAGCGGTAAGCATTACGGAATTGCGCCACCCCAGTTGGACGAGACGGTCAGACACCTAGCATGGACTTCCCCGCCCTCTTCCCACCCCCATACCGAGCGGATTTCGACGAAAGCAGTAATTCCGGGATACCGTAGGCCTGCCCTTTGAGTCAGTTCGGCCGAGTTACGGCGATCCACTCGCCTATACGTCGTGCAGTTTTAATCCCGGCTATTTGGTAAGTATTGGAGGGCCGCTGTCGATTGGTGTGCCGGTTCCATCATCCCAAATTGGTGAGCTCGATTGGCTTGGTCGTCTCGCCCGCGTGGGAGTCGTCCTGCGGAGGTTGATAGAGACGGGTCGTTAAGGTCGTAACTATACCATATTGGTCGTGGATGTTGGCATTGAGCTCGTGATTGGAATAGGGAGAGAATCTGTCGACGCTCTCTTAGCTTAGCCTCTGCGAGTATGAAGCGTGTCGGGTGAGCCGTCGTCGTGTAATGCTCTGCTGGACCAAGGAAACCTTACATTGCGACTTGTGCGTTGTTCATTTCGTAAATATTCCCACTGCCCCATTTCAAAAAACCCTTAAATAGCGATATGTGTACGCGGATGGCACCGGATAAGACTTTTGCCTTGGATATATATAACATATATTTAAGTGTTCGATCGCAGGCTGGGTGAATCCACCAAACTATGACCTCCGTGTAAATCGCCTTAGATGACCCCTTATTCGCCTAGGCGAAGGATAGGGTGGTGATCCTTACTGGTACGGGCAATCGATGAACTCTTGTCGATCTAGGCGAGCGAGTACTGATTTATTTGTCTCTCGTTTAGGCGGTGCGTCGGGAATCGGTAGCATAACGTAGGAATGATACTTCCTTGTAGTATCGATGTACTGGTTCGCTGACGGACTTCGTAGAGTGAGGTTGCTTTACCGGTTGGGAGCGAAAGTTGCCTTTCTCGATGTCAATGGCAACGAGGGTGAAAAAGCTAGGAAAGGAACTGGGAGAGTCCGTTAATCTCATCTCCTTGGTCTAAATAAAACAGACTGTCTCTAGAAATAGGCTAACCACGGATAATTTACTAAACAGAAACGTCCAATTCTTCCCCGGGTCCGTCCCGAACTGGGATGAGCAGTTAAACATGTTTGAGAAAACTCTTGCGCGGCATGGTCATATCGATATCGTGGTGGGAAATGCCGGTATCGACGAGGTTGTCGAGGATGCTTTCGTGGATCGTCTCGACTACAACGGCTGCGTTCAGCCGTCTACCCTCATCGTCCTGGATGTCACCCTGCGCGGCGTCATATACACGACCAAGCTAGCTCTCAGCTTCTTCCGTCGTCAGAAAAACCCGGAAACCCTGGTTCTGACCGGATAGGCTGCTTCGTATCTCGACACCCCGGGAATCCCCATCCATAACGCAGCGAAACATGGCGTCCTCGGCCTAGTACGTTCTCTGCGCGACAGCTTGAAGACCGAAGGGCTAGTTCGCGCCAACGTCGTCGCGCCAGCGTTCACGCAGACTCGCTTTACCCAGCATCTTCTCGAGACATGGCGGGCCAACGACTGGCCTATAAACCAGCCAGAAGACGTCGCGAGAGCGATCAGCTTCCTTGCCCTGAATCCCGATTATCACGGAAAGACACTCTACATTGCTGCCGGGACGTACACGGAGCTGGAGGACCCGATCCAAGCGTCAAGAGAGACATGGCTCGGCAAGCAGAATACGGCATGGGTCGATTCGCGGAAGGCGAAGGGGGTTAGATTAGGGAAGCAGGACAGAGATACCACTGTTGGCTGATAATATTACTAGCATTGCCTACATAGGCTTCGATATTAGACGGATGGGGTTCGTCGGCGAGGGCTCAGTAAACAACTGTTCTTATCTCTATGACGCCTCATCTACAACTGAACACACCAGTAGGGGGGAGATGTAATTATACCCGTGGAAAACCTGAGCGTTTCCTGATCCTGCTACGGCCAGATCGCGAAGCTGTCTGGAGGTTCGACAGTTTGCGAATAACGGAGCGGTTAGAAACAACGCGGCGGTCTTGGGCCGGCCTGGTAAGTGGGCGAGGCCCTTTGCTCGCTAACGTAAGCGAAGATCGAGGAGTATAGAGAAGGGATTTAGGACGGAAGATTTCGACATCCTCATAGGCGATGGCGCACACGTGCCGGTCAGGCCGTACACGCCATCCGAGCACATGATCGACCCAGAAAGCATCCACGTGGAGGGACAAGCGCGGGTGCGACGTTGGCTCTCGCGACCGCGTTGCGGGCACTTGACACGGTTAGCTGAAGAACGAAAGCTGCCCGGGGTGGAAAGGCGGTATTGGACGAAGCTGACACGTGAGGGAAAAACAAGAGCCCGAAATCCATGCCGTCAAGGGGTTGATCCCCATCGTCCTGGCTACTGTGCATCCCGATCACTTCCCCGTCGACGCAGTGAGGGACGGCTTCACCTCGCTGGAGCTGAACGCCGACGCACCGTTCATCAACGCAGCGAAATTAGCAAAGTTCGCCCAGTTATACCAGCCTAACGCGATATATCCCCGGTATTCGCTACTACTCCTAGAAAAGATCGCGTTTTTAGGCCTTTGCCCTACTGCGTTCCACATAGCATGCGATAATGTTATCGATTCTGTTACATGCTATGTGTGCCCCCATCGGCCCATATACGAGACCCTGTTATGTAGCCGCCTGCGGAACTGGACAAGAGGACAGCTACCTCCTTGAAGTCTTGCGGCCTCCCCCATCGCCCAGCCGGGATAGCAGACACGATCCGATCGCTGAGCTCTCTATTCTCGACCATCTTCCGCGACAGAGGGGTATCGATCCACCTGCGCCGCGCGTCAGCAGCCGTTGCGACAGCTGACTACCTCCCGGGGAGAGAGGCTGGGGAGGGGAGGGGCCGTTTCGGCCGCTCACCCGGGGTACAGGCAGTTCGCCTGGATGTTATACACGGCGAGCTCGTCGGCCAGCTCGTTGGTGAGCTCGCCCATGGCGGCCTTGAGCGGGCCGTAGAGGGAGAAGCGCGGCGGTCCTGCCCGCGAGGCCGAAGGCGCCGGCGTCTTGGTGTGCTCGCCGTGGCAGGCGTTTGGGACGGGTGGGGATCGGGAGACGAGGCCGTACTGGCATTCGCAGCGCTGCTCTGCGGCGCTCGCCTATTCTCGACTTAACCCCTGCGACCCTTTTTGGGGTGTGTTGCTGTCGATCCTTTGTTCAGGGGCTGTTTTATTTCACCCGCTCCAGGGGTACTCGGCAATACTTGTTTGAGCTTAGCGCATACGACTTCGTTATCGCGAGTAGATCTGGAAGGCTGACCCTTTTATCTCTTCTATTCCCGTGTGGTTTCCAGGCGCGTTAGGGATGGTGAAGCACCCATGGGGAACAGTGACATTCACGAGCATATCCTGGATTTCAACATGATGCATTGGTGTGGCGCAATCGCAACTCGCCAGATGTCAGTACCATCGGCGCCGTTTCTGCTTCTGGGCTGGGGGTGGTCCGAGGGGATGAGGGGGGGGGGGGGGGAGGATTCGTTGTTAGAGCGAGTTGAAATATGAGGTCATGCTATCTACCTCGAGTCTGATATCCCATTCGCATGCGCCGAAACTCTTAGCGGTGGCGCCCTTATTTTCCGAAGGGTTTCACCGTCGCTCGGTCCTGTTCAGTTTGGCCTACGCTAAGAACTTATATATACGCGTATGGAGACCTCAGGGACAAGATGGTAGACCGAGATCTCGAAGTGCCCGCAGACGCCCCTCGAGGAGACACTTTCAACGTGGTCGTCGTCGGCGCGGGGATCGGGGGTCTTCTGGCAGCCGTCGGCCTGCGCCTCGACGGCCACCATGTGATCTTGCTGGAGCAGGCCTCGTCGTTTGGCGAAGTCGGGGCCGGCATCCGGATCCCGCCTAATAGCTTCAAGATACTTCACCGCTGGGGCGTCGACCTGACGTATATGAAGAAGACCTATTCCAACGGCAATCGCTTCTTGCGATACTCCGACGGGGAGATTCTTGCAGACATGCCGCACGGGGTTCCCGAATGGGATTTTGGCGGCAGCTATCTCATGGTCCACCGAGCTGATTACCACGCCGTTCTGTTGGAGAAGGCCAAGTCGCTAAACGTCGACATAAGGGGTGGGAGCAAGGTGGACGACTACGACTTGGATGCACCAGCTGCCATCTTAGAGGGGGGGGTCTGCGTCAAAGGGGACTTGATTGTGGTTGCTGATGGTAATCTAATTAATTATCTTGACGTGTCCTTCTGCGATATTGTGCTGCAAGATTCCGGAAGCGAACAGCGAAGCTGACTTATATCCCTAGGTGTACAAAGCAAGGCCCGGCCTCTTTTTCATGGCCGTGAGCTCCCGCCCACCGACACCGGGGATGTTTCTTATAGGGTGCTCATCCCTGGGCAGGACATTCTAGCGGATCCGGACTTGAGAGACCTCGTCTCCCAGCCTTGGGTGTCATCCTGGTGCGGGCCCGAGGCTCACGTTGTCGGGTATCCCATCCGTGGCGGAGAGCTCTACAATGTGGTATTCTGCTGCTCGCAGAAGTCTATGCGCGATCGCCCGTTTGATATTGGCGAGAACAAGACGGTCATCACCGACAACCGCGAGCTGATCAGACGGTTCGCAGGCTGGGAGCCGAGGGTCAAGAAGATTACCGACTTGGCAGGACAGGTAAATCTTTCGGGATTTCGTCTTCGAGGCTGGCTGGCTGCTTACATTTGTAGAACATTTTGAAATGGCAGTTGTTCGATCTCGACCTAGTAGATCACTGGGTGCACCCGTCTGGGAAAGCGACGCTGCTCGGCGACGCGGTTCACCCTACGCTCCCCTATATGGCGTCGGGCGCCGCGATGGCTTGCGAGGACGCGGCCGCTTTGAAGCAAGCGCTCCGAGGGGCTACCCGAGAAACGCTCACCTCGGCGCTGTCGAAATACCAGGAAGTTAGACAGCCGCGGGCTTCGGTTGTCCAGAAGGCGGGGAGAACACTGCAAGATGCTTACCATCTGCACGATGGGGAGAGGCAGAGGGAGAGAGATTACTGGATAACCAAGGACGACCCCAAGAACCCGATTTTCTGGGGCTGCAAGGAGAGGCGAGGGTGGCTTTTCGGTCACGACGCAGAATCCCTTTAAAATAGATTGTTATTTGTCTACCTATCATTGATACCGAGGTCCGCCCACCGTTGCAATGGTATCAGGGAAATTGTAGATATTGTGTAGTTACGTGCCTAAGTAATAAGCAGGTGTGTCGTATTTGCACGTCCTTATATTGGTGGGAATTCTGCTCGACTGAGACTCATCGCTACCACCCATTAATGGTAACGTTCCATGCTACGTGGCGGCTTGGATGATCTGCGATTTGGAGACTAGAACTGGGCGGCACGAGAGGGAGGAAATGCAATGCGAAGTCAAGTTATCTGGCTGACCCCCTGGCTAGCTCCGCTGCTTCGTTCTGACGAAAAATGATCATGTATTTATGAGGTCGTGTTATTTACAGACCCCTTAACCTGGAGGCCTTGAGCCTCGGTTACTACTGAATATACCAGCCTAGCGGTAACCCTTTCGCTTCCTTAGTAGACCTCCCGTCTCCGAAATACGTGAATCGGTTCCTGGACTTGTACTTGAAGATGAAATCTTCGTACCTGGGGTGCTTGATGATCTCTAGGAAGTGGTTCACCGAGCCTGGCCATGGCCCGATAACCGGGCCATCCACCATCCCATTCTTGTACCAGCTCGTACACGAACCGCTCCATGACAGGCCCTTCATGATCTCGTTTTTCCATTCGTTGAACTCGGCTGCCGCCTCATCACTCACCGCTGCCGACGTAACGCCTTCTTTCTGAATTTTCTGTACGAACGTAAGCGCGTAGTCGAGCAAATGCTCCATGGCAGTCACCAAAGACCCGTTACTTATGGGCGCGTTGGGACCAAGGATCGTGAAGTAGTTCGGGAAGCCGGGAACAGCGACCGATAGGTACGCTGCTGCCCCTTCTTCCCTCCACTTGTCCTGTAGATTCACCGTGCCCGTCCCGATAATGGGAAACCGGGGGACGAACGAGGTATCGTATCCCGTCGCGGTAACGATAACGTCTACCTCGTGCAGCTGTCCATCGTTGCTGATGATGCCACTAGGGACGACCTTTCGGATGCCCGTGGTGACCACCTCGGCATTCTCCTTAGTTATAGCCTCAAGGTAGCCATTTCCAGGCGTCACGCTATCGTGGTTGAATCAGCAGCGGTTTCCGAGGCCAAGGCCATCCGGGACTGTCACTCACCGTCTACAACCCAGTTCGAAATTAGGAATGAGTTTTTTGCACAGTATTGAGTCGTTGTTCAGTCGCTTTCGCATGCTCTCGGCAACTGCTGCTCGATCCGCCTTTTGAGCTTCGGAGTACTTGTAAAACGAGGGGAAATGGGCATTCATGGTGTGCTCGACAACTCTCCGGTAGTCTCTCAGTTTCTCGGGGTGGTTTCGCCACTCCTCTTTCTGATCCGCCGTGTACACAGTGTCGCGCCCGTGTTCTGCAAGCTGTCCGGCAAACTGGGGCGCGATCCAGTTGGGTGACCTGTTGAAGGAGACAAGCTTACTGACGACTGATCGGTGGAGATGCACTCAGCGTCGTGCAAGCCCGAGAGGCAATAATAGTGAGGCAACGGAGTGACTTACTGGGCTGTAGCTGAGGTACAAGCTGGATCCCCGACGCGCCGGATCCGATGACTGCCACCCTTTTCCCTTTCAACGTAATGCTGCTATCCCATTTCGCAGTATGAAGTACAGGGCCCTGGAAATCATGAAGACCTTCGATATCAGGCCACTTCCAGTTACTACAATCTTAAGTCAACGGCTGACCCTACAATATCCCCTGTCATCCCTTTTCAAAAGGAAGAAAACAGCATTTCTTACTCCAGCGGGCCCCCTCCGTTCACCAAGACCTCGGCTGTGTCGGTGAAGCGGTGTCCCGCCGCCAGGTTGTCGACTTCGACGGTCCAAAGCTGGCTCTCATCGTCCCACTTTGCACCGACTACTTTGTGATTGAACTTGGTATGCTCATAGACGCCGTACTCCCTGGCCAGCTTCTGATACCATTGGCAAATCTCTTCGCCGCTGGCGTAGAACCGGCTCCAGTCGGGATTGGCTCTCCAGGTATAACTGTAGCCGTGAGCCGGCACATCACAGGAGACGCCAGGATAGCGGTGCTCGAGCCAGACGCCACCGGTATCTGCGTTCTTCTCGTAGATGGTGTAGGATAGTTTTTCGATCTGATTTGCCTTGTAGGCAAATGCGATCCCAGAAAGGCCCGCGCCGATAAAGATAACCCGGGCGGGTTTTGGCTCATTAACATGGCTCGCCCCAACGATGTCGCTTTCGTTGCGCGGCAATAGCGCACTTCGTTCAGGGGCTGTGAGCAACCTGGTCGAGATACCATTCGTCCCATTGATGGCGGCCATTGTGTGCAGTGTTGATCCTTGCTGACAACAAATCTATCAGAAGCATTCCCTGAGACGCGCTGCCACGGGCGTTCTGTACGTCCCGGGGAGCCAGCATAATAGGTAGAATACTAGTAGTGTTTGGAGAAGTAGTGAGCTGGAGGAGGATTGAGACCTGTTAGGTGATCGATTCTCTGCGGACTCTCGCCATCCACCAGATCTGGGTCCGACGCGATTCGCTCCCCATGCAGCCATAGCTCTCTTACGCTCCGTCTCGCCTCGCGCTCGGGATGGGGTATCCGCCGTCGGTGATCACGCAAATTCCTCATTACATTTGCTCAAGCAACCTGTTGCCCTCGATGTCGCCGACCTGGGAGCGCCCACAGCCTCGCAGCTGTGGGGAGACGAGTGAATCTCCGTCCCTGTATCTATATCCCTGTAGGGATCGCCTGGTATTACATACATACTACCTACCTACCTAGGAGGGTCTTGTCCTACGTGGGCTTTCCCGATGAAGCATCGCCGAAATGCTGGAGGGACAAGGATTCTTAGCCGGACGCGGCGATGGTGTGGCTGTTTCCCCGGATATAACTGGATATAAACATCTCTCTGCACGAGATACGGAGCCTACTGGGGAGCTGAGGCACTAGAATCTTCGCCAAGGACTAGTAGCGCGAGACGAAGCGACGGGGTAGGGTATACTGGTGATATATCTGGCGCTAGAACGGCGTCGTCGTGTCTAGTTGTCGGTAAGTCAGTGGCACCCTGTGAGGCAAACCCGCCTCTTATCTGCCGGCTTTTTTTGTCCTGTTACACTCGGGAAACGATATATCTTAGTGTCGTCAGGGCCTCGTCCAGTGAGCTCTGTGCGGCGATCGTACGGGTTTGGGGGGATTACATACATAGTTGTAACGTCTCTATATGCGGAGACCTGATAGAAACCCTTAATTTATTGTTAAGCGCCCTGTAAATGTAGGTAGGTATCTATCGAGGGCTCCAGCAAGTTAGAGAGCACGATAATGGGCTTCGTAGAGTCGGCCCTGAAGTCAGACGTATGATTATTAATGGCTACGATGTCGCTGAGCCATCATTCGCTAGTGTTACCAAAGCCGGCTATAAGCGGAGCTCCTAACGATGTAACCTAAGGTACCTACCATCTATTATAAGTGGTGACGGGATGAAACCAACCAGGACATGGCGGCGTGTTATGGGGGCTACGACCATACGATGCGCTAAGGTAGCCCTGCCAACCTTAACTGGGAATAAGAGGGGGGAGTTGTCGCTCGTGGCGGCGGAGGGCTGATCATGGAGTCGAAAACTGTGAAGTAAAGAGCACTTTGGCGAAGAGAGGGCGAGGGTTCGTTGATGTTAGGGTTCTTAACCTTAGTTGCTTTATAGAACCTCTGTGCGGCCATTTGGTTGGTGCCCTTATGGTTTAGTAGGGCAGGGTTTTGAGACAGGCTCGAGCGCCTAAAGTGAAAATGGCAAATAGAAGTAAAAGACCGGACACTCTATTGTTGGCGAAGCCGGATAGGAACTCAGCTTAGTTGATAACTAGTTCTGTTAAGCGTACCTGCGAGAAACGGGTTTCGATGAGCTCTGCCATGATCCTAACGTGGGGCGATGGCGAAAAGCCGGCGCAGGTAGCCCTAAGTTGTGTTGGGCGTAGGCTTTAAATCTCTGCATCGGGACACGCTATGCTGCGGTCTCTTGCGCATCTAGCGACGCGGGGTCGGGGAAGGCTGGCGGAAAGTTTCATTGACCGTAGTTATTGTCCCCAACATCTACCTCGCGGCCTTCCTCGAGATTCGCCGTATTCTCCCCCGTGCGCCTAGAACAAGGCGATGGGTAAGTCTCAACTCCATTTGCATTGCTGCCTGAGTCGAGAGCTGGATTGGGCCTGGGAATATTGCTCACGGGCTGACCGTGGATAGGTTCCTGGTCCAGATCCGGTCGTGATGACTCCACCATCACTGGAGGGCTGGCTTCTAAGGTAGGTATGTTATCCTTTGACTTGTGGTGTTGGCTAGGACGTTAAAGGCGCGGCGGTGGGCTGCTAACATACTCGGAAGGCAACATGAGTTGGCCCTGTCGTCTCGACGAGCTTGGATGGGTAGCGGTGGGACGTGGCAACCCGCTCGCTACTCTTAAATAATTTTCCTCGTCGCGATTCTGCTCTGGATGAACTTGTTCTTCGCAACCGCGTAGCGGACCTAAATTTGGGTGTAAGCGCGACGAGGCCTTCCGCACCAGCCAGGGGACTTGCCTTCTTCCCGAAAAAGTAGAGAGCTATTCCGATGATACAGCTGAGGCCGTGGAGGAACCCGATCCAAAAGTACACCACCTTGTACCCGTCGCGTGACAACCAACCGTTGATGACGAAAGTCATGGCGAACGAGTATACGCCGCGCGTGATCGTGACCGCTGCGTAGCCGTCTTGCGCTTGGGGCCGGTGGCAGTCGAGCAGGTACGCATTCGAGATGAGCGAGTTGATCGACCCCGCAAAGACGGAGAGACCGTAGAAGAATACCGGAACCATGAAGTCCGACTTTCCCTCCAGTGATAACCCGAAGCCCCAGAACCCCATCAGGCCGAGAATCAGGGATGGGACCGACAAGATGAGCCGGAATTCCGGCTCGTACACACCCTTGTTTTTCCTAGAGAGAAACTTCACCAGCCAGTCGCACACAGGGCCGGGGATGGCGTTGCCCAGAGTCGCGGCGATGAAGGAGGAAAAAGCCGACAGCCCGACTTGCGAGGTGGTAAGGTTGTACGGCGGCTTCGTGAAAATTTGGCCCAGCGCTACTGAGAAGGACGCGGAAAAGGCGACGGAACAGCCGTAGGAGAACCCGGCCCAGCTGACCGCCGGAAGCATAAACGCAGTCCACGGTGTGAGCAGAGAGCGCACGGGTGACTCGTCGCTAAACCTGCGATTGTAAATCTTGAGGCCCTGCCAGTAGGATATCGGCGCGTCCGAAGAGCCCCCCCCCTCGAAATCTCGGACCTCTGTTGTCACGGGGTTGCTGCTCTTCTGGCTGGCAACCCTATTATTATCCGACTTGTCGCCCGAGCCTCCACCTTCGAGACTACTATTTTCTGCCACTTCCTCCTCGATATCGATGTCAAGCCAGTGCGGGCGGTTGTACGTAGTCTCCGGGCAAGTGAATAAGTATATGATGGTGTACAATGCGAAGGCGATGATTCTTGTAGGATATACCTAGGTGAGCTCGCGCCTGCATCAACAGTAGAGGCGTGCTCGCTTACGTATAGTAGAACGGCCAAAGCCAACCCTGCGCAGCTAGTATCTGCGTTCCGATCACCTGGCCGATAGCATTGCCTCCCGAGAGAGCGTAATGCCACAGCGCCAGGTGGACCCCACGCTCGTGGACGAAGAATAAGTCGCCGACACTGGAGCTGACTAGATATTCCAGCGGCGAAATTCCCAATCCGTGGATCGCTCGCCCGACGTACAGTGCCGTAAGATTCCCCGGCTTAGAAACGGCGATTACGTATCCGATGGTAGCCAGGGCGTTGCCGACTAGGATGACGGGCCGCTTACCCCAGATGCGAGCAAGAGGGCTTGAGAACACCGCACTGATTCCCAGAGTTAGCAAGACAATGCTGACGCTTTGCGATATGGTAGATATGTTGGTCTGGAACGTCTTCGCGAGCTGAGAATTTGCGGGGTTGACGAAATTGTGAGTTCCCGCCATTAACCCGGTGCCGATGCTGAGGAAGATGGACGTGTAGAGCTTCCTAGCCCGAGACCAGTTCAAAGGATCGTTCGGGGAGTCGGAGGGCTGCGGTGCGAGGACGATATCCGCATGGCGTCCCGTTCCATGCTTCAAACGAGACCGATTCCGGAGGCGTCTCCCGGCTTCCGCTTGTAGATGGACCGTCCCGGGGACGGGCTCGTCCGTGTGGGGCTCTAGGATCCCAAGACCCATGTTACGCACCGCGGCGCTGGGGTATCTCACGAGGTTGACGACAATACTAGGTGATTAGATTCGAAGACAATATGTCCAGATATCTAACGTCCATACACCACCTACAGTTTCCATTTCGACGGAGCTTTATAAACGGGCTACCAGCAGAGGGTCTATTTCGTTATCGGCAGTCAAGAAACCATTGGCAATCCGCCTAGAGTTATCAGTGACTGGGAATCAAGCTAACGAATACGTTGGTAACACAAAAATGCGGCAGAGGGATCCCGAGGGTTGTCGTGCGTCACGGACCCCCTGAATTGCGCAATAGACCAAAGGCGGGAGAGCTCTCGGGGTCTACCCAGAACCCTTGGTGCATAGCAGAGGCAAGATAAGAAAATACATAGCAAGTGGTATCCGGAATCTCTCATGCCTCTCCCATTGTGATTGGGTGGCTTATCTTGCAGCTGAGTTCGGACGCTTCTCGACGACAAACTGTATTAAGATCGTTGAAATAATCGCGTGCCTTTTAGCCTTATACTCTCTTACGCAATTCGTCGTGTGTCGGTTCAACTTGGGGATTATGATCTAAACTCTCGTCGACAGCGTGCTAGGTATGTTCGGCCCTTGGGACGACAAGGTCCTCTGAGCTCACTAGACGTTAGCATAAGTCGACATAATAGCGTCCGTGCGTCAAGATGGACAGATATCGTGAAGACGCTGGACAGCGACTGTTCCCCCATATTATAGATGAACTAGGCGAGCTGGAGCCTGGGCGAATATTATACGAGATTCCGACTCAGGATGACATCGACGCCCCTTTCGTAAAAGTCACGGCCCAGGCCTATGCCGACGCCATCAGCCGCGCATCCTGGTGGCTCGACGAGACCCTAGGCCGCGGCGCGGACTTTCCAACATTAGGGTACGCCGGCCCCCAGGATATCCGATATCTCATCCTCGTCGCCGCTGCTATCAAGACAGGGTATAAGATGCTCTTTACATCGCCGAGGAATAGCACGGAGGGTGACATAGCCGTCATAAGAGCTGCCAGCTGCAGTATCTGGTTGGTTCCATCTGAGGGTTCGAATATTGAACGAGTGCTAGGACAGCTTCCTCTGAAGACGGTATCGCTGCCAGACCTTGATTATTTCTTCACCACTGAACGAAGTGCCAAATACGGATACAGGAAAACTTGGGAACAGGGCAGGAGAGATCCGGCGTGGGTTCTGCACACAAGTGGGAGTACCGGGCATCCGAAGCCAGTTGTTAGGTTCCTCGACAGCGTAGCGTCCATCGGGGCTAATAACCTACTCCCTAAGGTCGACGGACGTCCCCTACTACTTCACGACTACTACGGCTCGAGAGTCTATCTGACGTTCCCGTTTTACCATGCGGCAGGGCTTGCCAATGCCATGATGTGGCCCCTCTTCCATGGCACTGCCGTCGTTCTTGGCCCGGACAAGCCCGTCAATCTCGATTTAATGAAGTCGGTGATTGAGCGGGCCAAGCCAGACGCAGTGTTCACCGCACCATATCTCGTGGAAGAAATATCCAGGGATGAAGAATTCCTAGTCCTCATAGGTACCGTTAAGGCATTGGCCTACGGTGGAGGACCAGTGAGTTTGGAAGCAGGGAACCGGATATGGAAGCATACCAAACTCCGTCTTTCCATCGGTACCACCGAGACAGGATGGCTTCCATGCATCGAGACGGACCCAGAGGATTGGAACTACATCCGCCTCCATCCGAACGCTGGCTTAGAGCTACAAGATAGAGGCGGAGGCCTCTACGAACTCGTCGCCATCCGTAAAGCGGAATTAGCGCGGTGGCAGCCTGTCTTCTCGACATTCCCCGAGCTTCAGGAATATTATTTCCGAGACTTGTTCTCGAGACACCCAACGAAACAAGATCTATACAGGTACGAGGGCAGAGCAGACAATATTCTTGTCCTCTTAAACGGTGAGAAAGTTCAACCGAGCAACATGGAGCTCATAATTGGCTCTTATCCACTTGTGAAAGCCGTCGTAATAGCAGGCCACGGGAGATTCCAGACCTCTGCAGTGATAGAAGTCGTAGAACGCGCATACGTACGGGACGAAGTTGGTACCCGCCGTCTCATCGACGAACTCTGGCCCTCGATAGAAGCAGCAAACAGGTCGGCCCCAACGCACGCAAAGCTCTATAGGGATTTCGTCATCATCGCCTCGCCAGACAAGCCTTTCCCTAAGACGTCCAAAGGCACCGTGCGGCGCGGGCTAGCGATTGAGCTGTATGAGAAAGAGCTCGAGCTCGTCTATTCCAGGGATAAGGGATCGCCCACTTTGGACGATCTGCCGGTGCTGGATTTCGGCTGCCCAGATAGACTGCGAACGGGTATAAAGAAAGTTATTCAAGCTGAGACGCAGCTCGAAGAGCTTGGTGACGACGATGACTTCTTCGCCGTGGCGGGTTTGAACTCACTTCAGGTGCTAAGCCTGTCGAGGGCGTTCTCAGCCAGCTTATCCCGGGAGAAGCAAACCCAATCGACCTCTATCAGCGCGTCCATCATTTACAGGAACCCCACGATAAATATGCTAGCTGATGCCTTCATTAGCCAAACGCAAACTTCTGAAGACAGCGCTGAGAAACTGCTTGGTCGGCCAAACCCGTTATCGCGTCTCATATCTAAGTACGTCGACGCCTTGCCGGGATCCACGAGCAACAGGCTTGGCGCGGTTATCAATATAAGACGGGACCGGCTATTCGTGATATTGACGGGGAGTACGGGTTCCTTGGGGTCTTACTTGTTGGATGCGCTAATGAAATGCGACACCGTCGACGAAATCTGGTGCTTGAATCGTTCCCCGGATGCTCCCGCGAGACAGTTGTCCCGGAGTCGCAGTCAGGGGCTGGAGACTGACTTCCAGTCTTACAATGTCCATTTTCGACACGCGATACTCTCGGATCAACTGCTGGGGCTATCAGCGGCCGACTACGCCTACCTGGCCCAGAATGCGACGCATATTATCCGTGAGTGAAGACTCCTTAATTGATTTGTGTTATGTACTAATCGGACTGTTAGACACTCAATGGAAGGTTGACTTTAATCTCACCCTGTCTTCATTCGAGCCACATATCAAAGGAGTCCGAAACTTGATTGCCCTAGCAGTCGAAGGCTCGACCGCAGAAAAGACGACGTCGATCTTTTTCACGTCATCCATCGGCGTCGCGAATAATCCCAGCTCGCCAGGCGTGCCCGTGGCTGAGAAGCCCCTGAGGGATGGGTCAGCAGCGGTGTCAGGATACGGCGAGTCGAAACTGGTAGCCGAACAGCTCCTTCTAGCCGCTCACGAGAAGGATGGACTGAGCGTTACCATTTGCCGCGTTGGTCAGATTGCGGGTCCGGTGCGAGCTGAGCATCGCAGAGGACTTTGGAAACGCAGCGAATGGTTCCCTAGCGTAAGTCTCCGCGTCTGTGTGATGGCGATTTCCTGTCCTTTAGCTAATCAACACTGGCCAGATCGTCGACGCATCGGCTCTTCTGGGGCTTGTCCCCGAGAGCCTGGGACGTAACGACCAAGTTGACTGGATACCTGTCGACCTCCTCTCGTCCATAATCCTTCAGCTCGCCAGGGTCGAACCAGAAGATGGCGCCGAGCATGCGACAGGACCGCAGGTTTTCCACGCCGTCAACCCCCAGAAAACCGGCTGGGGTCAGTCTTTACTGCCTACTGTCGTCTCCCGGCTCGGCACGAGGTCAAAGACAGGGTCTGTCGAGATTGTGCCCCTGGAGAAATGGATCGAAGGACTTCAGAGTGTGGTTGCCTCACCGGACAGCCAGGGCTCAGACATTCTGTCCGCGTCGAAGTTGATCCCTTTCCTGGCCGGCCTGTCACGGTCGAGCGCGGGGCCAGAGTTTGAGACGAGCGAAGCGACTAGACTAAGTGGAAGGCTTCGGGGGCTAGAGCGAGTCGGCTCTGAGTGGCTGGACATCTGGCTGGATCAGTGGGGATATTGAAGGGATAGCTGAAGCCGTTCGGTGTCATCTGGTTTTGCTGAGAGTTGCGGTTCGGATAGAGCCGTCTACGGCCTGGACTCTCTGCCGACATCTAGGATCCGGCAATGGCTGACAAAGCCAAGAAGCTCGGAGTTTCTTACAGCGCACCAGTGCAGAAGCTGGCAACCTATAGGCAACCGAATGTAACCATCGCTTGTTCTCCATGGCGGCGTCTGCTGGCGGGTTATCGAGGTTCGTGAGATGGGCGAAGTGGCATGCAACTGACGAGGAGACATATCGGCATATCGAGTACTAATATACTAGGGGCTCTTGGCGTGTGCTAAAGCAACATCACCTAGCCGGGGATAGCCGGGGACGGACACGGACGGCATGGATGGGGGAAGTCTGCAAGTGTAGTGTATGCGCGCATATGTACATACCAGGTAGGTTATGTCGTTCGATACCAGGAAGCAGGTATAGTAATAGCACGCCAGGTACTTTGGGCGCTTCCGACATCAAGCGGATCTGGTCCGGAGTGTAGGCGCCGACTTGGGTACCGAATGTGCACTTCCAAGGCAAGGTAGCAGGTACCTACCTGCCTTTACTACCTAGGGAGGTACCGAAGATGCCTTATCCCTGGCCCCAGCCCGCCACCGGCTTGTCTCATTGGCCCAGGCCGATTTCTATAATCCTTCTCACTCTGCAGCTCGACTAGATTACCTAACGAGGTAGTTACAGTACGGGTAGGTTGCACATATATGCTGCCAAATTTTTCTAGCTCCTCTCTCTTTCACTGTCGCCTTTCCCTCCCTTCAACCTCCCCCCGTCCCCCCCCTCCTCTTCCCTCCCGCTCTCCTAAAGCTCCCGCCCATACCCTCTCGTAGAGGTCTTATGGTTCGAGACGGAGAGCCGTTGCCGTAGACAACCAATACCCGCGCCCAGCTGAGACGGGTATATCTACCCTCAGCACGCCAGGCCACCTTTGCCCACACAACCTCGGACGGCTCGCGGCTTGAAAAGACTGGCAGCACGCGCCTCCATTGCTTCGCAGTCCCAGTATGGCTTCCGACTCAGCTGTGCCGGAGCATGGCCAGGAACCTGCCAAATCCGGTGTGGAGCCGGATGTGGCAGCGGTTCGCGACGGGGGGCCTGAACCTGCTGCTCGCGTCGAGTACGACGTGGAGAGGGTCGAGCAGGTCTACAGAAAGCTCGATCTCCGCATCATCCCACGTGAGTGAGGCTGCGTGCCACAGCCGCCCGGTGGCAGCGCTTGTGCTAAACCCCCATTCGGCAGCTTTCTGGATCTTGTACTTCCTCTGCTCCGCTATCCGCTCCAACATCGGACTCGCCCAGACTATGAACGCGGATGTCGGACACGACCTGATCACCATGCTCAACCTCTCGTCTAACGACGTGTCCACCGCCCTGGCCCTCTTCTACGTCTCCTACGTCATCTTCGACTGCCCTTCCAACCTCGTCATGAGCAAGCTCAGTCCCCGCGTCTGGATGGCCCGAATCGTCTTCGCCGTCGGCGTCATAGGAGCCTGCTTCGCCGCCGTACAGGCCGCCTGGAGCTTGAAGTAAGTTTCCATGTCCCCCCTCCCCTCTCCCCCCGCTAGCCGTGAACCTCCCCTAACGGTTGGCCAAGGCTGTTGCGCTTCCTGCTTGGTGTGGTCATTGCTGGCATGTGGCCGGGTATGTCCTACTATCTGACCCTGTTCTACCCGCCCTCCCGGACGGGCAAGCGAATCGGACAGTATTTCACCGCCGCGCAGGTCTCCGCCGCCGTAGTCGGGCTGGTGTCTGCGGGATTTCAGCTGATGGATGGCGTGGGCGGACTCGTGGGCTTCCAGTGGATGTTTCTCATCTATGGCCTACTTGCTGTCGTGCTCGGCTGGACTCTGTTGTGGTGGTTACCAGATCGTCCGCTACCGCCAGGGCAGACGAGGCCTCAGTCCGGCTTTGCGAGGTGGCTCCCTCCGACCCCCGAGGCTCTAGAGGGCGAGGATGCCCTGATTCATTACCAAGACCTCAAGCGAGTCTACCACCCAAGGTCCTGGACTGTCAAGGATTTGGGATATGTCCTCGTCGACTGGAGGCTGTGGCCGTTAACCCTGATGTACTTTGGCGTTGTCGGGGTCGGGATTGGCACCCAGCTCTACGGTACGGTGATCATCCGCGGCATCAATCCGTCTTTTACGGGGGTGCAACTCAGCCTGCTATTTGCGCCCATCTGGATTGTAAGTCAATCTAGTTCTCACGTTTCTCGCTCGTCTTCTAATGTCGCTAGATGGATTTGATCGCCATCTTACTCGTTACTCCGATTTCGGACCGGTTTCATCGTCTCCGCCCCCTGTTCTTCTCGTGCGCTGTATGCATCCAGATTGCTGGGCTTCTTACCGTTACCTTTGCCCCTATCTGGAACCCGTGGGCGAGGTACGGAGGGCTCCTGATGGTTGGCTTCGGTCTCGGGCCCACGGTACCTATTTGCATGACTTGGACCAACGAGATATTCCAGCAGCGTCACGGAGAGGTGGGCGTTGCTGCCGCGTCCGCCCTCGTCTCCGGATTGGGTAACCTTGGGAGTATCACGACGACTTACGCATTGTATACGGGATGGCCAGCGGATGCCGCTCGTGGCCCCCACCAGTACCGTCGAAGCAACCTGACGATGATCGGCATTCTATGCATGAGCATTCTCAGTAGCGTCGTCATGTTTGTTGCACTCAAGATCGCCGGCAACAAACCAAGTCACAAGATCGACAGCAGCGAGAGTTCGACTCTCGACGGAACGGATAGCTTCCAAGACGGCGCCGCCCGCCGCGAGCTAGAGCAACGTGGCTTCGGTCGCATGTGGTGGAACCGACGGACATAAACCTATCGGCCTGATTACCCGGTGGAATACCGGAACAACCACGGTGGTGCCACGCAGTGATCTTCAACAATCGAGCTGGAACATCTGTGGAGTCGGGGTAACGTTAGCCCCCCCCCCCCCCCCCTTTTTTTCCCCCTCCTTCTTTTCCTTCTAGCGATTGTAAGCCGTTCAACCCGCTCATTTCGACCATTTTCTTCGAGGCGCTTTCTCTCATAATGGATTCGCAGTGCGAGTCATGTCTGGTGGAAGGTTGATACGCAAATCATACGGGGATTTCCCAGCTTCGACAGCGAAAGTGCCGTTACGCCATCGCTGGGATGAGCGTATTGCGGTGGGAGGTAAGCGGGGTGACAATGCTGAAGCGCTATCGCCTTTCGCCTACCTCATGGCACAACCTAGTTGGGAGGCGTTGACTTGTTTTTTTCTTCCTTCATCTCTTTAGGAGTCTTGGTTCGGCGCTGCTTATGATACCCCATATTTGATTTGGATACGCTGTCATTCGAGGTTCTCCCTTTTTTTCGCCAAGGAGAAAAAGAAGACTCGCCAGCGACAGTGCTCTGAACGCCATCGCTTGGGACGGCGTGTTGCAGCCGAGGCGAGACCGGCGACAATGCTATTTCGCTATCGTTTTGGGAACTCGCCTCGTGGGCGTTGCTTACACACGTTTCTTTCGAGTTGGAGAATTCTTGGCATACTATTTTTTTTAAATGAAAGAGAGATATATGTAGGTATGTAGTCTTGTTTATCTGTCGAGCTACATCGATGTACAGGAATACGCGGAAATATATTTCCTCACATGCTGCCGTGGTCCTCCTGGCATCTTCTCGACTCGAGTGACGAAATCTACGGCGCAGAAACGGGAACTGCATTGCGAAGCTTCGTTAAGCGGCTGGCGCACTTAGGCCGCGACAGCGATGGCGTCTTGCTAGCTCAGGAGACTCTTCTTGATCATCAAGAGCTCGGGCCCCATAGGCTCGAGGATCTGGACCTCCCTCGGCTTGATGAACATGGGTTCGGTGATCTCGAAATACTCCTTGTAGTATGGCTTGTTGATTTGGTGCTTCGGCGCGGGTTAGCCCTCGCTCCTGGCCTTGCTTTCCCTTACCGGACGCGCGGGCAAGGGACGCGAACGAACTTACCGTCATGAACCAGTCCCTGTCCTCGGACCTATTAACCGCACAACACGGCCAGTTAGCATAGTGCTACCGATCGCCAGGAGGGGGGGGGGACAGAGAAAGAGGGGGGGGGGGGGGGGTGAGGAAGGGGAAAGGGTTGAGGAGAGGTCGGTCGGATGAGGGCGTGCGATGCGCCCGGAGACGTGGGCGAGGCGCGTAGCACGTAGGTAGGTGTGTATACTAGGTATATACCTATACCTATATAAATGTACGTATATATATATATACGTAGGTATATGGATGCATAGGCGGGTGAGTAAGCAAGGAGTGTCACGCAGATATAAATACCTACATGCTTACCTGCCTGCCTACGCAGACACGTCTGACGCCAGCGCTCGCCGCCCTAGTCTCTCGTCTTGCCTCCCCTCCCCCCTCCCCCGGAGAGACACGGATATGGAGGCGGGGGGAGCCTCTGCGCGGCGCCTTCACGACCTTTGGCCCTCGAGTCTCCCTCAGGGCGAAGAGGGCGCGTAACTGGCTTACGAGTGCTAAGCGCTGATGACGTGTCTTCCCCCCCCCCTGCTATACAACAACATGCATGTCTGTCCACATATAAGTAATCGCAAGGTATCTGTAGTCGTGTTGAGGCGAGACCGTGGATGGGGTGGCGGAGGGGGGGAGAAAGGAAAGGGAGGATATGGGCCCTTAACTCTGGAGTAGCTCGTTCAGATTCACTAATAAAAGCCTTGTTCCATTTCCGTGCAACGCCATTCTGGTCTTCAATACGCCGGGTTCGGTTGATGCCATGTGTCCTGCTCGACACTCGCTCTTTGTCCAGCTTCCAATCTAGCATAGAATAAGCGTGCGTATTAATGCATGGTCGGTTACGATAAGCCGTTGAGGACTCGCACGCGTCCGGGACTCGGGGAAGTAGTTCGCGCGGGAACGCGATGAAGAAGTTGGTATCCTGAATCATCATTGCTAACTGCGTTTATTACCGGCGGCCAGGCCGCACCCGGTTCATCTATCCCGTGAGACATGAGACACACGATAACGCAGGTTCCTATAAAGACGTACACGCCATTGTTCTAGACTAAAACAGTGGCGAAACTCGCGATGCGGTTCAACCTGATCATTGCCCTCTTCCACGGCCTCTTCCGCGACCCCCGCCTCGGCCGCCTCGGCCGCCTTGATTGCCGCGACTATTCTGTGCGCCCCTATCTGGTTGGGGGACCCTACCAGGCCCTTGCCTAGGGGCTTGCGGCCGTGGAGGCAAGGCCCCGGGCGGCGCCGTCGCCAGCGATCCCCGAGCCCCGTTCCTCCCACGAGAAGGCGGCGGGCCCGAGGGGGCGGTCGGAGCTTGCCGAGGTAGGCCCCAGCTGTTCTGGATTGATGAGGGCGCCGACGGGGAACCGGGCCGTCTCTCTGTCTTGCGTCCGCGGCCCTGGTCATGATTGCGGCGGGGTTGTCCGCGCGCGCCACCGCCGTTTGCCCCTTGCGTGGTGGAGCCGATGTTGCTTGCTATCCTGATCGGGTTAGGAGGCGGTTGCCTGTTGACGGGCGCGTGGATGAGGTCCTCGTCCGACTCATCGTCACTCGAGGTGTCACTCGAGGTAAAGTAGGTGTGAATCGGTCTCCTGGCCCTCCCGGGAACGTGGAAGTCTTGGCTCTGTGGCTGAGAGAGATCGACACCAATCCAGGCTATGGCGGTATCTGGGCTGTCCGGGTCTACATACATAAGACGATTGGCCTGGGACCAAGTCGTGGTTCCCGTCACCTTGCCGCCCTTGTCAGGTAGCCCGCACTCCGGTCCGTAGTGACCTTCGGCGCCGCATGTGTAGCAGAAGGCGGGGATATCCTTCACCTTGCGGTGTGTGGCTGCCGGAGCAAAGCTCCTCCATATCTCAGTGCACTGCTTCTCTGTGTGCTCGGCGCCGCAAATCGGGCAGGGTCCGTCCTCCCCCCAGGCTAGAGAGAGCTTCTCCTGGCAAGTAACGTTCCCATGGCCAATTTGACGGCACTTGGTGCATCTCTCCTTCGTCGGGCAGCCAAACGAGCTGTGATCCAGGCTTCCGCAGAATTTGCATTGCAGCTGTGGACATTCGCGAGCGCCGTGTCCGACCCCGGAGCAGAACAGGCAGTGCCGGGACGGATCCTCTACGCCTGGGAAGTACATCCGCAGCTGTCGGAGTTCCTCCTCGGGCGTCATTTCATTCCGCTTGCTCTTAGCGAGAATCGCCGTCAGGACATTTTCCTCGATGTCCCCCTCGTCACCAGATCCGCGTGTCGGGGCGACGCTGGCCCCCGCCGCCTCGAGTACCTCCGTAGAACCGTTTTCCCGCGCTCTGAATTGGTCGCGTACTTTTGAAACCATCGTGTCCAGTTGGTCGTCCTTAAAACAGGCAATCACATCCCTGGCAATGTCTCGGGCAGCCTGAACCCGTTTCCTAGTGCCTTGTAGGTATCCCATCTTGCGGCGAATCTGAAGGTCGAACGCTTTCCGAACGACTCTGCCGGTCAGACGATCGGCTTGGTCGGGATTCGCTTGGCATAGACCCATCGTCCAGGGCTCCAGCCTTTGGACCCAGAATACAGATGTTAAAGCATCATTTTCGACAGAAACTTCGAATCCTGCTGTGGGAGGGAGATGCCACGTGTGTTTACCTGAGTTAAATGTAGTTTGATAGGCTTGCCCGTCCAGGGGCTTTGACACATCTGCAGGCGCCTGGGTGCTGCTTTCTGGCGAAGTAGCAGCCTCATCGTAGTCTGCTGCTTTGCTTCCTGCGTCCGGTTCGCGCTCGCGGCCTGGGGACGCAGGCGACGAAGGTTCTTCGGACACTATTTGGATAGGCGTATTTGTAGCAAACAACTGTGTTGCCCCTTTCTTGAAAGAGGTCCTGGCACCCAGGGCAACGCCCCGATTCCAGCCCGGACGCTGTCCGGGTCTGCTCCCGGGCTTATCCGCGAAAGACGGTCCGTCCGGGTTGCTGGGTGGTTGGGGCCCACTCGCAGCTTCGTCGGCATTCGCCACGCCATCTGCCGGGGGCTCACGAGTAGTGGCATCGGACACAGAATCCTTACCAACTTCCTCCATGGCCCGAGAGCTAGACGGATTGCGCGTTGCCGAAGGGGGATCGAGGCTAGGGACCGACTCTGACATCTCGCCTTCGTCTAGGCCTGCACCGTCACCACTGCCGGTCTCGGCGTGGGCTGTCTTCTGCTTCTTTGAGATGGCTGGCGAACGGTCGCTCTCGTCAGCCGAGAGGGGCAGGCCTTTCAGCTCTTCTCCGTGATCGCGCGGGTGCTTGCCGGCAGGTAGGCTATCGAGGGCGCGGGACTCTCCTTGGCCAAGACCAGCAGTGGGCGCTTCCGTGTCCAGACTCATCACCAATACGGTGGTTGTGCGATGGTGGGGAGAGAAGGTAATTTTGCAAGGCTTTTAGGGCTAGGCTGCGCGTGGGCCTTACTAAGGAGATGATAGAGTGTCGGTCAGAGTTCGCCTACCTGATTCCCAGGGGTCGCTAGAGGAAGATAGACGGAGACGGGGCGGAGACGGGGAAAGTTATCAGATGCCAGTCGCGAATCCTAACTTTGTTCTCTCTCCTCTCTCTTTCTGTCTTTTTTTCGCGTGAAGAGGAGCGATTCATCTCCTGTTGGGCACAGACCGGAAGAGGCAGAGGAGGAGGAGGAGGGCGGAGAGGAGGGGGGAGCGCTTGTCGAGAGCCAGGAGATGGGGGAGGAGGAGGAGGAAATGGCACGAGCCTACGACTTCTAGAACGCGACGAGAACGAACATATTTACCAGAGAGCAGATATTTTGGAATTGCATGCGGCTCTTGGACCGATTTGCAGCGCGCGGATGTACCCCGGTACTCAGGTACTTGTTAGTGGGCGGGTGGCGCACGTTGGGTAGACTTTTTTCCCGGCCCGAAAGGTAAAAATGGCCGTTATCTATTGGTTGGGCCTTGGATAAGAACCTTTGGCGAGATTGCCTACCTAAGTACCGAGGTACTTAGGTAAGGTAGGTACCTAGAGGTAGGCAGGTACTTTGGAGGTTTTACGCGTATTTTTCTTACTTTATTTTTTATTCACATATAGGTCAGGAGGCACGGAGCATCTTCAGTCGTGAGCTCACTTGCACTATACTACCAATGGATTCTTTCTATTTTCACGACCCGTGTGTGATCCGGGCCACCATATCCAGATAGGTATGCGTACGTGTGTCTGCTATCTGCTTCCACCTTAGGCAGTTGATGGAAATTCTAGAACGGCTGCGGCAAATTGCACCCCGTCTCGCGAACCGCCGCCTATCTACTTAGGTACTCGTACCGTCCGGGTTGATGGGACCGGGTCCGGCCCGGCTAGGCCGCGTACGTACGTCTCGGTGAATTACTCAGGTGGCCGGCTGCCCGTCAACGTGGCCACATGCAGCATGTACCTACTTGTCGTATCGTATGCAGCGTATATGTAGGCAGGTAGGCAGGTAGTATTCTCTCCTGCGTATCTCCGGAAGAGCGGACAAGACTAGAAGGGAAAGAAAGCGATGGGGGAGGGAGAGAGAGAGAAAGAGAGAAAAGAAAGAGCACGGCTGCATTTCCTCGAATAGAGCCGTTTCCAATATTACGCGGACGTATAACATCCAAAACCGGAGGACCTGACCCCTTCAAGCCGTGGGTTGGAGTAAGGAGAAGGAGACGGGGGAAGAGGCACAAGGGATATGGGGCGGGAGGCGGGTCGACGTTAGAGGCATTAGTTGTACTCATATTATCCGCACCGAGCGCTGGGGACCCCTAAGCATTGGACCCCAGGTCAGAACGGTGAGAACATGGCAGCGTGGGCGGGTCATCACGTGACTGCATCAGACGAGTACTACGAGTACCGCCCACACTATATACCTACCTACCTATAACTAGGCACATTAGGCACATTGCCTACCTATTGTACGTGTATGTGTGCGTGTGCCTGGACGCGCACCCGCTGCGCTCCGCTAGTCGACGTGCCCAAGGACACTTAGTGAGTAGCAAGGCAAGGAACCTCGCCTAACGTGAGTACGGATGCGAGGTCTCAGATCAGCCCAACTAGTCCCCTGTACCTCACCCCAACCTCTAACCGGATTAGGCGATTATGCCGAGCTTTTTCCCTGTCACCCAGACTTTATCCCTGTTTCTTACAGGGGTCCTTAAAAATTCCTTTCAAATGTATTTCTAACCACCGTACGAACGTGCACTTAATTGATTCTTTTTCGCAACGAAAAGCTGCCCTAGAAACTGTTCTTTAAATAATATAACAAGCGGCGGTGGTGGTAGTGGTGGTGGTGGTGGTGGTGCAGTTAACTTGGTGGTGCAGTTGACTTGGTTGGTGGCAGTGGTGGTGGTGGCAGTGGTGGCGGTGATAGAGGCTTAAGTAATCAAAAGGATCTCACCCCAACCAACTAGTGGAGTAAGGTCTCAGGAAAGAGCCAATAGAATCTTCAGGAAGCCGTGACCCGCTTTGGGGTGAGGTTCAGGGGACTAGTTGGGCTGATCTGTAGACTCTACGGATGCCCATAGATAGATAGATCTACATGCCCTCGACGTCGGAGATGCGCCAACCGGGAAGAGAGAGCGCTCGACAGAAATGAACCTGGACGCCAGGGACCATTTCTGCACCGAAACCCGTCAGGTCTAAGCCACGCCGCGCCCCCACTTCCAAGTCCAGTACGAGGTCCCACGCCAGAGATTGGAAATTGCTCGCAGGTGTCGGTTCTCTGCCCCAGGTCCCCCCCCCCCTCGCTCCCCCTTTAGACCCCTTTTGGTGCCCCCCTAGGTCCCCTAACGCCTTCCATGTACATGGCTGCTACCACCTCACTACAGGTATGTAGATACCTGTGCATAGAGGTAGGTTACCCATCGGAGATGTGAGAGAATCGTCTCTTGATAGGCCTTGTGTAGCAGCCAGGTACCAGGCATGTATCTGATATTTATACTGGTTGCAGATACTGCCACTGCCTCCATACACGTATATGTCAGTACCTACCTACCTAGGCAGGTACCTCCTATTGTCCGGTACGTATGGAGCTGCAGATATCGCCTATCATTCAAGTACCTAGGTACCTGTACCTGGAGTCCCTAACACCGGCGCTACCTCCCCTGAATCGCGCTAGCATGTACGCTGGGCAGGTACCTCGCCCTGCACTGGTCCCCTTCCATCCCCGTCATGGCTGGGTCAGGTAGGTACCCGGTGCGTCTAGGCAGTACCTCTCCCATGTACCTACATTAGGAGGTACATAAGACTAGTCTAAATAATACTACCCGCCTACGTCCGATTTGCTTCGTTACACCCTTCCATCATCATACTACCTGACCTATCACAGACTCAACCTATCATCATCATCAGCTTCCCACCCTTTCCCGTGGTCTTCGTATTCTTCTCTTCTGCTCAGCCTCGATAACCTACTTAACTTCTCCTCATCCGTCCCAACCATATTCGCCATGCGCTTCAACTTATTATATCCATTGACGAACTAGCCACACCTCGTGGGCCTTTTGAGATACTAAAAAAAAAAAGAAAGGAAGACCTCGAGCGCCTTTGAGCACCGTCGCTGTACGTCTCTTCCCTGCCACATCGTGCCTCCCAACCGCGCCCAGTTCCATATCCCCTCTCCGACTCTCTTCTAATCCGGCACGCCTAGCTTTCTTGATCCCGCCCCCCCGTCCTCGGTATCCGCCGCATTTCTTCGCGATACTTCGTGCTTCGCTTGTCTGCCTAGAGACCGACGACCATAGTGCCAGCTTGCCCGCGTCCCGACTCCACGATCCCATTCGCCAATCCTCGTACGCCCGCTGCGGGATAAGGACAAGCCTTGGTTATCCCGAGCCAACCAACCAAAGGTGGATGACGGCCACGACCGAACATCGCTTCTCCTCTTACCTGACTCCCCCGTCCCCGTCCAATACCGCCAAAGTGTCTTCCCCAATCCTCCTCACCCGCACCGTCTCCTACGACGCCGGTACGAACCCTCCTAGACGAGGTGGTACCTATCTAAGCATGCGCGATTCCCAGGCGACGAGGAGACGGAGGTCGAGCAGCATTCTCCAGATTTACCAGGAGCCGCAAGAGCCTCTCGAGCAGCTGAGCGACCAGTCCGCTCTTCCCAACCTCAACGCGAACTGGGTCAATGCCAAAGGTACGTACGTGGGCAGGTTGTGGATGTCGCGCCGCGCGTCCTTTTCTCTCATGTGCTCTGCCGGCCCTCGACGAGGGCCACGGCCGAACGCGACGCACGACTGTAAAGTATGCCCGCAGGCAAGGCTAACGCGAGATCACAAACAGGAGCGTGGACTATTCACATCGTCTTAATAGTCGCACTGAAGATCTTATGGGACGTCATCCCTGGCGTCTCCCAGGAGACGTCTTGGACCCTGACCAACATATCCTACATGTTCGGCTCGTACATCATGTTTCACTACGTTCGCGGCGTGCCGTTTGATTTCAACAGCGGTGCTTACGACAACCTCAACATGTGGGAGCAGATCGACGACGGTGCACAATACACGCCGGCTAAGAAGTTCCTGCTCAGTGTCCCCATCGTGCTTTTCCTCCTGAGCACGCACTATACACATTATGACCTCACCTACTTCACCATCAATTTCCTCGCCGTCCTGGGGGTGGTCATACCAAAATTACCATTCGTAAGCTCCCCCTCCCCCTCTCCCCGTATTGTACCACGTGGCCTAGGAAGAGTCGACTAACATTACCCTCCCCCCAGAGCCATCGCATGCGAGTGGGCTTGTTCTCCGGCGTCCCCGAAGACTAATCACTGGCGCTCGATATGTCCGGGCTGATGTTCGACGAGGCATCGGGGAGTTCCACTGGGAGGCCGCGAATCGATATGAAGCAGTGACGCTAGGAGACGAAAAGAGAGAAGCAGAGGAGAAAATGGAGCAATGGAGAAAGGAAAAAAAAAAGAGCAAGATATCATGTAAGCGCCACTAAGGTGACAACCCAACTAGGTCGAGCCGTTCAACTGTAGGAGACAGTCAGCCAGTTAGTCAATCGAGACAACACCGTGTTTAAGGATTTGATATACGTCCCCTCCACCTATCGCGGCCTCATCGACACCACGGTGCCCCAGACAGCGGCGGTGGCACCGCGGTGACGGACGTGTATGGGCATGCGCTAGAGCGGAGATGCTGGCGCCCCGCACCGATCCGAATACGGCTCCGTAGTCCGCAGAGCCACTCCGGGTCTGGATTTGTGCCCAAGCTCAGTATTTGTAGGGGCCGGGGTGTACGATGTGCGTGCCGGTAGTCGTCTATCGTGACTTGGCTCGGAGACGGTCCTCCCTTACTCTCCTGCCCACCTTCTCCCCTTCCTAACCAGCCAGCCCCGCCTTGCGCGAGCGCACGACGTCTCCGGGGACTACATTCTTGGTTGGTGCTTACATCCATCTTCAAGATTTACTCAAACGAAGCTTAGATGGCCGCATACGGGGACGGATATACGTATGGGCGCTAGGTCTCAAGAGGATCTAGGAAATAAGCACCTATATATCAAATAATAGGCAATGGGACTACACCGTGGGTTCTCTCAGTTTAGAGCGTTTGGCGCGTCGGGTTTCTCACTGGCTTCCCGTGTAATAGACTGCGGTGACGAACCCATGATAGCATAACTATATTACTTGGACTAAAACTAGCCTATATCACTTACGAAACAAAGGGAGGAGGTGGATTGAGATAGCGGAGCAACCATGGTTAAGCAGAAACGAGATTTTCGAGGCCTGTGTGGGAGACTTCCGCGAGGAAAAGCCGGTCCGGACGCTCCTGGTGCTCCTCTGCGCGCAGCTTACTCTAACTCTAGCACGCTCTTCTTCATCGAAGCATACTTCTTTGTCGAAGCACACGCGCCGAACCGGGAGAATACAGCAGACTTGAGGCTAGGCCGGCTGGCCATGATTGGTACCAGCGAGAGTCACGCAAATACATCTCTACCTAGGTAGGCATATGCTCAGTTGGGAGGGGGGTGGGTGAGGTAACCGGACATATCTCCTCACCTCAGGTTAGGAGGTACCTACCCACCCTATCTATCTCAGCGGTCCCGGCGAGGAGAGTTCTCCGGGTGCATTTGTCTGCGTGCGTAGACGCTTGAACAGTACATATACTATATGAAGTGAGTACCGGTCAACATGGTGCGGTCGGAGCCGGGAACACGGGTGGCATAGTGATCTAGGTACATTATCTCACCCTCGGCAAAGGTCAGAGCTCGCCGTCTGGTCTGCCTATCCTCGCGTGCGGACGCGGCATCATCCCCAGCCGCGTCCCCGGATTACGGCAGCGAGGAGGAACTTGGGCGCGCGCGGCTCTCCCATCCAACGAGCCCGCAGCGGCCGACCAGCGAGACGCTTGGGCGATGAGCTGGCTCTCTGCGGCGGAAGCCGTAAACGCCGGCCACCGGCCCCGCTGCCGGGTCGGCCGCTCGCTGGGCGATAGATATCCGGAACCCAGGCTCTGGCCTCTGTCCTGCGGATTCCTCCCGACGTCGATGGCGTCGTGGCGGCCTTCTCCGTCGGGGGACTAGCCGTCGCGGCGTCGGAGCAGCCACCTTACATGCCTACTCATAGGTATTGCTCTGTGGCGGTGCTGACAAAAAAAAGTTGAGGTAATCCTGGGACTACCGGAGATGGCGGATGTTGCCAAGCATGACGTAACAGGGTGCCGGGAAAAGGCCGTTCCCACCTGCATGTACCTAGGTACCTATCTCCTTACGCAACTGGGCGGTACTTGGGAACCTCAGTCAGGTCGCCCGATCGCTCAATCCTCGGGTTCTGTCCTCCTCCTCGCCGGCCGACGGATCTCTGTTGACGCGTCGGCGGAGCGACGATGCTGGGGTTGTCGTGCCTCTAGCAGCGCCGAATCCTTCCCCACTCGACGGGACCTCCGGCGCGAGGCGAAAGAGGACGGAAACGCTTCGCGCGGCCCCGAGGACAGCTATTTCCGTGACGGAGAGGCAACCGACTTGAGCTTGGGACAAAAGCTACGGGTGCCTACGAGGAAGAGGGCCTATATTAGGCTTCACGCCGAGGCTGCTGCCCAGGAATGTCGCGGCCTGCGACGAGAGGCCGACAAGTCGAGCGCGCTTGCGACGCCGGCCTTGGCCAATAAGGCAGCACTTAATATTTTCGTAAGCGACCGCCTCTCGGTGACGTCCTAAGGTTGCGCGGTATGGCAGGGTGGAGTGGCAGAGGATCCAGGGAACCCTCGGGAGCCGAGGCGATCTATGCCCCATCTAGTAAATAGGCATGCCAAGTCTATAGATGCGGTGCCATCGATGTATACTACGTGGTACGTGCATGCGCACGGCATAGGGATGGAGCTATAGAAATGGGGGCAATCTGCGGCAGCGGTGCGGATATAGGCTTGACAGAACGGCTTATCGTTCCCATAAGGGGCCCTATGCAGACCGCTGCGACTGGTATTTTTTTCTCTTGTCTTGCCAATGGATCATCATCTAGGCGACTTCGTCGGTAGAGGAGCAGCGCTCCTCCGTCCTCAGCTCTCGACGAGCGAAAGTGCCCCGTAGCAACGACTTCGGAGCCCCAGCGAGACAGGCAAAGTCTTGTTCTTGTTCGGTCTAGTCACCTCACAACTCAGCCTTACGCCGCATACCTACATCCCTAACATCTATCAACAAGGGCATCTTACATACGTAGATAAGGCCCCAGAATGCCATTCAAAACCGGCGGGAACCAGCGAATAAGCGGCTCCCAGTTCCTCCCGCCGAGAGGGCCGGTCTGATGAGCAATGAAGCGGCCCAACCCAGGAGGTTCCGCCCCCTAGTCCTCTCCTCAACCCTCATCACGTCTGGTCCCTGAGACTTCACCACCTAGCACGCCTCGTGTCTACTTATTGTCGGTCCCTCGGGCCCCGCAAGGGGTTGGATAGGCTCATACAGTCGGCGCCGCGGGCCCGACGCAGGCTAATGGGACGACGCGTCTGGACGAGATCCCTGACAGAATAACTACCCGAGGGTAAAGGGGTAGGGTAACGACAGCAGTACCAGAGAAGAGATGGGTATAAATAAGGGGTCGCGTCTAGGGAAACTGATCAACGTTTCTGCCACAGTCCTCACCAATCTCAGGACAACAATACAGCTAGTGTACACACGGTTTCCTGTCAGCTTTACGAGTCTTACACCCTGCAAAATCACCGGTTGTATCTGCCATTCCCCTTCCATCCCACTCTCGCTATGTTGAGAACTTGGATTACTGTTGCCGCCACGCTGGGTGGGCTACCGGTCACATCCGCTCGAAGGGCCCAGGGTAGGGCTAGCGGAGTTCCGGCTGTAAGTATCACAACTCGTCAATACCTCCCTCCTTCCCCCCAAGGTAAAAGTTGTAGGCTAACGGGGTTACCGCTAACCTCCTTCTAGTGTGATGCCTTGAGAGATGTTGGACTCGGCGATCGTCTCCTTTTCCCAGGAGACCCACGTTTCGAGCCCGAAATCGAGACCTGGCCAGCTGAGAACGCCCGTCTGAGACCGTACTGTCTTGTCCTACCACACAACAAGGAGGAGGTCTCGACGGCATTGAAGGCGCTGGTCAGCATTAACGACGGCGCGGGCGATTGGCACATCGCGGTGCGCAGCGGCGGCCACAGCTACCCCGGATCCAACGGCATCGAGCGTGGCGTGACTATCGACCTGAGCCAAATGAACTCGTCGAGGTACGACCCTACCAGCAACCTCGCTAGCATCGAACCTGGCGCTCGATGGAGGGACGTGTACGCGAATCTGGATAGTAACGGCGTAGTCGTCACGGGTGGTCGCGATGGCAGCGTTGGTGTCGGCGGTTTTCTCCTCGGCGGCGGCATGTCGTACTTTACCGGCAAGATGGGGTTCGGCTGCGATTCGATCGTGAACTACGAGGTCGTCCTGGCCGACGGCACCATCGTCAACGCAAACCGAAATACCAACGCGGACCTGTGGCGGGCCCTAAAGGGAGGCGGCAACAACTTCGGGATCGTGACGCGGTTCGACATCGAGGCTATTCCCACGCGAGACCTGTTTTACGACGTACGCACCATGAGCTACGAGCACACCGACGCCGTGGTCGAGACGGTGGTTGGGTTTGCCAATCAGGAGCAGTCCCTCTCCGCCAACCACCTCGTGACCTACTACAGCTTCGAACCTCGGGACCGCCCCGACATAATCGTGAACACGATTTATGTCAACGTGGAGGGTGACGGCGAGAGTCCGACTCCGTTTGACAAATTGAGAGCACTCCCAGCTCTGACGAATTCGACCGTCCTACAAACCATGGCAGAGGCCTCTGCTGGCGGTGGTGTCGGCACGGGTACTAGGTAGGTAGCGTGCATCGCTTCGCCCGGCTTGTTCGTCGGCTAACTAGGGGGGGTTATAGGAATGCGGCGTCGACGTTGAGCTTCAAGAACGACCCCGAGCTCATCCGTCGCGTCATCGAGCTACACACGGAGTTTGTTGAGACGCTCAAGAAATACCTGGCTCCCGAGAAGTTCCAGTCGGGGATATTCCTCCAGCCCATACCCCCGTACCTGGCGGAGATCGGTAAGCAGCGGGGAGGGAACATGCTCGGGTTGGACAGGGTCTCGGAAGGCATCATCATGTGGACGGGCGGCGTGGGGATCGTCGACGGCACGGACCAGGACTTCGCTGTTGCGCAGGCGGAGCTGCACGCGCTGACGGCTCAGGTCAAGGAGCTCTCTCAGTCGCTGGGCGGGGATAAGGAGTTTGTCTACCTCAACTACGCGTACGGATTCCAGGACCCCGTCGGAAGCTACGGCGCCGAGAACATCCAGCACATACGCGACGTGGCGGCCAAGTACGACCCTACCGGCGTATTTCAGAAGCGCATCCCAGGAGGCTTTAAGATCTCGCGGGTCAGGTGATCCCGACGGCGCGTCGGCAAGCAGCTGGGTGAGCGTGAAGGGTGCTAGGGACCGTCGGGAGACGGGTGTTGCAATGTACCTATTGTAAGCCTACCTATCGTATGGGGAGCCGCGGTACTGCGTGAGTGAAGTTGTCCGCGGCGGAGTCGGCCTGGTCACAGCTAGGTATGGATGGGGACCTTACCTGAGCTTGGTGCCCCCCCCCCCCTCTCACCCCTTTTCTAGCCTCGGCCTTTCTGTCTCTTCGTTTTCCGTGCCGTATATAATATAAATAAAAGAGCTATTTATCTACACGCTGACATGGATCGTTGGTTACTGCTTATCCGGCGGCTCATTGCCCAGCCCGGACGACTCGAATGGGGAATGGTCTGGGGGCCTCGGAGCCCGAACGAGTCTCGGCTCTAAAGGATGTTGGCTAAGGACGTAGGTAGGTAGGGCTGACAGACCTCGAGGGTTTCGCTTCTCCCCGGTAAGGGAATGAGGTTAGGTAAGGGTACCCTACCTCCATGGTGTCACAGGTCATGTGACGAGAAGGGCGACTGACAGCTCGGGACTGCCAAGGGCCGGGATCGGCATGTGCTGTAGCACGGTGTACAGCATTGCGTGGTGACAGTGGCGCAAGGCTCAGCAAATACCCCCAATATACACCGGTGGTACTACGCCGGGCACGCCAGAGTGACGGCGCCAGGCTAGTTTGCTCGCGGTTTCCCTGGCCGTGCCACGTAGTACGAGGTCACGCCCGGGTGGCATTACCTCAGGCACCTGGCCGGCGGGTACGTAGGTACTGCGCAGTATACCTACTACCTCCTATTAGGAGGTACCCACCTACCTACCTGTACCTAGGTACCACCAACGTTCCAGCGTTCCAGCATTCGTGCGAACACGGTACCGATGCTGGTACCGAATGCCGCCTGAGTACCCGCCTAGATACCTACCTAGGTACGTCGGTTGCGCTACCCGGGAACGCCTCCCGCTGGCAACGTGAAATGGACCTGCCGGACAGCACCCATGGCAACGACTTCCCTTCCTGTCTTTTCTTTCTCCCTTTCTGCCTTCCCTTTCTCTCCCCCCGCGTCTGACCGAGATAAAGACTAGGGAAGGTGGCACGAACTGGGCTAGCAAGCTGCCTGGAAAGCGCACCCATCGCAGCTTCGCGATTGGGCAGCGGTGACGCCATGGCCTTACGGGTTGGCCTCCTCTATCGGACTGAGCTAAGCGGGATGCAGCGAACGGCCGATGGCTGGCCGTGTCTCGACGCTCTCTGCTGCTCTGTGTCCGGTAGACCGGCTAGCAGCTCGCGCTCGTCTCTCGTCTCGAGCTTCTCGCCTCGTCTCTCGTCTCATCTATTCCCTCGTCTCACAACCCAGCGCATCGCCGTCGTACGATCTCCTATGTGTGCTAGGTATATGTCACGAGGAGTCACCGCCAGGAGCTCGGAGTAAACCTCAAATCCGCGTCGGCGTTTTCGGCCCCCCCAGAGCTATTTAAACAAGCCCTGCTGCTACGCGGCCAAGCGGTTTTGTCCTCGGCACCAAGGCTGACACTCGCGCGCTTCCGCCGACCTTGATCCGCAGCCAGAAGCTTGATATAACCGACCTCCTGTGCTCTCTTCTTCTGCCTCCCCTCCCCCCCTGCCAGCTAGTCAGCCGCCGAGTCGCCACGATCAACCGTCCGCAACTTCGACTAAGGTCAGGCCGAGTCGCGTATTCTCACGCCTAAGACACGAAACCGGGAATCGTGGCAAGATGAAGTCTGGGACCACCCCGCTCTACGCCACTGATGCGCTGGCCGAGAGCGTGAGCAAGTATGCCGAGGCCAAGTCGCTGGAGATCCCGCGGCCGCTCCGCGATTACCACGCCCGCATTATCAGAGACCACCCCGAGGACTCCAATTACATGATCTCCAGCTTCCAGTCTCAGGCCCTGGTCTGGCTGGCGCGGCTCATCGGGGCCAGGAGAGGTGGGTCTTTTCGCTTCTTTTTCTTTCTTTCTCCTTTGGCTCGTGTCTGCGATAGACGATACGAATCATGTCATATTACTCGACGCTGACGCTTTCCCCTTATGTAGTCCTCGAGGTCGGTGTCTACGTTGGCTACTCGTCCATGGTGTGGAGCCACGCCGTCGGCCCCGAAGGTACCGTGACGGGTCTCGAGTTTGACCCCGAGTATGCCGACCAGGCGCGGACAGCCTGGAAGGAGCATGGCTATTCGAACATCGAAGTGCATGTCGGCCCCGCCGCCGAGACGTATGTACCCCTTTCACCCTCACCCCTCCTTTTCCCTTTATACCTACACGTTATTAATCCCACCGAGCTAACCCGTACGTGTACGCGCAGTCTGCCGCAGCTCTCGTTGACCCAGGAACCGTACGACATCATCTTCATTGACGCAGATAAGTCGGGATATCCCGGGTACTTGCGGGCGATCCTAGAACGGTCTCCCGCGGGATCAAAGCAGAGGCTGCTGCGGCAGGGCGGCGTGATCGCGGCTGACAACACACTGCGGCGCGGTCTAGTTGCGGACGCGAGCGCTGCCGCCAACCCCTGGCGGCCGGCCGACTTCGGCAACGAGGATTCCCGTGACCGCCGCGCCGTCCACGGCGTCAGCGAATACAACGACGCTACTACTGCTAGCTTGCGCCTCGACACGTTTGTGTGCCCTCTGTGGGATGGGCTTACGTTGTCTAGGCTTGTCGACTGAGGGTGGCCGAAGGAGGGTAGGGTAGGCTAAGGCCCGCTCAGGGCTTAAGGGGGTCGAGTAGGTGATAGACCTGATAGACAGACATCATCACGGGCAATAGAATGGGGGCCGCGTGACTCGAAGGTTTCTGCATAGGTAGTCATTTAGACCCACAGCTAGCTTCATACGTCGATGCTGATATTATCTAAAGCCCGAAGTGTAGCTATCGGACACCTCTTTTTTCTTGTCTGAAAAGATGTAATCCGCTCACGGTCGACGTCGCTAGGCTGATGGGGAGGTCGAAATTGCATGTTGGCTTCTCGTTGTCGTGACTACTTGGTATCTAATCACTACATAAAGGCATACTTATCTTGTGGCCACGGGAGGGTCTGATTCGCTGCCCCCAAAGCGCGCGAATGAGCTTATATGAAGCATACCATAATTTGGGCGCGGTATGGGGGCCACCTTGGCAGGGGGATGGTCAAAGGGGCTGATAGGCGGTAAGGAGCAAGGGTGTGCGAGTAAGAGCCGGAATAGTATGCCGTTGAAGAAGCTCAAGTAAGCCTCGCAGGTGTTCTCTCTCTCTCCCCTTTTCTCCTTTTCTTTTTCTTTGCACTTGCTCACTCACGCCGCCTTCTGATTGCTTACCTAGATTATGTTTCCGTCAAAAATAGGCGCAAGTTGGGGTTGGGTAGCAGCGAGCTGATAAGTGTTCCGGCCGCAGCAGCTTTAAGAGGAACCGGATCTTCGCTCGTGGTCGATGTCTGTTGGGTCACCCGGGCGTGGCTTGCACGAGAACCCGGCGGGGTCGTCGTCGTGGTATTCTTCGTGGCATGCTCACTGGCTGCGCCGCCCGCGGCATCGAATGCGAGAGAGGCATGTTGAAACCTGGAGACGTTTATTGACTGGGTTGCTCGCATAGCCCCCAAACACCTGGTGGTAGGCTAACTGGAGTTGCCCTTCTGGGACGGATGCGGAAGCAGATATGCATTCTGCACCCTCTGTCTGCGTGGCTGCGCCCCCAAGCCTACTTGTGCGTGGAACAAGCGAAAGACGGGCTGGATATAGATAGAAAGGCAGCGTGAATGGGGTTGGACGTCATTCGGATGGCTGTATAGAGGAGACCCCCCTTTTTAAAACCGGCGGTGTTGTATTTGGAGCCAATCGCCCGCTACTCCACGCAAGACCTCGCCCATTCACAACTCCTTGTGCGAGCGGCCAAATGCGCATTACCGTGCCTCTCCCGTGCGTACACCGCCAAGCGATTCCCGGGGAGGATCGTAAATATATAACGAAGGTCGCTCCCAGCAGCGGCCTACTTAGGATGCATCCGTCCATACATAGGTATAGGGTGCTCCACCCAAGCCCGCCCGCCTAGCTGCCTCGTCTCGAGGGGATTGCCTACCTAGGTAGAGCGACGAACATACCTACATCGAATACAGGGGGAGCACCCATCGGAAAACACACGACCGAGCCCCTCGCTGTCCGACACCGAGAAGCGACGTCTACGCTGCAACCCCCGCGAGAGCGATCACCAACCACGAGAGCGCACGCGCGAGAGAGAGACCGAGAACGGACATGGCCTTCATTCCCAGGCCCAAGCCCAAGCACCATTCTCCCGCGGGAGGCGGCGACTCGCCACAGCCGAACCCACCGAACCCGATCCTGGTGGGCAGGCCGGACGCCGCGGAGACGCCGGACGCGACGGGGCCCAGCGGGCCGAAGAGGAGCGCCGCTGAGCCCCTGGAGCCGGCGGACCTGGGGGCCGGCGGCAGCGGCAGCGGCAGCGGCACCACGACGACAGCGCCGCGGGCGTCGACGGGGACGCCGGCGCGGCTCGGCGGCAGCACGGCGCCCACGGCGGCGGCGCTCGCGGCGAAGCAGGAGCCCGCGGCCCCGGGCGGCGGGCTGCCGCCGTGGGCGATCGCGACGATCGCGATGAGCGGGGTACTGGCGGTGCTGCTGGCGGTGCTGCTCAGCACGTTCTTCCCGGGGTGGTGGCGGTGGCGCTGGCAGAGGAGGAGGAGGCGGAGGAGCGAGGGAGGCGCCAGGGCGCAGGCCCAGCGCAGGCGCGCGTCGGGCGGCGCCCGCGAGCACGCGTACAAGGGCGCGGCGGCGGCGGCGGCGGACGCGGACGATTCAGACGCGCAGAGCGAGCGGGGCGCGTGCGCGGCGGCGGCCGGCGGCGCGGCGCCCGCGGAGAGCAGGGGCGCGGCGGTGCCGCCGCCGCGCAGGAACCCCTCGGTCGTGTCGTCGCTCTCGTCGCTGTCGGCGCGGCGCCTCGCGCGGTACGAGAGGCTGGGCGCCGTGTCGCCGCTGCCGCCCGAGGAGGAGATGGAAGAGGTCGAGGAGGAGCGTCGGGCGGCGGCGGCGGCGGCGAGCGCCCCGAGGAGAGCGCCGGGTCCGGGGATGTCGCCGCCGCCGCCGCCGCCGACGACGACGAGGAGCGAGTCCAGGCGAGGCGGGTAGACGAGGCGACGCTGCGCAGCGTTGAGAGGTCGGTGGATGGAGTCGGGCGGGGCTGGACCCCTCCCCCTTCTTCCCCTGGAACCCGCTCGCCGGGCGGTGGTTGCAAATCAATATTACTCGATTCCCCTGCTGTTATCTGCTGTGGGAAATGTAGATGTCTACACTTCCCTTGGGGAGACGCAGACTTAACTACCTCCACAGCTTCCGACGCGACACGTAGCCTACGCGTAGGCGTGTAATAGTCGACCAGCATTACGGACTCAGGGTCCTGTTCTACGCGGCATTAGCTCCTGGGGCGAATAGTGTTCTCCAGGGATTTCCCCCGTCCCTTGGCGGCTGGCACGCTGTTACAGGTTAGTAGGCACGGCGGAGGGAAACGCTTCGTAGATGAAACCGTATCTATTAGGCTCGTGATTATAACTTTTCTCTTCCTTTTTGCTCTACAGAGGGTATGGTTAAGGCAAATCTCCACTATCGAATATGAGTAAGGGGTGGGACGGCAGGCAGGGGGGGGAACCAAGGTGATCGGGTTGGTGGCGCGTAATTGAGGGATATGATGATGATCTGAGGGATGTCACACCTCAGCTCGTTCTCTCTCTGGGATAGGATATATGCATGCGAACCTCCTCTGTCGACGTCGTCGGCGGGTTTAATCCGCCCCGCGGAAACAACACCAAGTCACTGGTGAGAGTGGACAGCCATCACGGCGCCGCCCTCCCTTCCCCCCCCCCTCCTTATTTCTCCCCTCCTTATCCCCAAATTGCCTCCTCTCCGTCGTGCGCCATATAGTTTTCGACGTCTCTTCCCTACCGTGTCGTACCAACAGCTTTTTGCCACCAGCACGCGTACCAATCCTCCATCCAAACGTACATGCCATCCTTCACGCCAGTGACCGACGGTCGTAATGTTCAGCGGGACGGTCCATCTGGCGCAGTGAAATGATCCTAGACTTTCTGGTAGAATAACAGGTAAGCGACCTTGTTGTCTTTGATATTGTCCTTCGCCTGCTTTCCCTTCACTGGCGCCGTCTTACTCGAGGCGCCGTTGACCACGGAGCTCCATTTCTTGGCTCCGTTGACTGGGGCGCTGACCTTATTCCATCCCTCGTCGTCGGCGGCTTCGTCGTCGCCGATTCCTTCGTATCTATTGCCCAAAGTTCCCGCCGCGCCGTCCTTCTTATCGGTACGGCCCGTCGACGTTGGGTTCGGTTCTTCGAAACCGCCTTCAGCTACATCTTCGCTTCGGACTCGCCGGATGACCGTGTCATCCAAGCGGATCCATTCAAGGCCATCTTGACGCCTGAGATCGACGGTGTAGTGGCCGCCACTCGCATTCTTTCCGTGGTGATAGACGGCGGCAATCAATCTGTATTTAGGGAAGCCCGCGCCCTCGGCGGTGAGGGCGTTTCTTTTTTGTCGAGAGAAGATCTCCTTCGGTAATTCTAGTTCGAGTGGGTAGCCGACCTTCTTCCAGATTTTGACAGTCCCGGTGCCCTCGGTGTCGAAGTCGAAGCGCTTGAGGTGGAGGATTAGAACCGGTGGCAGGGACTCGATGAGCACCTGCTTGGTGGCTACGGCGTCCTTACCCCTCGGCGATCCGAAATCGCCGTGAAGGGTCTCGGGCCGGGTCAACCCTTTGAGGGCGTCGACAATGTTGTGAACCTGATGGGAGCCGATGTCTAACTGCAGCGGCTGGAAAGGCTCCAGCGTCACGGAGTCTTGCAGCCCCTGGACCCTGAGCTCGGACCGCAACTGTCCGCCGAATATCTTGGTGATGGGGGATGACGTGACCGGGTGTCCGGAGGACCGGGTGACGGCAGCGCGCTGGCGGCGTCCCACTTCCAGCCAATCGCTAGCATCCTGGGTGCTCGTAGGAGACACCGCCGAAGGAGTAGCAGCGGAGGAGTTGCCGACGCTGGCAGTTGCCGACGAATCCGCGACGCGACGCATGACCTTGGCGCATTCGTCGTGAAGCGCCTCTAAAACAAAACCGAGAAACTCTTCGGCATCTTGCTGGTGTCCGGCCTACATAGGGGTGTTAGAGCGCGGCATCGAGACGACGAATAGGAATACTCACCCTCATGCCGGCAAATCTTGGAAGCTTTCTAATAGCATCATAAACAAACTCCGGGGTGAAGGGTTCACCGTATTGCTCGAGCTCCTCGCTTTTGAGCCTTCGTCGAAGCTGCTCCGCAGACACCGCGGAGTCGATTACCTTGTACTCCCGCATAAACATAATCCTGTCATCCGATAACCATCAGCCTACAACGATCAACCGTACGAGCGTTACCGGTACTTACATTGCGTCGATTAGAGGAGTTTCGCTTTTAAAACTATGCGCCGCCTTTTTGCCCACTTGATCCAGGAAGTCATAAAAGGGAATGCAGAAAATGAGGACTTGCAAAACCTATGCAGAATCGGTCATTAGACGCCACTCTCCCACGCATACCACGATGGGTTGAGAATCGGGTACTTACTGAATTCATATAACACATGTTCCCAGGGTTGATTAGTCCCCTAGGCTCTAGAAAGGAAATCTTCTGGCCGCCGTCGACACAATAGGCTCGCAGAGCCTCGGCCAGCGAGCTGGCGTTTGACTTCGAAAAACCACCTGTACCTGCACCTCCGCTAGTCGGGGCGGCATCTTCGGAGGTAGTAACACTCGGAACAGCGCCGGTACTGGTGGGGTCTGAGGTAGCGGTACCGCCTTGAGCGGAGTCGGCAGATGCCGCGCGCGCAAACAAGCCGGTCCAGAGCTTTGGGCCAACCTTGGCCGGGGCGGGAGCTGGCTCGGGCTTCGTTTCAGCCTGGGAGGAATCGCTAGGGGTGTCGGCAGCTTCTGCGGACACATCCGCGGCCGCCTGCTGTGTTGCCTGACTTTGTTGTGACGGCTTGTTCTCGGCACCGGGCGCGACTTTGCCATCTTTGGGGCCTGCTTTAGGGATCACCGGTACAATCGGGACTGCCGGGACCGCCGCACGTGACGCAGGCTTGGTAGGCTTGGTGGGAGTAGCCGATGCAGCGGTGGTGGATTGATTTGCTTGGACCGACTGAGGGGTAGAAGGCGAGGTTGACTGCGCATTTTCCGAGGGTACATCCTGTGTTGACGAAGATTCGGAGTGGACGGACAGCTCCACGGAACTAGCACCTGGATCCGTAGTAGCAGCGGCAGCGGCAGCGGCAGCAGACTTGGGGGTGGGCGTTTCGGGGGGGGTGGTTTCTCCCGAAGCTCTCTCGAGGGTTTCGGCGCTGGCATCGACACCTTTCGCCGGGTTCGTGGGAAGCTCGACCGATTCCGCGGCAGAGGCTGGTATCCGTCTCCTCCTCTTAAACCTGGATCTCTTTGGGAAGGATTCGTCGGGTCGCGACAACCAAGGCAACTAAAACAAGAATCAGCTTCGCTGCCTCGAGGGCTAGGGACAGACTGGGACTCACAGGGGGCTTGAACGGCGAATTGCGGACTGGTATCACCTCGATAGCGGCGGGAGTAGAAGCAACTCCCTGGCTCTGCGGCGTCGGAGGCGTCAAGGGTGGTGGGACAGTTTGCGAAGAATGTGTCGAGGACGGAGTCTCGGGGACGGGGACAGGCGGGGGCAGTGTGACGGGGGCGTAGGGAGGAGGGGGGGTCGACAGAGCAGGAGAGGGCTGTTGCGGCGGAGGCGGAGGCGGAGGCGGGCGAGAGTAAGGCTGAAGGGGTTGCGGCTGCATGCTGGATGACACGATGGGAGGATATTGTTGGTGGATGGGAGGGGATCGCTGAGGATAATGGTTGTATGCCATGTACGGCGCATTAGCTATAGCACCGCTGGGATAGTGGTGCGGCACCTGGGAATAATAGTTGGCGGCGTAGGGATTCATGTAGTTGTTGTGGTACATGGAGTTGATGTGCTGCTGGGGGTGATACTGGGGGTGGGTGGGATACTGGGGAGCCGGCCGTCGTCGGCCACCACCCAGTCCCGGTCCCGACCCCATATCGACTTGACCTCGTGCCGCAGCTCCTCCGCCGACACCTCCTGGCATGGGCTGCCCAGCCGGCAGATGACTACCGTTCATCTTGCCGGCTTGGGGGGGTGTGATGGAGCAGTGGCTATCCGCCGCTGCCGCGACAGGTCTGGTCGCCGGTCTCTTTGAGTCGCGAGTATTTCAGGACGCGAGGGTGTGCGAGCGCCAGCCTGAAGACGTGCGTGGACGGCTGACGATGGGCGGCGCGCGTTCGGTCGATGGCGATGGGCCAGGTCTGGCTGCTACCGGCTCCGATGCGGTGCCGCAGCAGAGAGCGAGGGCAGCGACGAGAGCGACGAGAGTCCGGGTCTCATAGACGTGTACGCTCGGAGAGCGAAATAGGAAAGCCGAAGAGAGATTACGGGAGGGGAGTGCGAGCGACGAGGAGAGGCGGGTAGAGAGGATGCGCGACTTTGCAGGACTCGTAGGTGGGAGGATGATGTTGAGGTTGGGTGGGACTGGGGAGAAGGCCGAATTAAAGAATAATAAATTATAGGAGTTTTTACAGAATTCAAGCGACGTACCTACCGTTGGCTGAATGGCCCTCACAACAAATACACGCCACAACGTGCCGCCACGGGGGCTCCATACCAGCCACACAAGGGGAGCCAGGTACCTGGTACTTCCACCCGCACATTGCCGACGCTGGCAGATACTCTGCGTGTCTGCTGCGGAGCAGCTTGCTTCCAGGTACCTGATCTGACCTACGAGTTTAAACAATAAGTAGTCAGGTACCTAGGTAGGTATTCACGTAATAACCCAGCAGATTAGGCCGAAGACGTGAGGATCTCGTAACCCCCCTGGCCTCAGTAGCCTACCCGTGGATATGCACCTCCTATACCGCTTACACCGCGACAAGGCTAGGTACCTACCTGCCAATCTACCCTCGTAGCCGCACCCACGACGACGTTATCCTGATCCCCAGGACACCTACATGGTATAGGGGCAAGAAGAGCTACGGCGAGAGTTCCACAGGAGAGAGGACGATTGCATGATTCTACCAATTCCACGACAGGACGGGACGATAGGGATGTGGTTCGAAAGGCAGCTCCATTTTCTTCACATCGCTGAAGCCTAACCGGATGCGAAGATAGCCCCTAACACCTGCCCTCTAGTTGAGAGAGGCGAGAGGCAGTGCCCGCGGAGGGCGACCTGGCTGTCTCTATACCTACATACCTGTGGCTCTTGAGCAAGCAGACGGATGCCCTTGATGACCACCTCCTCTCTACCTAAGTCCATGCCACGCGCATAATGATACTAGCCGCTCATGCTTACAGAACCCATAGCGTTGTCCTCTCTATACCCCTGCCACGCCGACGACGACGTGCGAAAGCAAGCTTATTCGTCCCTGAACATCCATCTCCCGCCAGGCCGCATGGCCTCCCGATATCTCTCTTCGACGATCTGCTGTGCCATCCGAGCTGCCCCTTCTTTATCCCTCAGCTGTTCTTGCGTATTGGGGAAATCTGTTCGCCAGAAGCCTTCGGGCGACGGCGCCCGTTGGAACCTATGACGATGTTTGCCGTGCTCGTCGGCGAGTGCCTGCGCCTTGGCTTCGAGCCATAGGCTCTCCTTCTCCGGCCGGGTCATGGTCGATAATTTCCAGGCTTCGTCTCCCAGGTACGCCTCCAGCAGCACTTGGAATTCCGACGGGCTGGCCTTGTCGCGCTCGACACGCGCTTGGAGCCGAAACGTTTGGCCGCAGCAGGACTCCTTTATACATCCTGATAGACTGGCTCTCTCGTCTTTATTTCGAACCACGTCGGTGAACGCATAGTCGTAGCCTTCGTTGGAATGGGGATTAATCTTGAAGTCGCCGACAGACAGTTGCGATATTGGACGCGCTCGAAGAGGAGTGCAACCCAGGGTGCCGACCGTTTCTTTTGGGTCAGGAGCCCGCTTCGTATTGATGACCTTGGGGGACTCCCTACTGTTCGGCGCGGCTTCTGCGCTACGGGAGTGTATGTCCTTTTTCGAACCATCCCTGCCGAAAGGGAGCTCGCGCCTCTGCGGGGCAGAAAATTTGAAAGGCGTTGACGGAGGCCCGCGGCCCCGTTGAGCACTAGGGAGCGGGCTAGCAACGTCGTGTCCAGAGGGAAGTCCGTTGAGAAGCCTTTGAAGGCGACCGGACTTCGATGTCTTCTTGGTATATGTTCTTGGGCCCTGATACTGATCTCCATCCTCTGGGAGACTAGCAAGGCTGGCCCATCTAGAGGAAGACGCCCTCTGCTTTGTTATGCTATTGGTTTCCAGCGTCGGCTGGGCTCGAGGATTACGGTCCAAGAGGGTCGAGGTCGAGGGCTGGGCATCACGTCGTTTTAATGAACCCGTCACCTCGCATTCGCCAATGAGGTGGCCCCCAGAATCCTCATCTATTAGTCCTCGGGGAGGTGCTGGAGAGCTAGGCACTCTCGCTACGCCTCGCATCAGGCGAGCCTCTGTACTCGTGAGATCACTGCGATCAGCCTGTGACTGAGGGGTGTCTGTTTGGCTCAGGAAGGGGGGCGCGTCCTTCGACCGGCAATTCACCTTATTAGGCTTCCTCGGGGTCTCCACTCTACCACCGTCTGTGTCAAAATCAATACTATCGCGAGGTACCACACAGTATCGTCCAGCGGTAGGCAGTGGGCTAGAGCCATCTTCTACTTTGATTTTTGTCGAGGCTCGCGTATCCTCCGTCTGGTCATCGCCACGGTTCCTCTTTCGCAAGCAACGCTCCGATACGATGACCGGAGCATCTGACGATGGCTCGCCTTTGATAGGTGCCTCGTTCCAAGCCTCCTGCGGTTTCCCGGGAAGGGGGGGTAATGAAGGCGCATCCCGTTCCTCAGTGCCGATAAGATGCTCCACGCCAGCCATGATTCCTCTCCTTCCACAAGCCCCTACCCTTTGGTCTACTTCGATGGGAAGTGGCGAAGCTACACCGGCCGAAGATTCGCGGTCACCATCGCCGGTGCTCGCATGCAGTGATCCCGGGGTATCTTCCCCCGATATAGAGCCTTGTCCAGCCATTCTCGATTCTTGGGGAATATCAGGTTCGGTGACGCCAGGCGTACCTCCTTGCGGCCTAGTCATCGACTCCACAGGCATACTGGAAGAGACGCCCGCATCTAATCGGCTAGGAGACGTCGTTTCGGTGGCCGCTGCGATTTGAGCTTCCAGTTTCTTGATCTTCCGGCTGCGCCTCTCGTAGTATCCTCTCAGTATGGTTGCGTGTTCTTTCCACTGGTTATAGGCCTTGGTTCTCTTTCGAAGCAGTTGGGTCAATTCTGTATTCGCATTTTCTAGTTCGGCAAATTTTCCACGCACTTTGGCGTAGCTTTCGTCTAGTCTCTCATATTCTTGTTTGAGTTCAGAAAACGTGAGCTTGTCGACGTTGGGTCCCTTCGCCTTGATCGACGCCATAGAACTCGAGACTTGGTTGACGGACCGGGGAACAAGAGGGGTCCGAGGGTTGCGAGCAACATCGTGGGGTTCGGAGTCCCTGATCAACGCATTCTTGATGGGGAGGTCTTTAAGATTCTGCAGTTCCCTCTTCAGCGACCGATTTTCTTCTTCCAATTGGTGCACAGCGGAGACCCTGCTCCTTAGGCTTTCAAGCTCGACTGCGAGCCGCTCAGCCTCTTCTCTATGCGACTTGAAGCCTGCTCGGCCAGCTTGTTAGTTGCGCGCCTCTCGTGAGAATGTCCGAGCCAGGTTCGACACACCATTGCCCAGCTCGTTATTAATCTGATCACAGGCTCTCCCTAGGGCGTCGAATAGGGCACGCCTACCGACTTGCTCGAACCAATCCTCCATCTAAATGTAGACGGGATAGAACCTGACCGGGAGGTCTCTCCCTCAGTCCGTATCTAGAGTGATTCGACAATATACCTATACCTACACATTGCCGCACAGCTTGAGGTCGGCCGCAAGACGTCAACGGCTACCGATCCTGGGGGCCCGAGTGGAGTGGAAGATAAGGAAGATGGGACAGGGTGAATCGCACGACGGTAGAGTATAATTTCGTCTACAGATGCAGATAGGATGGCGTGGTGTAGATTTTGCAAAGTATGACGCGTATCGGCGCAGCGACGCGCCCATCCACGTGCAGGCGCATTACCAGGTCACGTACTTGGGAGGTACCTAGATACTAGAGGTCCCGACAGGGGGGATGCGAGGAGGTTGGTACATGGCATATGTACTATGCACGGGCTATGGGTATATGGCGGCGCAGTTCGCTGACATAAGCACAGTTGCATTTGCCCGCCTCAACTGGGGTATCGTAGCATGGTTTCCCCTAAAGCAACTTCGCATCTCCCGCCGGGTACCTTACGTAAGGTCTGTGCTCCTGCTAAGCTCCCACACCCGCAATCCTAGCTACCTAGGTGGGCCGTGTATACCTAACCCAGCCAGATCCTAAACAAAGGTACAGAGCCGAACTGGTGTGAGGCAACAAGAAGGGGAACACGTTCAGACCAGCGGAGACGGAAACACGTGCTGCCCACCCATCACCTGCAAGCAGAAGAAGTGCTTCTCGACAGCCTCGGGCGGGTGGTGCGAGTGGATGTCTTCCTAAATGCGGGTAGAGTAAGGTAGGCGTAGGTACCTGCAGATGTTTTGGATGTACGCATAGGTACCAAGTACCTCAAGTAGTAGGTTGCTTACGTGGGCACCTAATTCCGCCTTGACTGCTCACTTCAACTACGAAGACAGCAGATAGAAACGAGAGCTTTCCGTGTTCGGGCCCCCCTGCTGATATATATAGGCGTATATAGGGGGAGTGAGAGAAGGGGAGGAGAGGGTATATGTAGACACAACTGCACTCTTTACGGCCATGTACGGAGTTGGCATCTCCACCGCTACCCTCCGTGAGTAGGTATCATTTTCTGCCATCAAACAGGAAATTTACCCAGCCCTCTCTCTCCACAACCCCTAGGAGTTTTCCTTGCGAAAACGACCGGTACTGTACCGCCTTGCGCCCGTTACCATTACCATGCCAGGGCCTAGTGCGACGCTGACAATTCACGCATCTTCGCGGATGGAGGAAACGGGCCATCTCGAGATATGTTACGCAGCAATATCGTCTGGGATCGAACTGTGACCCGTACGTATATGGGTCGATGCAGAGGCGTAACAACCAGGGCATGGCCGGGACAACGTGACAATGGGAGAATGCACGTGCTGCCTAGGCGGCTGGGGGCAGCCGGTTCCAGGAATGGAAATTGGCGAGCTTGGCGATCCGGTCCATGCCCACAAGAGTTTTTTACTCATAGAGTTAGTTTCCTGCCCGCGGTCTCGTCCGCCAAAGCGCCAGAGCACCACATCCCAACAGCGATCAGAGCGACAACCCGCACCCGCACGCACAGATCATCAGATCGGCTGTGTCGAGATCCCATCCTTGAGTCCGGTGCCAGCCAGCCTTGTTTTACCCCTCGAATCCCACCCTCTCTCTGTCTCGCTGCGATGCCCTCCGATTGTCCGCTCCGCATGCTGCATCCTGCTTACGGCATCTCGATGGATACCTGAAATGTCTCCAACCTCGGTAGACACATGCCGTCTCAGACCAACCCACATACCGATACCATAGGTTAGGTACCTACCCACCTAGGATACCTAAGGTAGGTACATCTACACTGTGAACGGGGTGCCTCACAGCGTTGGCCTTGGAGGTACCTACCGTGCTTCCCCCAGCCTACCTTAAGTACCTAACCTGGGAAGAGGGTAGGTACCTACCTATGTGGACAAGCTGCTTCGTACTGGTGGCCAGGGTTAGATACGGCTAGGGTACTTGAGACCTGTAGCCATCCGCAGCAAAGCAGAGCGTCGAAGCGAGCTAGAGGTATGTACACCCTAGGTACTCGACGTACCTACCTGCCTTACCTACCTCCCAAGCTAGAAGTACCTGAGGTAGGTACCTAGGTACCTAGGCAGCGGCACAGCTAAGTCTCGTGGCCACAGCTGTAGCCCGCTCCTGCCTCGCAGGCGTACGCGCACCTGTGGTACATGCCTATGCCTACCTACCTAAGTACTGCGGTATATACCTACCTGTAGGTACCTCTCATTTATACCTCCGGCACCTCCTTGGGGAACTTTGCCCCTTCCTCCCACCAGAGGAAAGGGGGGGTTAAGTACAATACTTCGCCTCCCATAGATGGAATGCAAAGCGCCTATGTACCTGAGGTATCTAGCTGGGCAATTCCCCGCCATACCGCTTTTTGTCACGCTTTCCAATTTTGCACGGGTCGGGTCTCTCCTTCCATGAAATTCAAAATTCCTATCAGCCAACATCCCAAATAATTTTTACTCTTCTCTACCCAGCCAACCTCATATTTTCTTCCTCCCCGACTCCCCTTCTCGATATCGCCCGTGGGCTCCGCCTGACCTGGTCTTTTCCTACATCGACCAGTTCGCCTCTTGTCTTCGGCGTCTCTGACAACCCCCGAACCAACACCCTCGTCCCTATCGCGTACGCTGACCTGGGCCTCAATCCCACCTTGCAGCGACCATTCGAGATTGACCAAGCCTCTTCGCAGTCTTCCTCGTCGACAGAACCCGTAAGGTCCCCTAGGTAAGCCCAACCTCCTCGCTCCCAGTCCGTCTCCCGCATAGAGATCGCGATACTTGTCGTCGTCGTCGTCGTCGTCGTGTGTGCCCGCATTCCGTCTCTAGGCCTGTAGGGGTCGCGGAAATCCGTACGGCCCCACCACACGACGTCTACGGCATACGTACATCTTCCCTTCATCGCCTGCCCCCATTTCTCAAGTATTTCTGCGCCTGGGGCGAGGGGTGATGTGATGCGTTCGCATCGCCACCCGCTCTGGCCTCGACACGCAAAAGTTCTCTCGCTCGATGTCTCCTTACCCCCCCGCGCCGTCCAAGCCTTTGCGCCTGCTAGGTGTGCGTATTTGTTTGTCCCAATCAATCGCCTCGGCCGCGCTGGGGTGCGAGGAGAGGGCCAACGCTGCAGAAATCTCTTGCGGATAGGGGACGGTATGGAGCTATGCGACGACGACCCCCATTTCCTCGGGGTGGGATGCTGTAGGGTGATGCGTCGGGCTAGCGCAGGCCGAGCCGTGTCGCATCGCATTGCGCGAGAAGCTATCTGGGTTCTCGAATGGCTAACGTTGTCCTCGATCTCAAACAGACTCGGCCTTCAATTCCAAGACGACAGATAGATACCGTCAATCACCCCATCTTCGCCTCTCAGCACCGACACCCGTCGAAATCGTTATCATGGAGTTCCAGGTTAACCCACGCGCTTGCTTTACTTGTACGTAATCCCGTCGCCCCAAGCGAAGCACTCTCGCCCTCATCCCCTCACTGTCCGCATGTTTAATGCGTATTTCCTGTGGTTTGTGACCGGCTCGTCCCCGTCACTCTCCAAAGTACATTTGACATCCCCATACCGGCCTTTCTTACGTACTGGACCTCTTGCGAGCAAAACACGATCTAACATTCCATCGTCCGTGCAGGTGGCCAGACTACCCATCAGGTACGTCCAGAGGAGGGGCAACAGGCCGGACGGGGGTCTGTCATCAACTAACACCGATTAGGCCCGTGACTGCCCCAACCGCGGTGCGGCAAAATGGTGAGTACTATTTCGACGCCTACCGAGCTGGGCCTCGTATTCACATACTTATTATAGTTACAACTGCGGCGGCGAAGGGCATATCAGTGAGCTAGCTTCCTTGCATTTCCCTAGACCGATTGGCCCTTTTCTTACCAACGATGAACTCTAGGCCGCGAGTGTCCTGACGGCCCCAAGGATGCCAAGACCTGCTATCGTTGCGGCCAACCAGGCCACATCAGCCGTGATTGCCCTCAGGGCAGCATGCCCATGGGCGGGGGCGGCGGCCAGTCAAGCGCCCAAGAGTGCTACCGGGTAAGTCATCATCATACTAGGTATTTGCCTATACGCTGCGGTAAAGCTAACACGATCTGTACATAGTGTGGCAAGATCGGTCACATCGCCCGTAGCTGCCCCGACGGATATGGTGCCCACGGCGGTTACGGTGCCGGAGGCTTCAGCAGCTATGGCGGCGGCGGCGGCGGCGGTGGTGCGCAAAATAGCAAAACTTGCTACTCTTGCGGTGGTTACGGTCACATGTCTCGTGAGTAAATTCGATACGAGAAATCATAGCCGTCTATTTCTAACCTAGCCTTAGGCGAGTGTGTCAATGGTAGCAAATGCTACAACTGCGGCGAGAATGGCCACTTCTCCCGCGATTGCCCCAAAGAGTCGTCGGGAGGAGAGAAGATCTGTTACAAGTGCCAGCAGCCTGGACACGTTCAGGCTCAGTGTCCTAACTAAGCAGCTCTATGCCGGAGAACTCGACCTGCACCCGATGCAGCCCATTCTCAAACACGATATGGGTATTCCAACATCTGATAGTTATGAAGGAGGATGGTAACCTTGACCTTCGAAAAGGTTACCGGAGCGGTGGATGAGTGGAGTGGCCGATCTCCTCGAAATCTTCAAGCACCCTTTGTATAGTCTCTTCTTGTGGTTGACCTTCCGCGCAAACGGTGGGTCGCTACGGCGGGGCGCCACCGGTAAAGTCGAGATATCTCTTGCACATTGCATTGCGGCACACGGGAGGAAGTCCGCTTCTCATATTGATTTTCTTGGCGTTGGGGCTACAACACGACGGAAAACAACCCAAAAAAATTAGGAGAGGATTACATGAATCTCTCACGGCACCCGGAAAAGTTCCCCACGAAATACGGAGTCATGGATTTGTTCATGGATTTGCTTTTAAGGGCTATTACAGGTTCGTCACGGCATCATTGGTCACGCATTTGCGGGGTCTTGAGATTCGTTGCGTCGGCTTCATGGATCATGACATGTATCGTATGAAAAAAAAGATGCGTTGCATACGAGGAAACAGTAGTCGAAGAGAAAGATCCTTAAGGAGGTGTCTCACGGGCGGACTCTTCCATGGCACTGGTTGCCTCTCCGAAAAGGATGGAGGGGTAACGCTGGTTAGAAGGGTGGTTTCGCGAACGATGAACTTGACTGCATGTTGAGGGCTCAAGTAAGAAATGTCCTCGCTCCTAATGGATTTCTCCAGTCTTGTGTGATAGTGCCTCTCGTCGGTGTGTTTTGTGTCCACGTCCCTGCTTCCTATGGCGGATGATTTGTCGTGCGGTAAGGAGAAAGCAAGGGAAGATACCTCCCTCCCTCCCTCCTACTTATGTATGGACGATGTCATACGTAAGAAGGATATCGATGACTGATGGGGTAGATTGACTTAGGCTCGAGATATATAGGTACCTGTGATGTCTGACAGCCTGTGTGTGTGTGTGTGTGCACGTCCCGATATAGCCGTTCACAGGGGGTTCGGTGGAGGGGATGAGAGCGCCTCGACGTCGTGGCCTAAGAGTCTCGTGAGATTCGTTCGGAGGGCTGACTCGATGACTGGCTAATTGGGCCGGGCTATAGGGCTAGATAGGTAGGCCCTGAAACTTTCCGCGGCCTTTGCTCTTGAAGGGGAGGCGGGAGTGGTTGAGGGAGGCGAGGGTGATTAGTTTGGTATTGCATCTCGTCTATAGCAAGTCGATAAATAAAGGCCGGTAGGGAGGTGAGGATAGGGATTCATGTGCGTCTGTTATATACGTATACATACATACATATATATATATATCCTGTGTGCGTGTGTTAATGTGCCCTGTGCAGCATACGATCAACTTGGTGGACGGTAATCGGTCTTGCCTGCCTGGCTATCTGGCAGTATCCCGACGATTCCAAGATCATCTGGAAGCACGCGTCCACGAATGGATATAGAATGAATAACTATACAAATACCTGTCTCTATGCGTGGATTCTCTCGTGTCTATTCTATTGAGGCTACGTTAAAGGGGGCGAAAGCCGCCGAGGCTACGCTGGCCAATGCCATGTCTATTCCGAGGTACCTGATGGACAATGAAAACATCCATGATCCCCCCGAAACTCAGATTTCCCTTTAGACGCCTGGGGAAAATACCACCGGTGGGGTTTAGTGGCGAGTCCCTCTCGCAGGTCGCGTTGAAATAGAGCATATGGTGTCGCTTCTACAGCTTCCAAGCGCGTGTACAATATCGTGACTCTTACACAGGGAGGGTGCGACATACCCCCTTCTATGTGCCGTCCAGTATTCGATCAGCCATATGTCTGACCTTATATCGCCATCTGCGCCGTGCAGACAACTTAAGAGTGCTAGAGCAGGTCATGACTGCGGTGCTACGTAGGTATAAGAAAGGCGGCAGCAGCTTAGAAGGAAAAGCAGGAGCCGGGACTTTCCCGTGCTCGTGAGGGCTACCGCTACGGTGACTGCAAAGGACCGGATTCGGGACCGGGCGCGGCGTTTAAGCGCGATTCGGTATGCTTAAACCGCATGCGTGACGACGCGAGGCAGTGTTGCTTCGTACTCGTCGAGTGAGGTTAGGGGCGGGCTTCTCGCTCGTCCGCGTCGCTTCTTAGATACGAACCTTAAGCTGACCTCCCTGACGGCCGGAGTCTCCCTTCTTCTTCGCCAGGAGCTGCGAGATGATGAAGTGGCTCACATCTTCGTCCTGCCAGTAGCTCATATGTGACGCGATGGTATTGATCGGGTTGAAGTCGAGTGCGCCCCTGAGTCGAGAAAACCTATTAGCATAGGCCTCGTTGTGTTCGTCGGGGCATGCGGCCGTCGATATACGATCCTCTCTCTAGGTGATGTGTGAAAAATGTTCAACTTACTCCTGAATGCTATAGTCGACCCTCCCATTCCGGTTTAGGGAGCGCACTTTCATCTCTTCTCTGCGCAGCTTCTGCGCTTTGCGCTCCTCGGCGGCCCACGCCTCTCCAAGCTCTCGACCTTCTTCGGCGCGACTAGCGCTGTTCTTGTGTTCCTCGACACGCTTCTTCTGGAAGCGAGCGTATAATGTCTCGAGCTCGTCGTCAATAAGCGTCGCATCGTGTCCGAGATTAGCCCGCAAGGTCCCGGAGCTGTTCTGCCGGGCAAGCGCCTTCTGTCGCGCATCCGTTTTCTCAGACTGTGCGTTAGCGTTGGGAGTTACGTCGTTAGAAGTCGTGATATTGCTTCCGCCTGAAGCTGGAGCCTGACTTTGCGACGAGGCGTTGCTATTGTTCGTTGAGGCGTTTGCCGCATTGAAATTCGCGACGTCTTCGTTGGTTAGCCCCAGACTACGATTGAGAAGACTGCTGGCGATTCCTGCGCTGAAACTAGACCAGAGCCCGCTAACACTCTGGCCGACCTTGACGCCTATTCCGGATAAGCCTTGTGGCGCCACCGCGCCGAAAATTCCCTTTTTAGTGTATGGCAATACCTGAGGTTTGAGAGACGACATTGCGGGTGAGATCAGGGGCTCAAGCCGGTACGAAATTGGATCGGAAGGGTGAAAGATGTTGAACAACTGGGCGACTTTGGGGGACGATACCGAGGTCGGTAGGCCGGTAACTGCTGAAATTCGCTGGTCCGCCGCGACCGAGGAAGGGAGAAACGGGTCTTCGATACATTCTGGATTGAGGGGACTCTCGGACGGGACTGCGTTAGGGGTACCCCGGGCGGCGATCGTACGTCCTTTAAGCATCTGGAAGAGCCCGATCGGCGAGCCAAGACAGTATAGATCTTCAACCTCAAAGTCGAAACCAAGGTCGTTAGATTCTTTCGGCGGCTCGAATCGTTCCGGGGCTGTGAAAAAACGAAGGGGCGTGCGAGGGGTCTCTGGCGGTTGAAGCTTTTCTCTCTGTCTACAGAGGATGTCGAACATGATCGCAGACCCCAGCGAATGACCAACAATGTGGACTTTGCCCTTGAAATCGGGATTGCGTTCGATGAATAGCTTGTAAATTCTGTTTGACTCCTTTAACACGATCTCCGAAATCTGCTCCCGGTAGGCGCTCTGGTAAAGCAGAACATCTAGGGCTAGGTCCGAGATAAGGGAGCGGGCGAACGCGACGCCTTCAATCGTAATGTCTTCCAAGGAGGGGTCTAGGAGGCTGGTCAATTCCAGAACTCGACAACGTAGAGTCACGAGAAAAAAAAGAGAGAAGCTCACATTCGTCTTCGTCGTCCGCGGCGTCGCCCAAATCTGTCTCACCTTTCTTCTCTCGCCGTTTCGGAAAGTCCAGCAGATGCCTCCAACAGACGGGCAAAACTTGAATTTTGCAGTTGCCTGGCCCGTTTTCACCTTCTTTATTGAGATTTTTTAAATCGGCTGAGTGGGCGTAAACTGCTTTGACAGTCTTTCGAAACATATTAACGTCGTGGACGAAGTTGACGCTTTCCATACTAAATAAGCGAGCCCATCAGCATTATGTCTCAAGATGTCTACGTGTGGATATCAACTGAGACTCACCGGAGTCCCAAGAGTTGCCCGATACCATGGGTAACCAGAACAAGATGCTCGATCTCGCGCCCCTGTGTCTCTCCGTCTTGGCCCGTGTAGTCGTCCTGGATTTCTTGCTCCTCGCGTTTCCTTATCTGCTCCTCTTGCTTCTCTGGGTCCTCCGAGGCCTCGATGAAAGAAGAGAACTGTCGTTTCAGGCGATTCTCGGGCCGTTCAATGTCCATCGCGGAATCTTCATCTTCCCTGTCTCTATCCGCTGAGATTTCAGAACGCACACTGGCCGGGGCGGATCGTCGCTTAAGGGATTTCTCCTGCTTCTCGTCCTCTTTCTCGGGAGGTAGCGTGGCCGTTGGGGGAGTAACTGGCCTCTTCCCATCTTTTGCTTTTCCGGGTTCTGAGTACCCTCGGACGAGTTTTACGCCATTCATGTACCCGCCACCCGCGAATTTCTGGTACACGGTAGACGTAACCCAGGAGAAGACGCTCTCCGAAGACAGCCAAGCCGTGTTCGAATCCTGATACGTCGCTATACTATTCATATAGGTTCCGAAGAGACGGTAAGTCTGGGGCTGATGCTGCAACGCGGGCGTCAACGGCGGAGGCCTTAGCGAGCCATCAGCCTGCGATTTTGCCGTGGCCTTGAGGTTTTCTGAAGACGCCTTGGGGGTTACATCATGCAACCCCGAGTTACTGTGCGTCCTAGGCGCAGGGTACGTCCAGGGTTTGATTTTCAGGTACCCCTCCTCGAGCTGAGCTGCCAAGTTCTCCTCGCAGGGCCGCAACGTGGACCCTTCTTGGTAGAACCAAGTGCCACGGCGAATTTCGTAAACTGGACCCAGCCAATACACGGGCGCCAATTCGCGCTCCTCTATGTCGACGTCAAATAAGAAATCTTCGTTGACCGGAACTCGTGGGCTACCCCGGGAGCCGTCACTCTCGTCATTGATGATAATATCGGGACTGTCATCTGTCGACCTTGCCCTCCTACGTTGTGACGTAGACCGTATCCCTCTACTTAGGGATCCCCTGTCTCGCTCGTCTTCGAGCTCCTCCAGAAGCTTTTGGTAAGCGCCTTCGATCGATCGCGAGTCGTCTTTAGAGAAGGCGATGAATTTTTTGGGCGCGGGTTGTTTACTTCCGTCGTCTTCCTTCTTTTTTGTCTTCAAGAGGTTGGGCTTCCGTTTAGGCACCTGGTATCCGGAGGGGTTAGAGAGGCCAGAAGACTGCACAACACGAACGAGGTTACCGAGTTGCCACACTTACGTCAACCGCGTGAAACCACATAACGTCGAAAGGCGGGCAGTCGGTAGGGTACTTTCTGAGGCTCTGGCCGTAGAGCGTGTTGGTGCTGTGGTCTTCGGCATTCCTCGTTGCTGTGGTCTTGGGCTTGAGAGGGTTGTCTTTCGGAGTCGGTGTAGTGCTGCGGGTAAACGTCCAAGGGTTGATGGAATCGACGGCGGTTGCCAAGTATGATTTCTCTACCTTCTTTACGTCTTTCTTCTCGCCGGGCGTGGCGGTGTCACCGCTCTCCGGAGTCATCTTGCTGGAGCGGCCAAAGGGCCATCCAATGAAGCTTCTCGCGGATGCTGTGGGAAATGAGCTTCGAACGGGCCAGCGGAATGACAAGGCACGGGCCCCTCGACAAGTTCGGGAGATATAAACCAGAGAGTTCGCCAACTTGAAGGGTTGCGAGGCGGGAGACGGGGACTTGGGATCAAGAAGCAGAATATTGGACGAATATGCAGTTATATTCGCTCGCTGGCTGTCGATGGCGGAGCCCACATTGTCAGCCTAGATTTCGTTGGCATTCGGTACGGTTTCGGATCGCGACGAGGGAGCTGGCAATTTGGGGTACAAAGCCTTTCCCCGAAGCAGCGGGTGGGAGAGAAGAATGCCTATCGGGTGCGAAATATATAAGATGTAAGTTAATATATACGATATATACATGTAGGTGTAAACCTGAACAGCAAAGGATGAGCTGGCCTCAATGTATATCGTGGGAAGAGGGATTACGTCGGTCGCAGTATCTGTCACATGGCATTGGAAGGCCAGAAGGCAGGTAGGCACCTGAGATACATGCATTAGGTAGGTACATTTATCGATGAACATGGGACATTATCGAAGGTATGCTGCAACCGGGGGTGAAGCGGATGGGCCAACCGATGCATGTACTAAATAGGTATATGCACGTACCTAGCTGAACGTGCCTAGGGTAAGGTACTGCCTTGCCCCTAATGTAACGGTATGGGTCCACATGCAGCCTTAGCAGCAGGTTAGTGCTTGAGCACAGAGGCGAGAGGTACCTAAGGCATTGCAAATTAGGTACCTACCTCTTATCGTGTGGTGGCTTAGGTACCTACCTTCTACCCTACTGTACCTAAGGTGGGTAGGTACCTGGTATATGTGGTTATCTACACTCGCTTGGCCCCCGCCGCAGCAGAACCTGGTCAGAATGGTGGGGTACGACTGGGCGACTCTAAACGCCAAGTCATTTTTTTCTCTGTCCGCCCGTCTCTCCATCCACCCACCCATCTACACATACAACGCTGGGTCTCGTCGAGCCGACAAGCATTCCTCCCGCCTACGCCGTCACCCAGCCGCGCCGCCATCTCGCCGTCTAGCTCTCCAGCCTGGTTATACGGCCATGAGGAAGCCGCCTGTCGAGTTCACCATTGCGTTCGCGCGACGCCAGTTTCCTTACACCAATACCTGAGAACTGCGCAAGCCTCTCGATTTGCAGCTTGCGACTCTTGACATCGCCTTCTCCTCGCCATACTGAGAAGCCGAACGAAAGCAGAAATGTCTACCACTACTACCGCTACCACCAGCGCGGTTGCGCCAGTTAAACACCAGGTCGTTGATAAGTTGCCCAAGAGGTTCAAACGGATCAAGTTCGGCATCCAGTCCAACCAGGATATTGTCAATCAAGCTGTCATCGAGGTGTCCGATCGAACCCTGTACGATGTCGACAGGGGGAGAGAGCCGACTCAGAATGGAGTGCTCGACAAGCGCCTAGTGAGTGAACATCCCCGGACGACTGTCTTGGAGGCATGACTGCCGGCCTCGAGAACACTGACTGACGCGGGCGCTATTCGCAGGGAACTTCAAGCAAGACCGGTACCTGTTCAACATGCGGCCTCCGGCTGGCGGACTGCACTGGCCACTTCGGCCATATCCGATTGCCTCTACCCGCCTTTCATATTGGCTACATCAAGTTCACTATAACGATCCTGCAGAACATATGCAAGAACTGTTCCCGAGTGCTGCTGACGGAGCCGGAACGGCGGCTTTTTCTGAAGGAATTGAGGCGGCCTTTCATCGACAATATGCGCCGCACTGCCATCTGCAAGAAGATCAACCAGCAGTGCCGGAAGGCAAAACACTGCCCTTACTGTGGGGCGGTCAACGGCCAGATTCGAAAAGTCGGCGCTCTCAAACTAGTCCATGACAAGTTCGTCGCATACAACAAGTCAACGTCGGCGAAGAAGCAGCCACCGCCCAGCAAGGTCGAGTTCGACAACTCGTTCAGAGAGGCCAGGAAGCATGTCAACGACCTCGACAAGCATCTGAGGAAAGCGTTCGAGGACCTGAACCCCCTGAGGGTTTTGAATTTGTTCAAGCAGATCAGCCCTGCCGATTGCGAATTGCTCGGGCTCGACCCTTCGGAAGGCCGGCCCGAGATGTTCTTGTGGCAGTATCTTCCCGCCCCGCCTGTGTGCATTCGGCCGTCGGTCGCCCAGGAGGGCGCAAGCAACGAGGACGATCTTACAACCCGCCTCTGCGACATAGTATGGGCATGCGGCTTAATCCGTGCTGCATTGGAAAAGGGCACGGCGCTCCAGACTATCATGGAGCAATGGGAATTTCTTCAGTTGCAAATTGCGGTCTACGTGAATAGCGACGTCCCTGGCCTGCGGGATAGTGGCATGAAAACAATGAGGGGCGTCTGCCAGCGCCTGAAGGGCAAGCAAGGCCGATTCCGTGGCAACTTGTCAGGGAAGCGCGTGGACTTCTCCGGCCGAACTGTCATTTCGCCTGACCCCAACTTATCCATCAACCAGGTTGCTGTACCCGAGCTCGTTGCAAAGAACCTTACTTATCCCGAGAGAGTCTACCAGGGAAACATCGAGAAACTTAGGCAATGCGTGCTGAATGGCCCCAACGTGTGGCCAGGGGCACAGAATATCCTAAAGCAAGATGGCGAGCACCCGGCCTTCAAGGTCTCCTTACGATTTGCCGACAAAGAATCTGCTGCCAGGGATCTCCGCATAGGGGACATAGTTGAGCGGCACCTCGAGGATAATGATATTGTCCTCTTCAACCGCCAGCCGTCGCTTCACAAGCTTAGTATCATGAGCCACTACGCGAAAATACGGCCATGGAGGACATTCCGTCTTAACGAATGTGTCTGCGGTCCTTATAATGCCGATTTTGATGGGGACGAAATGAACCTACACGTACCTCAGACAGAAGAGGCCCGTGCCGAAGCCATGACTCTCATGGGTGTAAAATACAACCTGGCGACCCCCAAAAACGGAGAACCGATCATTGCGGCAACGCAAGACTTCATCACGGCCGCGTACCTGCTCAGCAGTAAGGACAACTTCTTCGACCGCAAAACGTTTACCTATATTGTCATGCAGATGATGGATGGCGTTACTCACATCGATCTCCCACCTCCGGCTATCCTCTATCCGAAGCGACTGTGGACTGGGAAGCAGGTTTTCAACATGCTCATGCGGCCGAACAAGTCATCCCCAGTCAAAATCAACCTCGATGCCAAGTGTAGGGAGTATGCGGAGCCAGAACCGCCCGGGCCGGGGCAAAAGGCGAGAGCACCAGATATGTGCCCGAATGACGGATGGCTTGTCGTGAGGAACTCGGAAGTCATGTGCGGCAGAATGGATAAGTCGACCGTGGGTGCCGGGAAGAAGGAATCCATCTTCTACGTTATTCTGAGAGACTTCGGCCCTGACGCGGCCGTCGCGGCCATGAACCGGCTCGCCAAGCTGTGCGCGCGAGTGTTGACCAACCGAGGCTTCTCGATCGGCATCGGTGACGTCTTCCCGTCCGCTGCCCTCACAGAGCATAAACAGGCCCTCGTCGCTGCGGCGTACGAAGAGTCGGATGTGTTCATCGAACAATTCAACGCCCATAAACTACAGAAATCAGCCGGCTGTAGCATGGAGGAGACCTTGGAAAGCAAGATTTCTGGGACGCTGAGCAGAGTTCGACAGGCGGCAGGAGACTTCTGTATCATGACGCTCAGCAAGAACAACGCCCCTTGGGTCATGGCATCTTCCGGATCCAAAGGCTCAAATATTAACGTCGCCCAGATGGTCGCTGTCGTTGGGCAGCAAATCATCGGGGGGCAGCGTGTAGCCGATGGCTTCCAAGACCGGACCCTCCCACATTTTCACAAGAACACTCGCCAAGCTCCCGCAAAGGGCTTCGTTAAAAATAGCTTTTACACCGGCCTAGTTCCCACCGAATTCTTGTTTCACGCTATCTCTGGGAGAGAAGGTCTGGTCGATACGGCGGTCAAGACTGCCGAGACTGGATACATGTCCCGCCGCCTAATGAAATCGCTGGAGGATCTGTCAACCCAGTATGACGACACGGTCAGAACCTCTGGCGGTGCTGTCGTGCAGTTCCAATTCGGCGCCGACAAGCTAGATCCCGTCGACATGGAAGGCATGGCTGTCCCCGTCAATTTTGCACGAACATGGTCTCATGTCGAAAACCTGACCTGGAGCAATTCCGACAGAGCCTTGTTGCCCTTTGAGATTATGGAACTTTGCAGGTCCATTCTCGACGAGGAACGTAAGCGCTACCAAAGGCGCGGTTTGTTGCGAGGGGAGCCCTTGGACTACACGGATGAGAGCGACTACGCCGTTGACGAACACGAGAGCGCCCGAGAATTTCTCAAGAGCATACAAACCCACATTGAAAAGCTGGCCGTGAAGCTGTCCAGGTTTCGGGCTTCCGCAGGATTGGACGGGATGCTTACCAGACCCGACGGCTATTCTCTAACCGCCATCCAGCAGCAAGAAAAAGGGATAGTCTCGAGACGTGCATCCGAGAGGGTCGCCAAAGTCTCGGAGCGTACGCTCGTAAAATTCATCGAATTGTGTCTAGAGAAATACTCGAAAGCACGCGTGGAGCCGGGGCACGCAGTCGGAGCCGTCGGGGCACAGTCGATCGGCGAGCCGGGGACGCAGATGACTCTGAAGACCTTCCACTTTGCCGGTGTCGCCGGGATGAGCATCACGCAGGGTGTGCCGCGTATCAAAGAAATCATAAACGCCTCGAAGTTGATCAGTACGCCGGTTATCACTTGTCCGCTCGAGAACAGCCAGCAGATCGAGGCAGCTCATCTTGTCAGAGCTAGAATCGAGAAGACCTACGTTGAAGATGTGCTTCGATATCTCGATGACGAATGGGAGCCGTATAGAGCTTTTATTACCCTTCACATCAATACCGAGACTCTGGAAGGGATGCATCTCGGTATCGGCATCCACGACATCGCAGATGCTATCGCTAAGCAGAAGAAGCTAAAGATACAGAGAACCGACATGCACGTCTTTGAGCAAGACGCATCCATTGAGATCACGGTCAGACCTCCGGGCCCGGACTCGGCAGTCAAGCGGATGCCGAGAAGCAAGACGGCCGTTGCAGAAGCTATGGCGGACTTGCTCCTTCGAGTCAATTACCTGAAACGAGTATTGCCGTCGGTGCCGATCTCTGGGTATCCGGACGCTACTCGCGCGATCATTCAAGAGTCAGACAAGGCAAGCCAACCTCGTTTCACAGTGATGGTGGAGGGTTATGGGCTACGACACTGCATGAATACCGAAGGGGTTATCGGCACCAAAGTGCGTACAAACAGTGTATTAGAATGCCGCGACGTCCTCGGCATCGAAGCGGCAAGAACCACCATCGCCAAAGAGATTTCGTTGGTGATGAAAGGCATGGATATCGACCCGCGACACATGCAGCTGTTGGCCGATGTCATGACATACAAGGGCGAAATCCTCGGCATCACCCGCTTCGGTCTGTCCAAGATGCGGGATAGCGTGTTACAGCTAGCGTCGTTCGAGAAGACGGCGGACCACCTGTTTGACGCAGCGGCCGGAATGAAGGCCGATCCTATCGAGGGCGTCAGCGAGAAGATCATCATGGGCCAGACGATGCTGGTCGGCACGGGCGCCTTCCAAATGGTTCGCGCGCTGGACCTCGCCGACGAGGATCTCGCCAGTCTGCCAACCGCTTTCGAGGATGCGTGGGCGGAGGAGGAGGATGCATATCGTAGGGCGACGAAGCGGTCCAGACCGATGGCGGACGTTTAAAAGCTGTGTTCCCCGGGCACGTTCGCAGGGAGAGGATCCAAAGGAGGGCTTCGTCCAAGTGCAGAATCAGTCGGTTGTAGAAGAGCATAGTGTTGGCATTGCGTGTGAGTTTTATATCAGGTTCAGGATCTCTCCTATCCTGTCGTGTTGCTACTAGTTACTTTTCTATAGTCCGCGATCCGTAGCATATACCCACACCGCATGCCTGGAGTCTAGGTACTAGCAATGCAAGGTATCTTTGAAATAATAGGTCTTATTCACGATGTGACTACTCTTCCTCTCTCTCCTCCTCCTAGCCTCGTCTACTTCTCTCCCCCCCGCATCTGTATTTCTTCCCATTCACCACTCTGGCAGGCGATGATAGGGGCAAAGGAGGGAAGCATATACAATTGCGAGGATATTGCCAGGTTATATCCCCTCATTTGTTTCCTTGTTTCGGGGTGTTCCATAGTGTTAACATAATAGAAACGAGTCGCCCTTTGTGTCCCATGATATAAGGGGCCAGGAAACTCGCGAGATGCCGAGGCACCCCAGTACTACACACACCAGGCAATCCGTTCCGGACCTTGATTTTGAGTTATGAAGCGGCTCTTACTGAACTATCCTATTCTTCGGGAAAGACTCGGTAGGGTCCATCGAGGACCGGACAACGCAGACAGGCATAGGCGGGAAACGTGTATAAAGCGGACTTCAGTTCCGGTCCCCATCTTTAGACCTGAAGCTTAGACTGTGGAGGATGATCAGCCTGGCACATTATGGAACATGTAGTAGCGTCGGGTGGTATCTTAGGTAGACACAGCAGAGAAAACTTGGTAGCCAGAGGTATATACCATCAAGGGATTGAGTAACCGAGTAGGACTTTCTTCAAACCTCTCGGCCATCCCACCAGGGATGTCCACGACGACCAAAGGAAAAGGGGCATGGGGAAAACACCCTGAACTGAGAATCAAGCTACCGCTCGCTGTCTAGCCCTCTCTCTGGGTGGTCAGCAACTGACCTTAGATTTGACGTCAGCTATTGCACACAGCTTCCAACCTCGGGGACCAAGGGCCATGATCCGATACGGATGAATCCGAAGTCGACCAGATCATGACCGCAGCGTCGGCGTCGAGCTGGAGCGATCGATTCCCTTGGCTGGACCAGTGGTGCACCTCCCTAAGGAAAGCTAGGGCTCAGCACACAAGCCTTAATTCCAATCACCCTTCAGTCTGGTAGTGTAGCATTCGATGAGCGATGTATCCAAACGTATTCTCACCACGGGTGTACGAAGCATACGTAACGCTGACAGCAAAGGGGGGGGCAGAACAGTCAGCCCCTTGGTGTAGGTACGGTCCAGAATTGCACGTCCTAGTCCGTCGAGGCTTGCAGGAAGCGAGGGAATATCGATTGCAGAGTCGCAATATCGTTTCGTAGAGTGGCTTGATCCTCAATCTGGGCCAGGTCACGACGGCCCTTCGAGTCGATATATTCGTAACTTGTTTTTCGTTACCCACCACCCATTACTCTATCTGTCAACGAATCCGCTGTGTCATGCGTCCTTGGCAGTTTCAGGTTCGAGGTAGTCGTGGAGTGGTTGTGTGCTACTCGGTATTGGGGATATATCCGCACCTCCCAAGCCAGCCTGCCTAACGTCCACCTGGTTGCCTTGACCTCATCCCGATTCTAGCTTTTTCTCCGACATAGTTGGATGCTTCGCCCACTCGGCGCATATGGCCCACCACGTCGTCTTCTCGGGTAGGCTAAGGCAGTCCTCGGTCCCGGTTGCTCGTCGGAGCTGATCGCCGCATCTTCCTGTTCGACGTCGATTATTCTAGCGCGGCAACGTCCTTCCCACACTCCTTGTTGTCGATGCTCCTTCACCATACCTTCCAAGCCCCTGTAATACCTCCCTTAGGGCTGGCCTATGTTATCGCGATAGCTTCCACCGGAGTCCGAAGTGGTGATGGCATGCCGAGGACCCTCCTCGTGCTACGCGCATGCGTAGGGGAATCGTTATCGTGTTTCCTAGCCGTTTGGAACAATGCCGTATAACCCCTATCAGCTAGGAATAAGGTAGTCAGCTAGACGATCGTGACGGCTCGGATGCCCTCGACCAGATATATAAGAAGGCCGTCCACCTTACTAAGGGGTATCCTTAATTTCCGTCGTATAGCGGCTCATAGCCCAATTAGATGGAAACGGATGCTTTATGTCGCTTTCCGCCAGTTCCTAGGAAGGTTACTGTGCGTCATAAACGGCAGAGGAATGAGATAAACCGACTCATAGCAAGTGTCTCGGTGCAGCTAAGGAGGTTGAAGCACCGCTGCTCCTTGAATGGGTAAGATCCCCCCCCTCCCGTCTCCCCTGCTGCGTACGCCTCCTTCGCGCTGACAGGTTCATCACAGCAACTTGCATACCGGGAGGGGTTATTCATGAACGGCATCTATCAGGTGCACTGCTCGAAGGGGCGCCCGTTGGGCCTCCCCCATTTACGAGATGCGCTACAGGCTGCTAGACCTGCGAGCCTCGGTGAAGTGCCTGACTTGGATGATCATTCATCCCTCCCAAACCTGATAGGAGAGGGACATTACACTAATAGGACTACGTATAGTGGCATGCGTGATTATGTGCAGAGCCCTCAGCTGTGCTTTGCGCTGCTCTACGTAAGCCTCTCTACTCCCGTATGCCGTCATCTTGGGTCAACGAGAGAGACTTTTAGGGCGCCATATACATACCTGGCTAATCCAGAGGCGCGGGAACCCTTTCAACATGTGGCTCTATATATGGGTCTTCACCCTAATATTACCGGTACATGCTTCAAAGACACAGAATGTAACTCTACGAGGCCGAAGAGTGCATATAGAAAGACGCACCTGACTGGAGCTGTACTTCCTCGGCACCGATGTCAGCTTGGTATTTGACGGCCGCCTCACCGCCTCAGTTCATCCCCTGACGGACTCGGAAAGGTAATCGGATATTTAAAAGGCGAGCTCTATGTCTTTTCCCAAGCAACCCACCGAGATGGCCCTAATTTCCTTCACTCGTAGCGACCTATACAGACATTGATTGTTTTACATGAGAGGAGTAGATAGAAGATGAGAGTAGGAGACGACGTCCCGGTGACTGATAGGCTTACACGTTTCCAAAGGTGCCCGGCGACGCAAGGGGATGAAAGGGAAGTCCTCCGAGTGGTCGAGTATGACACGCGATCACTCTCTTCTACGCCTCCCTGGCTACTGTTAAGCGGCAGTTGTCTTTGCAATAATAGTCGGTGAGTCGGCTTGTCCCGATTTACGAACGGGCATTGGCGGTACCGAGATAGATTTCTTCCTCTAGGCTATCCGGACGCGCATAGTTAATTTACGCTCACATTGCAAGAGCAGTCTTCGGTTATCCGTACGATTTCAGATTAATTTACTTTTTGCTCTGTGCTCAATCTCACTTCCGCTCGTGGACTACCGTCGCCTACATCGTGTTATGACTAGTACACTTTCCGCCGATGGCCCCTGTATACTCTCTGCTATGGTAGATAGACGCTAAGATATTCAACACTTCTGGAGAACCCGAGAGTAGAATGGTAGCTCGCTGAGGCACGTCTTTGAGGAATGCCTCAGAGTGGCGAAGGTGGCCTTTAGAGCCCTGAGGAGGACTATCTCCGCGCCGTCCGGCGGCGCTCACGTCGACCGGTACCGCGAGAAGGACACACTCGTGAAGCAGTTACTAGATCACTAAACCAGGGCGTATCACTGAGGATAGCTACCGTCTTCGTGCCCCGATTTCGCAGTTCCTAGATCGATAAAATCCGTCTAAAACGGACCGGGTCGTTAGGGATGGAAGCACGTCTGGGCTCAACTTGACGGGGTGCCCCTCGTATACCTCCACCCCCGATAATGTCTTCGACTCTATCCCGAGGTAGAAGTTGGGGATCCGGGATGAATCATGCGTTCGAGTCCGGAGCCCGGGAGGATATCAACGTCACGGAGATCCATCAGGGAGCACCCAGCCCCTCGATTACGTGTCCAGAGGTTCAGTATGTGCTCCCCAAAAGATAAAGATGCTGCACCCCAACGGGCATATTTCGAAACACCCACTGCTATCGAGCCCCATGGCCTTTTCCTGGGCAGAGAAGCATGATTCTCAACTTCTGAGGAAGATCGCGACGATTCCGTATTTCGTCACCACCCTAGCCAGGGTTCTTTAGAACCACCATTGCTATCATAGGCGAAAGCCTCTCAGCCCTCCCTCCAGCTCGTCCCACGTTACCGAGATGTCTCTCCGGGCCATGGTACCGGCTCGAGCTCCACCGGCTTTGGGAGATCACCGCCCAACCATCGAACAGTGCCGCCCCGAGAATAGGGTGACCTGTCAAAGCTGTCCAGAACATAGACCGAAAGCTGGTCACAGATGATGTGGTCCACTCCGTTTCGCCGCCCAAGAGGACGGCTGACTTGACTCCAATTTCAAGCCCAGTAAGAACTCTATGCGCTTTTTCGAGGCCAAGACGGCGTAACTGGGCGCTTACGTGGGAGACCATGCGGTAGCGGGACGTGTGTAGCTAATAACAGCGTGGGGATGGTAAATAGAGCAACTAATTCGGGTTGTAAAACCCGAAGCCGGAGCCAGAAGCACGTCTGCTCGCAAGAGGATTCGGTCGGAAGTGTTAGGAGGTGTTCATCAGACACCGCTACCCCCTTCTCCCCACTTACCATACACGATTCCTGGATAGCTTACACTTGATACGACATGACGACGACGAAGCCGCTACTGCCCATGCCGGTCCTCGGTCGATCTCACGCGGCCAGGAGGATGCCACCAGATTTGACAAGAGACTTATCTACGCATCGGGACCGGGCTAGTCACGATAGATTCTAGCTTCGGCCCTTCGATCTCGCGCCTCGTGGGAGAGGGATGCGAAATAACGGAATTATCGAATCGCGTCACACAACCGCTACCGCTGCATGAAATACCACGCCAGCGGCTACACCACCGTCCCGACGTAGCGTCGCGTCTCGCCCTCATATATCGTATTTGTCGGGATGCGATCGCGGCGGTGTTGCCGAACGGATGAGCACAGGGTTCCTCCCTCTCTCCCTCTCAGTCGGAGGCCTATCGGAAGAGCGCGGGACATAAAGTCAGGATAGGTCTAGGCACATCTTCCCCCTCTACGGGATTGTACAAGGCGCCACTACAATTCCTGGACGAGAGCGCCACGGTGCGACACGGGACGGCTCTTTGTGCTGCCTATGCTTGAGGGGGCCTCAGCTTCTGCCTGTATCATGCTGTGGGAGAGGCAAGAATTCACGAACCTAGTCGCTCCAACTGCTATATCTCTTAGAGGGGGAGAGGGGGAGGGCAGAGCCTAGAGTTGACAAACTCGCAGTATACTTACCCGCCTGGTCGTCGGATACGAGCCGGTTGAGAACCAGATGGGGACTGGCGGGATCGAGGACTCCCTCCTCTCCTCCCTCCCTCTTTCTCTCGCGTTCCACACTCGTTGCCGTGCGCCGATATCTTGACAACTCCGAACTGCATACGCGCCGATCCCCTAAACCCCCCATGGTCGAAGGGATGCATAGCTGTGGGGTGTGATTGCGGCGGCGGCGTTCGCGTCCCGACGCCTCATACGTATTTGCCTAACTTACGGGACATTACCATACCGAGCAAAGGGCTATCCAAATCTGGCGGCGTCACGAGAGAAAAGGAAAGAAAAGCCTACTGGGTTCACGCGGCGCGGGCGTTAAGGCGAAGTACACAGGCGGCAAGGGCCGGCGAACTGCCGCTCCAGGAGGCCAATTACGACGGCTAGGTCACCCAGTCCCGCCGCCCCTCGGCATCGGCTTGCGTGATATTCGGTGACGGGATGGTCGCATAATAGAGGCTAGAGAGGAATGATAATATTGGCTCAGGATGGGCTTCCAGCGCGGTCGCTGGCCTAGAGTGTCGGACATCTCACCGCCCCCCCCCTTCCCTCGTCTGGATTAACGCGGAGTTTTAGGGCTGCAGTTTGACAGGATATCCAGCCGTCCACGCCAAGCCGTACGAGACTTTGATGGCTTCGACACCGAGCTGGGAGATTTCGGATACACGTCACGCTGCAGGTAGCAGCAACAGCAAATCCTCGCCAACCGTGAGCTGTACGGGTTTTCTCTACCAGAAATATCTACGGTACACACAGGACGGGCACAGCTCGGCTACGCTCGCGGCAAGGGCAACTCCTTACACAAGCCATCGGGATAGACGACCTACAAGCTCGCGTCCTCAAATTAACTCCAGGAGAAACCGGGCCAACGGGGCCATGTTCCGAGTGAACCCCGGGCCCAGTGTTTCCGGAGGGCTGGGGTTGAGGGAGATGGGATCTAAAACAAAGGTGCCAATTATTGTCGCAAGCTGGCTGTGGCTAATCATATCATACGAGCAGGCGAGGCGAATAGAGAGGCCGGAGTGAAGCGTACAAGCGAAGGGTCAGTAAGTGAATGTACGACCGTATAAAGTGAATTATTCCCCGGGTTCGGGAAGAACACCCCAGCACCTTGTGCGCCTCGTGAAGAAGAGGCGAGGAGATGGACGCAATCCATCCTGACGCGAGGTCATGAGGGGAGCAGGGCCGACACCTAGGAACGCCTACGTCTATATGAGCATGACATGCAGCAAGGCACGACGACGTTACTAGCAAGTCGCACACGACACGCAATATGTGCGTAGCTACGACGGAGAGGCCCAGAATCTCGGGCACCTCCTGTTCTCGTCGAGAGATCCCCTCCCTGCTTCGCTCCTCGCCGCAAAACGAAAAGCCCTCGTGGGGGAGGCGGGGGAGGGGGAGAGGGGGGGGGGGGGGGGCGAGAGGGAAAGGGGGTTGGTTCTGCTACTACCACTCACCCTTACTCACTCACATAGCTATGAGTGCGAGCGTGGCCCAAATCAGGAGTCGAGTGCATTACACCTAGATCGTAAAATGCGCTACGAAGATATACTCTCGCCCCAGCTCCTTTCCGAAAGGTTAATGGGGCGCGCAACGATGCTCACATTGATAATGTGTCTATGGATGACGTGGTTGTTGTGCCTCTAGAGTTCTGGTCAGCCACGCGGCCAGTTCGCCGGAGTGTCGTGTACGCGAGGACGCGTCAGGTATGCCTGGCAACATCGACTTGGGCAAGAACACGGAGGCAGTTTATCGACTAATGGTGTAGAGCGAGAGGAAACGAATTGCAGAGGCTAATAACGAACGAGAGGGGAGAGGAAGGGGGGAGAGTTGATGGCGGCGACGGCTTGGTAGGTAGGCTGCGCGCAATTGGAATTGGCTTATGAGTAGACAGAGCTGACGAGAGAGGGAAGAGGTGCTTTTGTTACTGCAGCAAAGCCAAGTGCACGTAGGGAGTTAGTTGGCTAGTTGGCTGCTTGGATCCAAGTACGGAGTCGCATATCTACGTCTGGGAAAAAACCATTCTTCTGGGTCAAACAGGAACCGAAAGCCATCCTTTGGGAGACGCAAAAGACCACAGCCTTTTTCCTACTGGACATACCTACCTCTACAGCGGCCCCCTTGCCATCGTGGCTAATGTCTAAGACTTGACTCAAGTCTATATATACTAGAATCGACGGGTGACTCCATACCGTACCCACACGCATGACGACGAAAGCGAGGGAAGAGGAGGAGAGATGGGAAGAGGGAGAAAAGTTCCTGGGCTGTCCTGGAGATTTTCCGAGCTGCAGCTGACAAGGACTGGAGACTTGGTCCTGGACTGGAGAGAGCTGCTGCATAGGAGAGGCGTCGACCGCGACCAACTGTTGGACCCCGACAGATGCGGTCATCTCAGCAACGCCGGAGTTTAAAATGCTCAGATCGTGTCTTAATCATCACCCATTTTCGTTGCGAGGAAGAGAACCGCCGTTTTCCGCGAGGGCTGTATCGTTGATGGCTTGGTGGAGAAGGACTGCTGTTCTCGCTCGCCCCCCTCCCCTCTCCTCCCCTCACCACCTCGTGCCCCTCGCTTGCTCTTCGGGAGACCTCCCTGCCAGAGCGTCGACTTTTAGTTTATCGTAGTCCACCATAGAACTGATCGGAAACCTAGTAGCGCGAGGGCGGATGAAGGGGGGGAGGTAGAGAGAGGCAGAGAGAGAGGGAGGAAAAAAGAAAAGCAGAAAAAAAAAGAAAAAAAGAAAGAAAGAAACCAGATACAATACTCTGCCCGCCGCCTACATGCTGGCCCATGGCGCCCCTATAGGGTCCCTTGGATGCTTTCGGCCCTGGACTCGCAGATCCTCCTGCAAGTCTCGGTACAGCAACCCTGTACCACGAGTTTGATTCCATCTCCCAACCCGTCTACCACCACCAAGGCAGAGCTCTCCCGAGGGTCCTGGCGCCGAAGGCGGTCGTCAGCCGCCGTGCTGTAGGCATACCAGTAGCAGCAGCAGCAGCAGCGGCAGCAGCAGCACACGAATGAGGCACCCCTTGATCCTTCATTCACCAGACTTTTTTTTATTTTTTATTGTTTTCCTTTTCCCTCCCCATCCCCCCATCCTCTTTTCGCATCGCGGGCACTTGGTATGACGGTAACGAGAGAGAGAGCCCCTGACGCCATCTCACCTTCACCCCACCACCACGGACTGATTCGCCCCGAGCTGTTTTCGGCGTCTCTCAGGATCGTGGGAGCTGTGATGAGACCACCCTTATCGAGCCGGCGCCCGTTTCCCTCCTCACCCCCTCCTCCTCGCGCCTCGAGGGTGCCGCCGTGTTATGCTTAACCACCGCGACCTCGCTGCTCCCAAGTCGTGGTCGTAGAGGTGGGAGACGTACCTACCTATGTATGGGCCATGGGCCGGCCTTATCTTGATCAAGCTAGTGCCGCGGCGTGCCGACGATGAATTCTGGGTCTGGGCCTGCGAGTTATCTCGACCCGGGTCTTGCAAGAGAGTTGACGCCAACCTGCACCCACCGCTGGCGGTTAGCCTGCCTACGCAATAACAGCGGCCACATTAGCCCTAGGATGACCCTCTCCCTCGATCTCTGGGTACGCCTGACCTGCGTTTGATTAATAGGTAGTCAGTTTATGATCAACTCTCTCGCCCCCCTTTAGCTACACCGTCTGTAGATCGTCCATCGGCCATCTCACGGACGAAGAGATGGAGGGATGGGGGGAAGGGGGGGTGAGGCGGGTGTATATGTCATTGCGCTGCGCTGTGCCTGGGCGGGTGCGTTCTCGGGATGGCGGCTGAGGCCGAGGCATGCGAGCAGAAGACGCAGCAGTATATACATACATAAAGCACCTTCGACCTTGAGATTAGTCACCGCTCTCTTTCTCCGAGAGGACGAGATCCCTCTTCTTCAGGACAGAAAAGCCCCAGTTCCCCTCGCAAGTTTCCCTCGCACGGCCGGCTGCTATTTTATAAAGACAGCGAGCACTTCGTTAGGTTGCTGGCAAAGGCCCTGGCTCTAGCCTGCTTCTCTGTAACCACGGTCTAACCTGTCTTCTCTCTCTCACCCTGCCGTCTCTCGCTCGCCTTGCCCTGCCTCAACCTCGCTCTTTGAGTCTCGCACTACCCTCGACATAACCTATTATTCTGCTCGTCTTCGCCATGCTTTCCCCTGTAAGTTTACCTCACCATTTCATCAAATTCCAACATGCCATTCGAACAACGTCGAGCTACTTGCTTCTAACCTTAACCTTCACCACCCAGGAGGCTCCTCGGGGTCCCGCGCCCCCTAGCGAAACATCACCCGAGGTGGTGCCCGACGAACAACCCGAGGGGCTATTCTGCGCATATTGCGGGAGGAACTTTACGCGCAAGGAGCATCTGGAGAGGCACCTACCTCACCGTAAGTGATGCTTTATTTGACCTGTATAACGAGTCGGACGAAGGCCGGCTGATACCGACCCCGTCGCGACGACAGATACCAAGGTCAAGCCCTACCGGTGCGAGCACTGTCAGCTTTCGTTTTCTCGCAGGTTTGTCTCCCCGTCACCTTGTCGGCGGACGGGAGCGTTCCCCGTATGCTCACATGACGAATCACAGAGACTTGCTACATAGACATCATACAACCTACCACGAAGTCCGCGACCCTCGGGACTCCCGCCCCGGCGGTATGGCCACCCCGATGGGCCGGACGCCCATCGCCTGCCTCAACTGCGCCCAAGCAAAGACCGGATGTGACAAGAGAGTGCCTTGCGCGCGATGTGCCGACAAGAATCTCGAGTGCCACGCGCGGTATGCGCGACGGTCCACGAAGGCCGCCGTGCGAGCTGCTCGAGCGAGCACCAGCACCGCCGCTAGGCCCCAGGATCCAGGCCAGAGGCAGCTCTCGGTGCACGCACTCAACGCAACATATATGAGCATTAATCCATCCTCGCTTCAGGCCGACTCTATCCTTACCGCTCCCTCTCCGCCCGACGACGGTAGTGTAGGCGCTCTCGGCGTAGGTATAGATCCCCGGATGCAACCGCATGTGATGGCGCAACCCACCAACTCGCCGGCAGGCCCTCGCCTGAGCTCGGATGGGTTCTCGCCTCCGCATCCGTCCATGCCGTCGGCGCTCGACGATGTGGCAACCTTGAACCCCAGTTACTTGTCGCAAGGCCCGTATCAGGAAATATTCCCCTGGCCGCAGCATGACAGCTCCGCCTTCGATATATACGCCGACCACATGCCCTCTGCGCAACCTGACATCCCCATACAGACCTTCGCGGAATCCAGCGAGACCCCCCCTTCCAACTCGGAACCCGGCAACTCTTCGAGAGGGTCGATCCATACCCGGAGCACGAGCATACTTTCGAGCACAGGCGGAGACTATGATGCGACTACTAAAGCGGCCGATCTGCCTGCACATACGGTAAGTGACAATGTCATACCGGAATACGATGTCATCATCGCCTCCGACGAGGCTTGGCCCCTAGCCCGATGCAACCCCCTCATATTCTCCGGCGCATGTCCGAGAACGGCAATCGTGCACTTAGAGTCCCTCGAGGCAAAGTCGAGGCACGAGGGCACCTGGCTTTCGCTGGAGCAGCACATACAACAGGTCGACCGGAACGGCGCTGACCTGGCCTCGGTCGTGCCCCTGTCGGCGGAAACGCGAGAGAAGGTACTCGCGATTACGCAGAGCTTCCTCCACAAAGCCCTCGAGATTCACCGAGGCGGCGTGAACAGCCCGACCAAGACGTTCTCGAGCACCCGGACGCTCAGCTGCCTCGTCCTCCCGCCCACGACGATAATCGAGTACTTCCTGCGCAGCTACGTTCGGAGCCTCTCCTTCTTCTTCTCCCTGGTATCGACCGGCCGCGTCGATCCCAACGAGATGCTGCAGGAAAACCAATCGGCGGCGCTCCTCGTCCTGCTCATGATCGCGCAGGGCGCCTCCGCTGTCCCTACGTTAGAGGCGCGGTCTCTGTCGGCCGGCCTAATAGAAACCTGCCGCATCTCCCTGTTCGACACCATCGAGAAGGACGTGGAGATGTCTGCCGACCAGACGACCCTCCGATGCGCCCTGCTCTTCACACTGCTCGGAGCGTGGAGCGGCGACAAGTGGCTGATGGATATAGCTATGGGACAGCGCGGGATGTATCTATCGGTGAGTCCGGAATCTGCCTCGCGCACCGTCCCTCTCGTGAATGCTTCAGGTCTGACCACACGGAACCCGCAGATGCTGAAGCATGCCGGGATGCTCGAGCCTCGGCTAACCGCGATGCCATCTACGAGTGGCTCGACGAACGGAGAGCTGGAATGGCGCTCGTGGCTGAATTCTGAATCTCAAAATCGGTATTTTGCTTCCTCTCTCTCTTACATACCTAGCCTACCTCTTCCCGAAACCAACCCCGTCGGTCTCGTAAGGAATGGCTAACCTGGTCGGTAGACTGGTGTACAACTGGGTACTAGTTGACCAGGAATTGAGTCTGTTTCACGACACCACAACGATCCTCTCTATCGGCGACATACTCACCCCGTTGCCGGCTCCTGACACGGTATGGATGTCGGAGAGTGCTGAACAGTGGGCTACCTCGATGCAGGCAATCTACGGCCATACGGCCAGCCTCAGCCCTCAGCTCCTCGCCACCACGGCCGTCACACCATCGTTATACGACTTATTCCAGGAGTTCCTCCACGGCCATCTAACGACCCGTCATGACCTGACGGGACATCAACTACGACTGCTGCTCCACCCTCTGCAATCGCTCCTCTGCCACCTCAGACAGATGCTATCCTGCTTTTCGGACGTGCCCGTCCCGGAGCCGACGAGCCGCACCGTCACCAAGAGCTCCACCATGACACGGCTCGAGGAGGTGCAGCAGCTTCTGCAGAAATGGTACGAGCTCACGATAAACTACTACAGAACCCACCCGGCCTGCCCGGTGACGAAGACGAACCTGATCCTGTACCACCTCATCTCCCTCAACGCGGTGACGCAGTTCAGCGAGGTCGAGCGGCTCGCGCGCCGCGAGGGCCTCGCCGAGACGTTCTGGGACCTGTCGCTGTGGCACAAGCGGTGCATCCTGCAGCAGACCGAGGCTGTCTTCCACTGCGGGCAGGTGTTCCGGCTGACGCGACTGACGCCGCGTGACGGCCGGCCGAGCTGGTGGAGCGCCGCCGTGTACCGGGCGGCGCTGATCCTGTGGGCACACGGCGTGTCGTGGCTCAACCCGGGCCTGGCCGAGGGTGACGTGTCGCGCGGGCCCGTCGCCATCGACCGGGTTACGCCCGAGGACCGCTCCGTGATCGCGTACCTGTGGGAGGGACAGGGAGTGCCGCTGCTCACCCGCCGCGACGGCACCCACGTGGGCCTCAGCCAGTCCAGCGAGATCCTCCAGTACGCCATCCAGATGATCGAGGAAGGCAACGGATCCCGCCTAGGAGACGGAATCCGTCGCAAGCTTCTCTCGCTGCACGCGCGGTGGTACCCCGATGGAAGCGCCGACGCTTCGTAGTTGAAGATACGGGGTTTTCCCTCACGGAGATTCACGACCCCCTACCGTGATAGTATTATGATAGGCACCTGTCGACAAGGCTAGACGGACATCGTCGACGCCGCTGTCCGGGACACCCGACACACACCATAGCCGTACCCCCCGCCAGCGCGTTTCCCTGACCGACAATAATATGAGCTTACAAGCTAACTAACCCTCTCCCCTTTCCACGTGCCACTCCTTTACGGACCACCACGTCGCGTCGAGTCTCGCGGACGTGTGATGGACTGGGCCCTGCGAAGTTGTCCCATCATAAACCGGGACCATGCACCGACGCCGCGTCACATACAGCGGCAGCGCGCACCTAAAGAAACGACATCATGCACCTAGCTACAGCGCTCCTGTATACGTACGGGCTATCTTGCCAATGCCTCTTTAGGGGCTGGTCTTCTCTTGTGGCTTTCCTCGCATCGCTTTATTGTTACTACGGTCCTTTTTCAGCGGACAAATACAGCGCTTCCACTAGTAATATAAATATTATTATTATTACCTCGATGTCGAATCATTACAATGTATGACTTTGTTAAATAGTATTCAATTTTAAGAACCGCATTTAAAGGCGGTCTAAAACCCCAACGAATTCAATCGTAGTTTTGATGTTCAATGAGAGCAACACTGTTGAAGCGCCTACCTACCTACGCAACGGCCGACGAGGACAGACCACGCGAGGAAATCAAATCGCACCTCTTCCCATTCTTGCTCATACTCGCTAGGACCATGGGAAGTCGGGGAGAGGGAGGGCAGAGCCAGGAGGATTGCCGGGACCGACCGAGATAGCGTTGTTGGTGCAATCGCGAGGTGTCGTCTCAGAACCCCCCCCCCCTTTCGCGGCCTCTTCTGCGCCGGCGTTTCTGACATCGTCATTGGCACACTTCCCCGGTTGCGACGATGACGGCAGCGCTTCGGTACCGACTGGCTGGGGCCACGCTCTCTCTGGTGGTGCTGGTACGGGTTAGACGAGGTCTCAGCCGGGCTCGCGTAATACTCGGCTCTCGTGGTGGCGTCTCTGCACTCTATTCCTCCCTCCCCCTACCTCTCTTCTATCCCACCCCCCCTTTCTCCCTTTGCATCCTTCTTTTTTTTTCTTTTTCTTTCTTTTTTTCGCTCCCGCGCGCCTCGTTCCTGAGCTTCTCCACGCCCCGTCCAGACCAGCACGTCCGTATCTGGCTATGGATTCGCCGGCGTGCGTGGCGGCTAGCCAGCCCACTCGAGCCAACCACCCAACTCGCTATCGTCATCTGCCTTGGCCTTGTTACCTACCCCGACGCCGATATACCCACTGCCGCCTATCCTACGTCGCCGCGGGGGAAACCCGCGTCTCCGCAGACCGTAATACCCCTCCTTCTCTCGATCCGCGGAGTAGCACCCAGAGAGAGATTCGTATGCGCCGGTTACTTGCAGCTTACCTACTTGTCTACGCGCATACCCCATGCGTATACATCCTGCGTGGCTGCTCGTTATCCATCCTTCGTAACGGATGAGCGGCGTGGGGGGGAGGAGGAGGAGGAGGGGAGGGGACGGTCCCGAAGCGAGGGAGAAAGAGGGGTAAGTAGGCCTGCTCCAGCGCCAGAGCTATTGTTTCTGGCCGTGATCGTTGTTGTTGTAATCGCCGTGGTTATTGTCGTGAAGCAGCAGCACAGCAGCGGATGCGTTTCCGCTCGTATCCTCGCGAAACGAGTGCGACTATCATCTGGTCCAGACGCTTCCATCGACGCGGCACGCCAAGGGTTCGCAGGTATCCTCGTGACGGACCAGAAAATATTCGGCGTCACGAAAGCGATCCGTATTCCAACAACGGCAACCGTTTCGTGACCTAGATCTGGATCGGCCACGATCTTCGCCCTGTTTCGGAACCTCGGTATTGGAATACATGCGCGTCACCGGCATGTGTTTCGCTGGCATGTGTTATAGCCTGGTGAGGGCCCGCCAGTACTGGACGCTGTTCATTACCTATTTACTTAGGTATGCATAGAACTGGATAAGCAGTAGATATTTCCTTCTGTTTTTACATACAACCTACCAGGGTCATCTCCAAGTACGTAGACTCGTGCTGCCGATAGTCTAGACGTCTGGTTTACTGCAAAGTATGTAAAACTCGTACGCATGTCTGTCGATGTTACCTACCCACCTAATCATATATACGGGAATGTAGGCTTGCACGAGACCCGTAACTACTATGCCATTCAACTAAGGCGCGTCAGCTTGATGATCCCAGCAACGGCCCAGTCGGGTACTCGTGCGGCAGAGAGCCTCCAATACTCGCACGCTGCACGTTGACGCGACGTATAGGCATGCACATGTGCGCAGGAAGAGGATCAACGAGACGACAGCATGTAGGGACTTGGGGAGGGGGGGGGGTGTATAGGCATCGTGCGTGTGACGCATCGGAGAAACACCGAAGCGAGCTATGCGGATAGGAGTCTAGAAGAAAGGAGCAGTTCTGAGACAGACAGCCACCCTCCCAACCCTCTGTGCCACGGTACCGTATGTCGCTACGACATTCGCTTAGTTTCTGCTTCGGCTCCCGCGTCAGTTCGCATATGGCGTGCAGTTAGTTCCCTATCGCCAGGATTTGCGCCCTCGGACCAAAGGGGAAGCATAGCTCGAACCGTTGATACACATGTGCAAGACCTATATCTGGACGAGACGACGAGCGTAAGCAGCCTATCCCCCCACCAGCCGCCGGAATCCCCCTCTCACACCTAGATATGGGATGTAGCTAAGCTACCGTGATGGTAACGGCCATGGTATGGCCGGCAGATTCCTATGAAGCTGATAAGCAATACGCCAGCTCAACTCCTAGAGCCCGAGAACGCGATCTCCTCTCGCCCACACCTCGGTAGCAGCGAAGCAACCCGGCGCGCTCACACCCACCTGCAGCTCGTGCCCCATACCTATAGGCCAGAGCGAGCTCGCCGCGAGCCTTGCTCGGACTTCGTACCTGTCCTAAGCGACGGCAGCGAAGAATCACACGGCGGGGCTGGCCGTTTGCCTTCGCCGTCGCCCAGGGACTTGGCGGCGCAATGGCCCGCAGGGTAGGCTATATATCCCCCCCGATGTGAGGCTCGGTCATAAGCTGCTTGGCCACTTCGAGGTCTCGAGATCATCCAGCGCTCGTGGATCTGTCGCGTCACGGCCCAGTTTCCAGGGCCGGATGTGTATAGGCGCGAACAGCCAGCGCGTGTCACCGTAGCAGGACTGCAGTGCCACTGCGAGACAGACAGCGTTGACGATGCGGCCCGTCGATGTTCACCCCTCGCCCCTCCCCCCCTTTTTTTTTCTGTTCCCTCCCTTTCCCTCCCTAGGTCCCCTTGACGGCCTAGACGCGTCCCGCGGGAGATTGTCTCGTTGCAAGGCGCGCTCCTTGAGGTGGTAGAATGGATGCGGGCGGGCGCACCAACCTCTGCTACGCGGTCCCGCGCGGCCTTGTGCAGGGCCCACACCTCGCCCAGAGCAGGGTCGCCTCTCGCCGCGTCGGCCGCGCCCTCGAGTTTGCCGTCCTCGAGTTGCGATTCGGCGAGCTTGGCTGGGCCAGCCGAACCCGCGGACGCTCGTTGCAACCACGCGCTGTTACGCACCATGGCGATGCACGGCAGCAATTTGTCGAAATGAAGGAAGACGTCGCCGTAGCTCGTCGCAGCCGGCCTCGGTCAACCGCGCGGCGGATGGGGAGAGAAGCCGGGTAATAAGCATGGGCAACCTGGTGACAAATTTGTGGTAGGTAGTAGTTGGTGCTTCTAGCAGAGATTCAGAACGGCACCTGGTCGCCAACTGTTTTATTGTTGCGCCAGACGTCAACCGCCCCTCCCCTCCCATCCCCCCCCTTTTCAACCTCCCTCTCCCCAACCAACATCCGTGTAGCCCCTATTTCCTCCTCTCTCCCTTGTCTCTCCCTTGCGTTCCCTTATTTCTCCCGCCAAGCATCGACGACATCCATAATATAGGCTACACCCAAGTTGTCTCTTTTTTTTTGGGTGCCTCGTCGTGCCCTCCCTACCACCGGAAGTCCGATGGGGCGCAACATTACACAATCTGCCAGGGTGGGCTGCGGCGTCAATAGTGTCGGAGGGCGGGAAGGGGGACGCGTGGATCGAGCAACTCTCTGTTGGCATCCAGCGCAAGGCGCAGAAGACGGGCTGCCACGCTGACAGCGAGAACCCGTCGAGAGAGCCCTCAAGTCGAGTTGGAATTTGGAGGATGCAGAGATGGCCGGCTGCACATGGGATTTAATCGCCTCGTCTAGCCTACGAGCTGGAATTCCCCAGAGGGAAGGCTCTGGACTGTCGTCTCCCGAGAATCGACCATGGCAATTCTCTTTCCCTGACGGGCTCGGGATGATTCCCTCGGAAAGATGGTCGCCCACGTCATCCGGAGTCTCACTGCTGGCATGCTGTAGGCAACGAGACGGGACCGGGCGATTGAATGGGTAATAGCAGTCGCCATGTCCGTGGCTGGCCCCCAGGAATGTCGCGCGCGTCTATGACATGCTCTCTTGCGGGCCCTTAGCAGTTAGGTAGTTGCTGCTAGAGTCGCAAGAGAGACAGCCAGCCCTCCTCGGCCACAGGGAAAAATCTCCTCTCGCCTGCGACGTTCTTGAGCTTTCGTACCCATCTGCGCCGTCCCCTTCTTTTTTTTTCTTTTTCGCTCCCCCGCTTTCACTGGCGGTTGTCCGCCGTGGCACCAGCACAACGGCAGTCCTGATTAACACGGCACATGGGTAGAGGCGCCGGACTTCTTTGGGGAGAGGGAGGGGGGTTTCTGTTTGCCCTGCCGCAATAAAAGCCATACTCGTGTTTCTCGAGCGTCCACCTGCTCTATCGTTCTTCATCGTTCTCTGCTTGTATCGAGCTCAGCGTATGCTATTGTAGCCGCTGGTTTCTCGAGGAAAGGCAAAAAAAGAGAGGACAGAAAAGAGCGTGTACAGGGAACAGTTAGCCGCTCCCCCCCATCGCTCTGGTCGAGCCGCTTCTCTCGCTAGGCCGTTCAACCATCTCGCAGGCCTCGCGCCAACCTACTACTCCTCCATGGCGCCCTCGGCGACTCTTAGCGAAAGCACGCCCGCTTGCCCCGCCCCGATGAGCAACCAGCGCAAGCCGCTCGCGGGCAAGGTCGCGCTCATCACGGGCGCCGGCCGCGGTATCGGGCGCGGCATCGCGCTCGAGCTGGGGCGGCGCGGCGCCTCGGTCGTGGTCAACTACAGCCGGAGCTCGCAGGCGGCAGAGGCGGTGGTGGGCGAGCTCGCGGCGCTCGGGGCGGCGGCGGTCGCGCTGCGGGCGGACATCAGCCGGCCGGAGGAGATCGCGGCGCTGTTCGAGCGTGCGGTCGCGCACTTCGGGCACCTCGACTACGTCGTGTCGAACGCCGGCGTCGAGGTCTGGTGCGAGGAGACCGAGGTGACGCCGGAGCTGTTCGACGGCGTCTTCAACCTCAACTGCCGCGGCCAGTTCTTCGTCGCGCAGCAGGGGCTCAAGCACTGCCGCCCCGGCGGCCGCATCGTCCTCACCAGCTCCATCGCCGCCCAGATGGCCGGCGTGCCCAACCACGCCCTCTACGCCGGCTCTAAGGCCGCCGTCGAGGGCTTCACCCGCGCCTTCGCCGTCGACTGCGGCCGCAAGCGCATCACCTGCAACGCCGTCGCCCCCGGCGGCGTCGAGACCGACATGTTCGACGAGAACAGCTGGCACTACGTCCCCGGCGGCTATGCCGGCATGCCCCTCGACACGATCAAGGAGGGCCTGCGCAAGATGTGCCCGCTCGACCGCGTCGGCGTGCCCGCCGACATCGGCCGCGCCGTCTACTGCCTAATCAGCGAGGAGGGTGAATGGATCAACGGTCAGTCTCGCCTCAGCTCCCCCCCCCATCCCCTTATCCCACCCCCGCCATTTGTGTATCCACCTCCTCACTCTCCTGTATTTCTGTTTCGTCTGTGGTGCTTTACGGTCTACTCGTCACCCATCTCTCCCACTGCCTCTCCCTTGTACGGTACGCCCTTGGCACGGCCTCCCTCGCCTACGTGGTAGAAGACTCGCCTCTCCTCGCGCGCGCAACGCTAACGTCTCATTCTTCCGTTCTGGATATGTAGGCCAAGTCATCCGGGCCTCTGGTGGAGGCACATAAAATGCCGAAAACTCCCCACTACTCCCGTCTTGCTTTTCTGTTTATTTTCCCCCTCTCCCTTTATTTCAAACCCCCCGTTTATTTCTCACCGGCCACTGTCACCTCCTCCACGCGTACCCCCTGCCCCCCACTCCAACCCCGCGGGAATTGTAACATGGGCGCAAACCGATATGAGCCAGCTGCCGGGAGCCGGGAGTTCCGTCACACTTTTAGATCTTAGCGACGGGGACGGGAGGCCCGGCGGGAAACGGAATAGTCGTAGGAGATAGACAAGAATACGAGAGGTCGTGACGTGTGTCACCGTAACCGGCCTTCATTCGCCGCCATGCCGCTGTGATGTCTCTCCTTGGTGTTGAGCACACCCGGAGCGACGAATAAAATGGGTTATCATTATCACCATCAGTGCCATCGGCACCCGTGACGGCACTACCCGAGAATTTCGCACCGCAGATAGTACCATGCCAGTCGGCTCAGTTACCCATGTTGTTGGAGTCGTTGTGCCACGACAGCTCCGTCCTTACTAGGTATGCTCAACACGGCCGAGGGATGCTTCTAGAAGCACGACACAGCTTCTCCGGAAGACCATCCATACTGCTGCGAGAGCGGAAGGTTCCTGGAGGCCATTGAACGCGCTGGCAGCTATCTATTACCCCTGTAACGCTCATACCACCTCGCGCTTTTTTTTCTTCTAGGCCACGGTCTCGGCCACTACGCCTCTTGCCTTTCTCCCCCAGCCAGCCGCTCCTCTTCTCTAAGCACGCGATACCGGCTGCTTAGTTATGCACATTCTCCCACGCACGATGGCAATACTCGGTAAGGAAAGTACGCCGATAGGGATGAACGCGGGCAAGTAAGCGGGCAATACGGAACTAACGAAGAACGGCGCCAAGGCTACGCATGATAGCTACCATGAGAGTAAGCAATCATCAATTGCTGGTTCGCCAGTAGGTATGCCAAAGGTAATAAACGTTCCGTCCTTTCAATAGCTGAGAGTCAGTGCGGGACGAGGGGGAAGGTAACGAAGAAGGGGAGGGCTGAGAGGCGACTTGCTTGCTGACCACCAGGGTCTACGAGAAAACCGGGCCTTTGCTCACTTGCAGAGGCAGCACGGAAGCGGGCCAACGAGCTTTTGGTTACGGACGGGGGGAGGGGGATGTGGGAGTGGCGATGCGATGCGATGCGATGGTGACGACGGTGGTGGTTCTGGTCGTGGCGGCCGGGAATGCGAGAGCAGGAAGATGAAGACGGCGAAGGCGATAGGTAGAACTCCATAAAATCACGCGGTGATACAAGAAAGACATGAGCATATTCCTGGGCCGACATATCACGCATGTTAGGTGTATCGTGAGGGCGCAGGGGCCTTGTCCATTCACCCCTTCCTGACCCCTCTCGTCCTCCGCCCCTCCGTCCGCGTGGGAGACCAGGATGCACATTCGCGGTGGCAGGTCTACGCGGCTTCGTGAATCGAGGCAGACTGGCTGTTGCGGCATTCGCCTATTACGGCCTAGGACCAAGATACCCCAGGACTCCTCACGCGAAAAGACCCAACGACGATACCTACGTATCTGACCGCTTCCGCTGTGAGTAATTCTCCGCTTGTTTCGGACACCATGCATATACGTAGGCAGGTGTTCGATTTACGATGTATCGAGTTTTGGCGTATGTCGGCCAGGGAGGCGTCACTGCGTCACCGCAGCGCTTGAAGGCTTTTGGGCGCCTCTTCTTACCTAGCCGTCTATCAATGGGAGCGAGGCACCCCCGCCTCGACCCCTGCGGTTCGGTTACTTGCGTCGAGAAGGGGCACCGTCCTTCGTGGCATGTCTATATATAGCCCGACTCGGTATCGAAGCGCCTCGAATGCTGTTGAAAATGGTTAACCTTGAGGAAGCATCAGCCCGCGCGTCCTCGACACTCGACGGGTCAAAAGCACTGACGTTGGCCCAATGGCTGATGGATGGATTGTCAAGAGGAATGACGTCCAGTAATATCTCTTTCCGTGCGGATGGGTACGGATAGAGCACGTTTAGTGTAAATGAATTCGCACATATGTGCATCACCACCTACAGCGTATGGCAAGGGGGGGGAGAGGGGAGAGGGGGGTATATGTGTTAAGTGATATAAGGTGCCCGAGGGACAAGAGCGTGGTAGGGACCCGGGAACCCGTGTCACTCGCAACTCCACCGTCAGGATATTGGTTTCCTCTCCCGAGTTACAACCGGGCATCGGAAACAGACGGAATCGGAAGGGCAGCACAAACCTGAAGAGGCTGGAGTAGGCATGTAGGAAGCATGACTAAAGCTTCTCGTGGCAGTTCGGTTAGAGTAAGAGGTTTCACAATGCAGACGTTAGCAGAAAGGGGGAGAGGCAGAGAGGGAGAGGCAGAGAGACAGAAAGAGGCAGAGGGAGAGAGAGATGCGAGAGAGAGGGGCCACACCTTGTATCCGTATCAGTAACCGAGCTCCCTACCACGTGCCTGGTACTGCTGTGTAAGGTAATCGTCAAGCGCCCCGTTCCCTCGCGAAACGGGTCGGCGTTGATCTTGTCTAAAATAGGCCGATGCTGTCAAGAGGGCATAGTAGGTAGATTAATAATTATTGCCCAGACAAGTGTTGGAGGTCGACGCCGGTCGTTCCCAGCGGGCTCTTATTCCCAGGGCCAGAATTCCAATTCCCCTTTACCCCTTTTTCGGAGCTCACCGCCGGCTGGGCTACGGATAGGCCCGCGAGGCCTACCTATACCGGTCGAGTTATGCCCTCCTGGTTTCTCTCTGTTACGACGTTTCTTCCGGATGCCAATTCCCTCACATGGATGAGGGCGAATCGGCAGAAATACCCCCACATCAGCAGTGATGCCCAGTGCGACATCTCGTCTATTGGCTCGGTGTCAGACCGGTTGCTTTATGAATAAGCTACAGACGCGGAGTCGCCTGCGGGATCGTTGCGGGCGAGTTATCGAGTCTCGTCCTGACTTCCCGGTCAGCGGCAGCCCTAACACACGGCGTCAGCAGTGCAACCAATATCCATCCTCCAGGATGTCTCGTCGATCCACGTTCAATCGGACGACGATTCAGGCTGTGGATATCCCAGCGCAATAGGCTGCTTGTTAATCCAGCTACCATCGTCACCAACGTCCCCTAAATCGAGACTTTCCGGGCACATCCAACACACACATTATCTTGAGGGCGTGTGCCGGGCGTTAGTTACACGATACGGCATGGGTTCAAAAAATCGAGGTGGCCGATGGTATACAATGGTTTTCTATTTTGACAGTCCGGGTGCTCGACGGAGGGCCGCACGATCAGCCACCTACTATCGGAAAATGCTGCCAAGGGTAGAACTCGCATGCCCACCTCTTGCTAGTCGAGAACCACGGGCTGCATACGAACAAGCTAATCAGAAGTCGCCATTCTGTGCACGAAATGCGTACGGCTGAGCATGGAGACGACTGTTAGTCCCATGAGGCTGAATCTGGTGAACTCCGTCTTGGTAGACGATGCGCGCGGGCGCCCCAATAATCAATCAATCGGCGTAGCCCCTGCTTCGTAGAGGCATCACTACTGGACGCTTGACGACAGATAAGAAATCACATCTTCTGATGACGCGCGCGGAGAATCGAGAATACTCATAGCTTTAATCCGTCCTCCAATTGAGAGTTCAGAGACGCACTCCAGGGAACGGGGCCGACTGGATCGGCCACGCTGGCTCATGCCACTGTTCCGATCTGCCAACGGACCAACGCCGCAGAAGCCGGCGGCCCGATTCCGTAATTAGAGATGCCGGGCATTATGGAAATGGCGTAGAGGCGTGGACTACGCAGAAAGTAGAGATGAAGACGAAAAGAATGAATGGATGGGAAGCGAGAAATAGAAGAAAAAAAAGCCCCCGGACAAATTCTGGTAAAGTTGTGCCGCCAAAGCAATAAAGAAGGAATCATGCAGTTCCGGTCGATCAGCCCACTCTGTTCTCGAGCTCGTCGTCCTCGGGACAATCACGGCCGGCGAAGGCCCCGGCGGAGTGATGAAAGTGGGAAGCTCGAATCACGTGTGTTGATTGATCGTGCATATGTATAAACGGACACATCCTAGGCTTCAAAATTATGGCGATAAAATGCGTCTCGCCTGCGACAGGGAGGATATGGGCACCGCGGCGCGTAGAGCGAGACACGTAGGATAGGTAACTATTCGGCGACACCAAGCTCTCGACCAGTGGGCACACGGAAGTCTCTCGGCCCCCGGCAGGTATTGCCCACGAAGCCACAGCGTTGGATTGCAGCAGCCATACTAACGTCGGCTGAGGCGGTCCTATGCGACGAGTTTACCTGAATCGGCTATGCGCGAGAGACCCGGGGAGCTTGGGAAAGCCGCCCTTGCTTGGGGCAGTCGAGTCGGCCTGCTTCCTGGCATCAACGGCGGGCGATTCGCTGGCAGAAGATGCGGTAGGCAGACGCCAACTCGCACCAACACCACCCACGCTCAGAATCACTGTGCCTACGCCGTGCCCAGACCGTTTTCAGGCCCGATGAGGTCACAAATAGTGTCCGGGCGTATGCCCGAGATGAGGCCATTGGGATATATGCAGCTCACCTACGCGCCTAGACGCCTGCCTGCCTTGTCATATTGACTTGCTGCCGTGCGATCCGATCGCGCGAACGGCCGCAGCTCATGGTGGTAGTCGATCCTACCACTTACCCGCGAAGCGTAGGGACGTCCCCATACGAAACGTCGAGGGCCAGGCAAGAGGGAAGTCCGGGGATGGGGCAAACTCCAGCAGGAGCACACGAAGAAACATACTGCCCGATGGAGTAAGGTGAAGGGAGACGGATACAGACCGAAAACTCGGACCTGACTGGACAGCCGTCCGCGTCCTGGTTGAGTAGGTACGTAAACCAAGTCAGACGTGGCAACGCTTCCTCCCGCCGAGGAACTGCTCAGATCTCGAGGCTGGTCGGGCGGCCATCTGTCGCGGCAGTCATTCGGCGTCCAGAATCCCTGCGGGTGCCCAACACGTGGTGTAAGTGACGTCGACCCCCAGCGTGGACAATCCAGCCAGCCTCGGGATCTCGTATTGTGACGGACGGACGCGGTACGGCGGAGGAGGAGGAGGAGCCAACTTATCTGCCTCGCCGCAAATGGCCACGGCACCTGGCGCTCGGGTACGTCGGGGGCGTGAAATGGGACGATGCGCAGGACATATTGGGGGGCGTCGATGTGTGTATGCGGGAGGCCAGGAAGATGAGAGGGGAGACGACGGTATAGGCTGACAGAGAGTGGGATGGCAATGGAGGAGGGAGGAAGAAAGGAGGGCAAAGGAGGGGAGGAGGGGGGTCGGGGGAGGTGGTGAGCAGAGAGAAGGGAATGATCGGAATGAAACGGTAACACCCCTGCAACCCCCCCCTCCTGCCGGTCCCCAGGACCCAACGACGTTAAGAGGTAGGTACGAACAAGGCAATCTCGTAAAGGATGTAACTGCGTACCCATGTACCTTGTACTGTGCCTAATGCAGTAATCGACGTGGCATCTGATTGGCTAGACTCGGGAACCGCGAGATAAGGTTCGCTCTAGCGTTGCAGCGGGGGATCAGCCCCACCGCGCGGTCGCCATAGCATCATCCACCCGAATGCGACTCTACGTGTAGGTAGGAGGTATCTAAGGCAGGCGGCCCGTAGCGCTGCACGGCTTCGTACAGGTGGGTATGTACATTAGGTACATCCATATGTGCCTGCTGAATGTACATGCATGCAGGTCTATACCTACCTGTAGGTAATTAAGGTACCTGTAGGTACCTGCCCACCTCAGGTGCCTGTATGAGGTGCCTACCAGGTACCTCCAGGCACGGGTAGATACCTAGGGTCCGTACGGGGGTACGAGGTACCCATCTGCCCAACGTACAGTGCACATGTACGAGAGTAGGAAGCAATAACCTGCCTGCCTACCACTACCCTTCCTAGAGCAGATAGGTACCTAGGTACCTAGGTGCCAGGTGTGCTGGATTAAAAGGAAACCTCATCGGTGTGGTATAGGTACCTAATCTATGTATCTACCTAGGTATTTATATGGGCAAGTTGTGCAATTATGTACCTGACCTGTAGAGGTACCTGGTACCTAAGGCACCTACTCACCTCAGGTGTCTAGGTAGGTACCTAGGTAGGTAGGTAACCTCTTGAGGTCGCTTGCGGGTGCTACCTATAAATGCAGCTGATACGGACGGAGGTGGGTATTTCTATCCTAATCTCTGTGTCTTCTCCAAGAGTGCCACGATGGGTTGCATGCGTCAGGGTAAAACTTCGATACGCGTGTCTGAAGACTCGCGACCAGAAGCGCTCTCTCTACCGGGTCTGAATTTCTAAATTTGTCTCCCTGTGCCACTCGTCGGGCTTCGTTGTCGTCGTACGTACCCACGTGGAAAGGGGGGGGGGGGGGGGGGAGAGCAATGAGGGAAGTTAGTTGAGCTTCGCGCACTTCACTTTTGACCTGTCTAGCGCAGCTTGCGAATCGCTTCCCCGTGCTCTTAACTCCGCCCGCCCACCCATCCATCCGCCCTGCGTCGCTGGCGCGTTCGATACTTCGTTACGGAGTCTTCGGGTAGTCTATCTAGCCTTGCTGTTCGGGACACAGCAGCAACGCTGGCGGCAAAGTGGCAGGCAGGCGAGGAGAGCCGTGAAGCCGTTGATCTCTCCTCTTCACGGGCAGTCGTAGAGCAAAAAGCTGTTGACGTGACTCCACCACGCCAAGGTCCGGCATGCGATGTTACGGCTCGGCCGCGATGATCACTATATGATCTACCTTCTAAGGCGCTACGCTATACAGGCTACGGAGCGTAAGATAGAGTAGGGATCTTCGCAAGGTAGGCTGGCCCGCAAAATAGCTCGAGCCAGTAGTGAGACGAGGGTGAAAGACTAGCTGACCTAACACGTACCGAGATAGTAGGCACGTCAAGTCTCTTTTGGCTGGCGGTTCAGGTCAAAGTTGGGGCAATAGACAATCCACATGTCTTACCAATCTGCACGACGCTGCCCAAGATTGCTGCGGGCCGTCTGCCATTGTCACCTAGTTCTAGGACCTGGCTGTGACCAGCTTCAGGACGCAAGCCAATGGATGCGAATGGGATCAATCCTCCCTACCATCTTTAGCTTTGCAGTTCTCGGCCAGCTCTCTCACGGGTGGCTGCCCAACAACGCCTTCTCCCCCCCCGCATGCCGGCAGCGTGCATCATATAATTTAATAAAATTGTCTTACCTACGAGATGCTCTCCGTTCTGGCTGCTTGGTCTGGCCTACCTCGGCCTAGCGAGGCTCCTTCAGTTGTATGCTCGATGGGCCCTTGCAGGATGTCATTCGTGAGTCAGGCCGGCCAGACGGTCGATAGGACTCCGCTCACGGCATCGAATGCTGCTTAAATCCTTTGGTCGGTGGTTCTGCGGCTGCTGCTGCATTCTGGAACACGGCAGGGGAAGTATTTGATGCTTTTCAGCCCAGCCCAGCCCACTTGTCTGCCCAGCCTCGACGTATTCTTGGTTTATGTAGGGAGGTACCGGGGTGGATGTTTCTACGCCCATGGCGTTGCCGCCCAGGCGCCGTAGAGGACGGCGGGACGGTTGGGGATATTGCAAACCGATAGTAGGATGTAATTGACGAAGCCGTTTAAGCTGGCAGACGGTTTGTTGCCACTATAGCTGTAGCTCAGGAGCAAGCAATCGCATAGAGAACTCCTATTTCTCTGCGCGAGCCGGTCGTTTCTGCATGTCTTGCCTCCGTCTAGAAACAGCCCCCTCCCCCTCCTCCCTAGGACCTAATGGTAGGTGACAAGCGCAAACAATGTATGTCTTGGTATCTGTATCAAGAACGTGACCGCCTTGGGGATAGAACACGATCAAAAGCACTTGAGAATGGCGGTGTGGATGCGGTAGGAACCGCCATCCAAAGTGTGGGAATGTAGGATTAGGTTTATTTCTAGCCAAGTGGAGGTCTTCAATGAGTGCAAGTCGTTGTGCATCGTGATGTTGGTACAGACCCGCGTCTCTAAACAAGAATCGAAAGAAGAATAACACAGTGCTCACCACCAAGCCGTGTTCTTCCCAACCGCCATGGCCAAAGCCTGGCCTGTAGGAAGCACCCGCCGCCTTGCAAACGAGCAATTTGTCCACCATGATGCTCGACAATGTTCGGAGGCGGCGGCCCGATTTCTCATCAACCCTTCCAAGCTAGTACCTGCTGAGCTCAATAAAGAGAAAGAATAGATGCTTCCCGATCGTCGAGTACACCGCCCGCCTTAATGCGCCAAAACTCGCTTTCATTGCCGTGAACCGCAAACCGTTACAAAACGAAGCAAAGGACGTAAGTGGGCGAGTGAATGATTATACGCTGGTTAGTCGAATAGACAACGCATGTATTGTTGCGTGGCCTGTGTCGGCCTCTGCTACCTGTATCGCGTCGTAATCTCGTCTGACGGCGACAGCTGTGATGCGCAGCCTGCTCTAGCCAGGGCATATTTACATAACGCAGGTGAAGTCGCTCTTCCTATGGGTGATGACCTCTAGTGTCGAGCCGAGATTTTGTCCCAGGTAACTGACCATGGCCTTGGTGACGTCGGGAATGTCGGATAAGTCGGTGTAAATCACGTCTCGGAATCTAGCATAGACTTCTTCCAACTTGCGGAACTCCCTAGCCAAGATCTCCATCTCCACCCACTTTCCATCCTCGCCATTGAGCTGGTACACACCAAGGCTAACCCCGACATTATTGCCTGGGTTATGAGGGATGCCCATGCCGCTAGTCTCGAAGTACGTGTGCGTCGCGTTCCTGTAGAAGGACGTTATTTTCCCTATGACGGTGGCAAGGAGCATAGCGGCCGTATGTGTGCCAGATCGACTCATGCATCGAGTGCAGGTTAGCATGGCTGCGCATCCCTCGACCGCCTTCTGGTTGAGAGACAGGACAAGGTCAAAAGGAGGAGACGACGGCGAAGAAGCATCATGCAGCGCCTGGAGGGACTGTAGACAGACAGAAAAGCAAGCACAAAAGTCTCCGCCGATAGCCGTGGGAGACGAGTTGTCGCGTGGGCCAGCTGGTCCGGTCGTAGGCGTCACAATCGGACTGGGGAAGTAGACGCTCGTCGGGGTCGGCACCTGGCCATACGGAATCATGTCTGATGGGACTTGGGCGGTCCACGGCATCGGAGGCATTGACGGTATGTCAAATGAGTGAGATCTCATGGGAGCACCAGGCAGAGGCGTTGTTATGACGGGCGAGTCCCCGAACGTCGCGCCAGAAAGATCTATGGGTGGCGTCCATGGCATGGCGGGCGAATAGATCTCGTGTGGGGCAGACATATGGTCATGGTCTCCAATGGCTCTATCTTCGGCCACTATCAAGGAAAGATCTGCTGATATGGAAGGGTTTCGGCTCATATTGCCATCGACACGCATAGGAGGCGTATGCCATCCTGTCCCGAGAGCGAGCATGCGTTCTGATGGTGCTTGGTGTGCTGCTGAATAGGCAATACTCTCGTCCTCCATCAGGCTGTGGTGGATTTGCTGGATATCCTGATGGGAATTTGGCTGGTGGTTTCCATTGATATCGGACTTGGGCTTGCCAGCCCTGCTGGAAGGCGAGTATCGGCATTCGGTGCCGCAGGAGAGACAGCGAGAACATATCGGGCGGGCCTTAGAACACTTGACCTTGGCTAAGAAGCACCCATCGCACGATGCCCTAAGCCGAGTTTGATGAGGTTTCGAAGGGGCCATCGCGGTGATGGTGACGGCGACGATATAAGTAGATGTATATCGATACCGAGAGGGGAAAAACGGGGGAGGTTATTCCTTTCGGGCAGCGTAGGTCTCCAGGTGGAACAACGGTAGATATGTTTTGGAAATAAGAGAAGAGGCGAACGTAGTATTATAAAACGAGCGTACGTACGACAGCCTGTACATGCGATAGTACAAAGCTTGCAAAGGTGTAGTTTAAGAACCAGGACAAGAGTCGACTACGTACGTGACTGGACAGCATGGGTGATGGTTGTGATGACGAGGGAGGAGGGGGGGGGGGAGGGGGGGGGGGAGGGGGGACAGGATGCATCCTATTGTCCGGCACTGTTATAAGTGAAAAAGGCAAAAGCAGAGGCTGGGCCGGGTTACCCAGCAGAGCGTTTATGAAGGATGTGAAAAATGTGCAAAATATGGGATAACCCGAGAGGGAGTCTACCCAGACCGCGCAGGGTTGGAAAAGCCTCGAGGGACAGACTAAAACTTGATTTGATCTTACATGTACGAAAAGGTAGTGAGAGATTAGGCCCGCATAAGACGTGTAGGGTATTGGAGGGGTCGAGCAGGTACCTGCGTGGCAGTCAATTAAGAGACGTAAGATGTGGGAGTGCTGTTGTTAGTAGATGCTGGGAACATGGATGCCACTCGATCCTTAAGGTTGACAGGACTCTGGCCACGACGCTTCCTGCGCACCCGAAGGCAGCCCCCTTCTCCCGAACCATCCGCAGACGAGGAGACGGCAAATAGCGGCACAGGCCAAATATCTGGCCCGGGCAGTGATTAGAGAGCTCACGCAGGCCGACGAGACGGGCGATAGGCTCCGAGGCGCCTTCTAGCGGGTGGAGGGGCAAGACGGATAGAGACGGTCGTGGCCGAGGTGTTTTGTTCCCCCCCCGCCCCTGTTCTTCCGCAGGGTCACTCGCTGAGAGGGGAGAGCTGACAGTTAGGTACGTCGACGGCCCCCTTTTTCGAGGGATTGTAAGTAGGGCTACCGTTTGCCGGACGGCAGGTTGAAATTCCCCGGTTTCCAGTGGGATTTCGAGATTGTCTCGATATTGGGAGATTCGAGGGTGCCATTCTCCAAGGGACACCACGCCGTTGATTGGTCCCGAAAGCAAGGGCTAAGATTGGCTCGCAGTATGTGTCAACGGCCGCGCCCAGAAGCTACCGGCGTAGATCTGGCGTGGAAGCGAATAACTAGAACCGAATGGCCGCCCACGCTGTCGAGGGCAGACGGGCTCCAGGCCCGTGAATTGAGACGCCCCGGATGCACGACGCTGCAGTCGAATGCCGCGAGGCGGGCGAGCTCATCTGGGCAATGCTCCCTGGGACACACAGGCTGGCACGGTACCGGGAGACGACAGAAACTGATGTGTAAGAAGACCGCAGCAGCGCTGTGCATACATTAGCCAGCTGCAGCTGGTCGCCAAAGCATCCGAAGAGGGGTTTCCTTGGACAGGGTCTCGACGACCAACTAGCTCTGGGCTGCCCCGGCCAGGACGGGGTGGGGATAGACGTAAGACCCATGCAGAAATATCGTGCTCTGGGGGCGCTTGGTATTCCAACGCGAGGCAGCCTACACTTAGCAGACGGGTCCCTGAGTTATCTTGCAGCCACGGTGGAGATGAGGCTCGGGCACGAGAAGTCCTCCGTCTCACCGCAGGCAAAACAGGAAATCAAATAGCAGCAGTCCAAGCTCGAGGGGGGGGAACCTTCCGATCTAGACGAACTATGAGCTTGTTCGACGGTCTTCCCCCTGATAGGAAGAGGTCGAGCGTAGTATTGGAATCTGCAGATGTGGCCGGCTCGGTCGGTCGCTTCAACCAATGTTCTGGTTCGTCAGAGGTGTCCGGAGGAAGAAGCTCGTTGGGTCTGACGACGGGGACGTCGAACGGGCTGTGTTGCTAGGTAGGTAGGTAGGTAGGTAGGTCAGCCAGCCAGCCAGCCAGTAGCTGTATATATGGATAGGTATATGTCGTAAGCGCATGCAGCCACGAGCCTATTATGCTACCTTAGGTACCTGCGTACAGGGACCTAGGGGCCTTAGGTTAGGTACCTCTATAGGTGACCTACCAGATGCTCCTATCGCTACAGGCAGGCATGAGGTACCTAGCCGAGGGCGTCAGACAGGCACCAATACCCACTGCAGCTAAGGTAAGCTGCTGGGCCCTACCTCCTACCTAACCCACCTGCCTGTAGAGACGCCTTGTATGTATCATGATTAGTAAGTACCTGCCTCGATAGCTTCACTCGACCCCCATTGCCTTGTGACCGAAATCCTTCTCATCTTCCTCACCACCGAATCCCCTCAATCCTCGTCGCCACGTTCGTAGCAGAACGGCGACCACCACCGTCCCTATTCATTCCCCCAAGAACTACCTCCTCTACCGTGGTTACAGCCCTCTCCCCCGATAGCTTTTTCTCGCCCATGTATCCCTACATGCGCCAAGCTATGGGCGAGGGTCTGGGGGCGAGAGTGTTGGGAGACACGCGCGGGGTCGTCGGCCACGGGACCATCCAGCTTCAGCCTTACGAATCCTCTCGACCACAATTGCCACAACGATGACACGATCCTCTCGCCACGGGCTGTCGATCCCGCCGACGCCCGGAAAGTCGGAGCCGTCGTCATCGGAATTGACCCTCTACCCCTCTCCGTGGGCAGTCGAACCGGATGGGCGACGCAAGCAGTTAGGAAGCTCCCCGAACCCTGATTGGGTTAGCGATCCAGTACGTGGGATGTCCTGCTGCGGTGCCCGCCGCCTCTTCAATGCCATTGTTAGCCTCCACCCTCCCCACATCGACAGTATGGTTTTGCCTCTGCACAGGCTCTCTTCCTGCCAGGGTGGGCTTAATTGTGTTTCCGTCGAGTTTCTCGGACCTCCGTCACGGCCCAGCCAGCACGCCCATGTCCGCCGTCAGCCCAACCAGGGCAGCCATGTTCGAGGTAACAGACGCGTTATGTGCCCGGTGCCAGGACCGCGCTACGTCATCTTCCACGGAGAGGCAACCTTTGGGACGGCCTAACGAGTAGGTCCCCTGCGTTTATCACGAAGGATGGGACGACATGTTACCGCGTCGATGTTACTACGCCTGTCCTTGATTTCCGGACTCTTTGGACCCATGACGTTCTCGCCTTTCCCTGTGGCTATTGGCGCCAAATGAGTTACAGAGCCGACAACCTCGACTCGATCCCGAGCCTCTGCGGATTGGTAGTACTCGGGAATCCTTTCCGCCGGGGCCAAACCCGCTTGGCACTTTCGACTGCCGACGCCATCGCCATCATCGATGCGACCGTGCCCATCATAACTATCGAGGAGACCTCTGACCTGCGGACGTCTTCGCGGCGCCCCCCTACTGCGCCTCCCGAGGCCGCTTAAGAAGAGGCTTGATCCACTCTCGAAACCATTGCCTTACGCGGTAGATTTCATGCATCTCGATCAAGCATGTTCCCTGAGAAGCAGGATGTGCTATGTTACCTGTGGCTGAATTTCAACCGACTCCCGCCCAATTGTCTGTCACTTTGCCATGGCCTCCCTGGTCGCAACGAGGATGGGTTTGCCTAGCGGTCCGTCGACGCCATTTCTACCCCGGTTGTACCCCAACGTGTCCCATAACGACTCACCGAGATCAAGCTCGGCTAGGAACAAGAATAATGAGACTTACCTCTGCTATAGTAGCCCCCTTTCGAATTGAGGTGAATGATAAGTCGCCTACCCGATGCCCCCCCCCCAGCGAGAACCCTGGTCCCGCCTACGCCCATCTAGATAGCTCATACCTACTGCCAACCCCAACTCCGATCTGCCATCGCCACCAACGATGGGCGATGCTCCGTCCCCCCGCATACCGCAAGCCTCTGGATATCGAACGTCACGCCTCCCATCTCCCGTCGCGGCTCGTTCCTCGGCTGCTTAGCAAATAACGCCAATGTCGGGGTTGGCTTATCCCTACAGGAGTGTGTGCTAAAAAGATTACGCCGCGTCGTCGCAACCGGAGGTTCTTATCAGATTAAATCCCGGCAATGTAGCACCCCCTGTATTATTAACTGTGCCTGGTGACTAGAGATCGGGGTTTGTCTAAATTGCGCCGGATAAGAAAGAAAATCACCATCGGGAAGCCTCCTGGTAGCAACGCTTGGGCACCAGGAGCCTGCCTTTTTTTGCCTTGGCCATCATACGATGGTGAGTCTCCACCGTCAAGTCGGTGCAGTCGATGAAATACCTACTGTGTCGCTCACATCCACGCTCGCGGGGAACGTCCCGTCAACCTCCACCTTCAGGAGCACCTTCAGGACCGAGACCATCCGGCGACCTGTGTCGGGTATAGAGGCACCCAGCAGAAGGCCAGGAGAACCTGCAAGCTGAAAAATGGCTGTTTATTGCCCTGATTCGTCCCTACCTGACTAAGCACGCGGCATCCTTGCGACCTTCCACCCCTCGTGCGTGGAGTTGAATTCCATCATCCGCCCGTGTGAATTATGTAGTTGAGAGCAATCGCGCATTGCGCCGTCCCTGAGCGGGCCCTTCCGGCAGTCTATTATCGTGTCTGCAGATTTGGGGGAGAGGGCGGATCATCAAATCAACATGCTTTATAGCTTAACCCATTGCTTCTGTGTGGGATCGCATGCGTCTTGGCTTCCCCGGCCCATTCTACCCCCGCCGCGGGCGTTGACTGATTCGGAACAGTTCGACGACGAGAAACATTCAACACAGGCAGCACTGATCTGCTAACCAGGGACTAGTCGCCAGCAGGCATGGCAGGCTTACCAACGACCGTCCGAGTGTCGATGTCGAGGCGTTGAGCAATACCCGGCGAGCTGGATGGAGGTCTCCGCAAGTGTCCAAGAGCTATCGAGCATCCGTAATATGCAGCTATGCCCTCTGTCGCCTATCATCATCGACCTTGGGGACCTTGAAGAGCCTGGTGACACGACCAAGGCTCGTTTGTCCCACAGCGCCATTGATGATGCCATTCCTGGCGCTGGTGTTCATGATTTCTCACGGAGCTTCGGCTCGCAGCCATCTCCATTGCCTCAAATGCGCACACCCTCTCCTCTCAACACACCCGGATGGGTGTAGCTGCCGTGCATGCTCGGACAGCATAGCCGCTGCAGCAGGCTACTTCATACTTTAATACGGTGGTCAATGGTATCGCGCAGACTGCGGTTGGACTGCATGGCCGTCAGTGGATAATACAGGTTGGGGATGTTACCTAAGCAACCCGAGACTCCGATGCCGAACACGCTTCCGAGTCGATAGGCTCGAAGAAACTCATGTGGCCAAATAGGTATGACACGGAGGCTTACCCTTGGTCCCCAACCTCTGTATCGAGTCGGAAAGCTAATCGAGGAAGTCGGCCTTTGCTCCCGCCTGGGTCCCGCCGTGTACGTGTAGATGTAATGTAGGTAGGCCGAGAGCAACGTTGCTTACCGCCAGGTCATGGTCTCTTGTCCTCCCCGGCAATGCCTAGAACTCTATCTGCATCAACAAATTTCGCAGAATCTTAATAAAAGGCGGCATTGCCTATCGAAAGTTGCCGCGCCAGCTCCGCTAGGCCTCTCGATAGCTTGACACGTGCGAACGTGGCGACAAAAGGGGGCCAGGGGTGTGGAGTGGGACGGTAGTATTCGATGTCCAGTCGTTGGGAGGGCAGAGACAGGTCGAAATGTTAGGTTATTCTCGAACCTTAGAGTGCCGATAGTTGATCGACGAGGACTATTCCGAGTTTCTGGGAACTAACAGATACGGCACTGTCCTCTTACACAAAGCCTCAATATGTCGGACGCCCAAAAGCTCACTCCCCCCCCCCCCCCCCCCCGGCCCATGCATACATATATGCATATATAACGGAATAGGAAGAAAACACCTTAGACGCGCCGCGCTGCTCCTACATTCCTCAAGCACATCTATCTGGTTACGCCGCATCTGAGCTTGGACGGAACTGCAAGGCGCGTTGTCCTGATTACTGACCACAGCAGCATTTGGTTCGGTGGAACCCCGTGTGCGGTCAACTAAGAAGGATGCAATTAATTCAAGACTGCATCGTAGGGGGGACACGACCACTACGGTCTTCGTGAACCTGCGGGGACCAATAACATCTACCCTCCCGACGTATGAGCCTGCGAGATCAACCCGATATGCTTCGTGCCCAGAGCAACTATCTCCATACCACTCTCCAATATCTCGAATCTTGCTACAGGGTTGATCCATGCTTTCAAACGTCGTCCTCGATGCCACTCTTTCCCTTCTTCGGATCACCCAACTATCGACGCGAACCCATATCTGGAACATGCATACGTCTATGGGCATGAGCCAGCATTCCTTAAATTCCTTTAGCCGACATACGGGGGCCCGTTGGGGCCATGAGGGCGATGAGACGAGATGACGAGGTTCGTGGGCACTCTGCCATCCTCCCATCTCGTGCGTGTTTACACTACCTAGCTAGGCTCTCTTCCAATCTCGGAATGTGCCCCCAATCGCTATGCCGATGCTAGCGAGATTATACCTACCGTCTACCCGAGAGGAGACCAGAGGCGGCAGCTAGCGAACATCTATCGGGCTATCTCTTGTCGTAAAAGAAAGGAGAGAGAGATCTGAGACATGGCTTGAAAAGGGCCGAGTTTCACAGGTTAAGAAGTCCCGTGGTTTGAGGTCCCCGATTGAAAAAGCAGACGCCGCCTACCGGAATATCGAAGGCCGAAAAATACTCAGAAAGGAGAAAGGTTCGCTTTAAGACATCCTAAAGTGGTGAAGCCACATACGCACACAATTTTAACATATGTACACACAGATGGGGACGGCCACCGCCACCACGACCGCCACCACCCCTCTCCTTCTCCGGAGCTTCACCCATGAAGCAATTCTTCCTCAGAGCATACTTGCAGAGGCCACCCGTGCTCAGCAGCAATTCGGGTCATTATCTCGCAGCTTTATTTCTCGTTGTGGCGCGAGGATCTTCCTCGGCCCATGGTAAACCACCCCAATATCACGGCGATCGATGCCCAAGGAGGGAGTGGCTAGTCTCAGGTGTTCCGCGCGGACAGTGGTGACGATGATGATCGTGGTGGTGGCGGTTGTAGAGAGTCAGCCACACATACACACGGACACATTCAGAGAGAAGAGCAGCTGGGATGTCGTGCATACGGTAAGTCACATCGAAACGTGGTGTTTCTCCTCCGCGTATGCCGTACCACCCTAAGGTTGGGGGTTCTTAGCACGTCGGACTGCTTCGTCAGGGATGACGCCTCCGTCTCCGTCTCCGTCCCTCTGCCTCTCTCTCTCTCTCTGGCTTTGGAAATGAGAGGTGGTGAGTAAGAAGGGCGAGGGAGGAAAGGTGGGTGGTGAACGAGAGAGACAGAGAGCAAGAGAGGTAGAGGGAGAGCGATGGAGAGTGAGGCGGTCCCCCTGTGTATCTGTCTGCATACGCACATGCAGTGCTACAATTGGCAGTGGACTGTTTATTAATTTCCCAAAGAACGTGTGGCGATGCCATCTCTCTCTATGCCCCTCTCTCTAGGTCCCTTTTGCTCTGACACACACACAGAGAAAGAAAGAGAGAGTGTGTGTGGGCGTGTGTGGGCGTGCGTGTGTGTGTGTGTGTGTCTTCTCAAGAATCACACGAAACGCGGTGGACGTCTTCGTGACCGGCGGTGGATGCCTACCCGCCCGCTCGATCTGTGATCTTGAGAGAGGCGCGGATGCTTGATCTGTGTGCAAGATGGGATTAGTTCCCGTCCTGGCACAACTCCTATCCGCTCGCTCGTTTGCGTGCGCGCCCTCTCTCTCTCTCTCTCTCTCTCTTTCGTCCCCCCTCTCGCTCCCGCTCTAATACAACGGAAGGGCGCTGTAGATCAGCTAGGAGGGAAGGAGGAGACGCTATACACTGCGTACATCGAGTCAGCCTGCTGTACTGCTGTGCAATTATTCCCCTTCGCATATTGGGCCTGCTCCCCACGCGGGCTGGCATCCAAGAAGGCAAACAAGAAGGCCAGCAAGCCACTCGTCATAGTAGCGGCGCACTCTCGGGTCCTCGCCATTCCGTACTCTACACCAAAAGGGACCCGACGGTACCAGCATAGCTGTAGCGTCGAGGTATGTTGTGCATACACTTGTGCAGTTCCCTCCCTCCTTGGACTCTCCCCATGCGGTCTTCCGATATGTCGTGTGTCTCTGTGTGTGTCCGAGCGTAGAGACGCAACCTATTAATGATGCAACGAGGGAACCTCATCCCCGTGCGCTCTTCTCTCGGTGCCCCTCCTGGAGGGAGAAACAGTTCAGGCATACAAGCTCGACCTATCGGCACTGTGAATTGAGGTTAATGGGGAGGTGGGCGGATAGGCGGCCAGTCGGTCAGTCAGTCAGTCAGTCAGTCAGTCCTGCTGTGACCGGAAGAGAGGGAGGAGAAGTTGGAGGTTCTAGTTCTCTACCAGTCCGAGGAACCAGACCTCGGAGATACCGGAGATATCGACGACGAGGTTCGGGATAGAGAAGATCTCGCCCCTCCCCCCTCTCTCGCACCCATCCGGTCATTCGACCAGCGGGATGCGCGGCAAACTAGGGCAGTTTTATTGGATTTTGGCCTGCTCCAGGGGGTTGCACGAAATGAGTGAGAGGGCAAATTCCGCGAAATTATCGATAGTATTCACACCTTCGGCATCACCCCCTCCCTCCCTCTCCCTCCTCCTCCTGCTCCTCCCTTCGTTCTCGACCAGGGAGAGCCGAGTGACGGCAGAAACACACCAGCTGACGCAAATCCGCAAGCTGAGCTGATGCTATGTGCAAACCACTACCTACTACTGACTGGGTGCGCAACAGCGACCAAAAGCCGGGAGGCGTTATTGCGAGCGATCTTACACCGAAAACGGGATTTGACGAGGGCCGGGAGGTGGGGAGGTGTATGGTCACGCACGCTGAAGAGGGCTGCTTATGCCGTAGACGGCTGTTTACGTCGAAGAGATGGTCAGTTGCGGGGGGAAGGGGGAAATGGTCGTCGTTTGGGAGAGGGAACTACGAGTCTAACTAAACCACATTGAACTCGAGAGATATAAACGCGAAGTCCACCGGCTAATGCCGCATTCGAATCACTTATGTGCGCGTCAAATAGGACAAGTCAAGCAGGGCGGCTACGATGGTGAAGGAAGCGTGATAAGACCAGTCAGTTCACTATCAATCATCGTTATTTGATGGCGGTCTGGGGAGCGATACAACTTCGTATGAAGAACGTCTATGATATATATAGAAAAAGGGAGACAAAACTCAGGCGTGTGTGTGCGTGTGTGTGCGTGTGTGTGCGTGTATGTGTCTGTGTTTGAAACTGCCCGTCAACGAGTGAGGTCGAGTAAACCGAAACATGGGCAGCTTGGGGATTTGCATGCATATCAACGGGTCCGCTGGGTAGGTTATAACAAACATCTATGGGCAAGTCCTCCGTCTTCGTTCATCATCCAACGCCTATCCCGGGTAATAATAGTCAAGGGGAGAGGGGGGGAGGGGGGGGAACACCCGCTGCCACAAATCCAAGTCGTCGTCAACCGTGTTCCAACTATAGGGGGGACAAGGAGCGTAGGAAGAGTGAAATATGTACAATACGACCGAAAGCAAGGCGGATGTTTGGACTCATATAGGAGACGGGGTTTTGCCCAGAAAACAGATATAGGTATAGGTAGTTTAAGCATGAATGCCCTCCTTCAAAAAGCCCCCGAGCTGCTTCGCGAGCTCTCCGTGCATCATGGAGAAGTGATTGCCCGGCAGGTGCCGGAATTGCATCTTTTCGATGTCGAGATATTCGTCCCAGCGGTTAGGGCCGAAGTCGGTTCGGTTGTCGAGGAGGAAGAGGGCGTGGCCGGTAGGATACGGGTCAGGCCGGGGGTCTGTGGGCAGCTTGCAAACCCCGTCCTCGCACCAGATCGCCATGACCTTGGGGCACTTCTCTTTAGGGATAGGCTCGGCAGTATAGTTGGACAGGGCGGTGACCGAAGCTGCGAAATGGGGGAGAAGCCAAGAAGGAATCTTCTTAGCCTCGGGGCCGTCGCCTTCTCCGAGGAGGCCAATTTCCGCAAACCAGGCGTGAAGACCGGCCGGTAGAGGCTCGATGGTGATGGGGCAAGGAGCATCGATAATGAGAAGATGAGACACCTCTATTCCGGCTTTGGTGAGTTGATTCACGATTTCGTAGGCGATCACGCCACCGGCGGACCAGCCTGCCAGAGCGTACGGGCCTTGGGGTTGGCGACGCCTCATCTCGGTGATGAACTTGGTCGCCATCCCGTAGACACCGCACTTATACTCTTCAGGGGTCTTCATGAAGGGCGAAAACATACCCCAAACGGCGACATCGGAACCGAGATCTGATATCTCAGTGTATGAGGTAGCACTGCCGCTTCCGTCGGGAATCATGAAAAGCTGCCTGGTAGCAGTGCGGTGATTGCCTTGGAGCAGTACGGACGTCGCCTTACGGTGGGGATAGGCATCGACAACTGATTCGGCCTTTGTTACGGTTACGATCTCGGTCTTGGCCACGACCTTGGCCTCGGTCTTCATCTTAGCTGCCTTCGAGGCGGTGGGCTTGGGGGCAGGCGTAGCGCGCTTTGGCTTGCCAACTATGCCCAGTGCGCGTTCGATATCCTTCAGTGAGCAGCTATGGCCGAGGAGATCAGGTGGGATGCTAAGGCCGGTCTTCTCGCGAAGGATCCCCAGGATGGACAGGCTCATGAGGGAGTCCATACCAAGCGCAGCCAGGTCGGGAGCGGCGATGATCTCTTCAACTTCGACCCCCATCTCGGCACAGATCGTCTCGCGCACCATCTGCCGAAGTTCACCGTCATTCCCAGAGTCAACTGGCGCGACGTTACCCTTTACCGAGCCCTTGTCGCTCTCCCCGGGGGTGGTGACCTCTGAGTCGGACTCTATGTCGTCGTCGCTGTCCGAACTACCAGTCGAACCACTCGACTCCGAGACCACAGCCGGCCTTGTTGACTCAAATTGTGCAAGGAATTTCTTGAAGGCGCCGATGGTAGAATGATCGTTAAACGCATGCGAATCGATATTGAGCTCAAGCTCTTCACGGAGCCGCCCGCTGATAGTTAGTCCCATCAGGGAGTCGACTCCGAGGTCTGCGAAGGCGATGTTGTCTGCCAACTCGTCGTGGCTAACGCCGGTCTCCTTAGCAACAATGTCCATGACCTGAGCAACGACAGACGTTTGTGAAAGTTTCTTGTCGACAGCAGGAAGATTGGAAGAGGTGACCTGCTTCATTTTCTTCGCGGGGGCTTTCGCAGGAGTAGGCTTGGCGGCGCGGGCGGGAGCGGCCCCAGCAGCGCCCTGAGGGGGTAGGACGGCGTTGAGAATCTTTCGAGGAATGGCCTGGAAGCGAATATCTCCACCCATACCGATGAGCTTGTCGCCGTCGAATATGTAAGCATCACCCGCCATCATCTTGGTCCCTTTCACGGGCTGCATTCGGATGTAGGACTGATACGTCTTGGATGCGCTGAGACGCTCGGCAAATCTCATACTACCCCAGCCATGCGAGATGTAGACCACCTCACGAGAGTCGACAGCGTCGGTACCATTGACAATGAAGCCTGATATATGGCATACCGAATCGATCCAGTAGGGTGCTGTATGGAACGTACCATCTTCAGGCGAGGTTTGGAAGACAACCTTGGCGGTAGCCTCACAAGTGGCACTATCTAAGATGACGGATTCCATACCTCTGTACCGTGAGTCGTAGTCGACGAGGGCGGAAAACAGCTTATAAGCGATGCCCCGACCAATCTTCGAGGCTTCGCCACGCTCCTCGGCAGCCTTGAGCGCGTTAACGCGCGACCTAATCAGGTAGCTGACTCGCTCGAACTCATCAAGCCATTCCTCGTTACTTCCAAAGTAGACCTTGCACATGGCATGCTCGGTCTTCTTTGCACCTTCGCCGGTCGACCAGGTTATGTTCGCGACCTTGTCAGCGGCATTGGCCTCAACGTGCATGCGCAATATTTGGCTCGTGGCCTTGGTATCAAGGATGAGGGTCTTGGGGACCTCCATGTGCGCGACATTTACGCCAATATCCTGGGTCTCTGGCCGTAAAATCTTATACGCATACTCGCAGATAGTAATAGCCATATCGCCGTACAAAGTCGAGGGAGTGAGGCAGGTCCCGTTGACACGGTGACCTAGGCAAACCTTCCTCAGCTGCTCCTCGACCAGGTCTGATTCAGTCTCAATGATAATAGTATCTCCCTTGACTTCCTCCTTGGTGATCCTCTGGACGGTTGTGGTGGACAACTTAGCTCTGCTCGCCTCCCTCTCCGGAGGGGCGGTCAGCACACCACGGTTCTTGGTGAGACACCATTCACCGGTGTATTGCAGCCAGTAGTTTTTTAGGTCAAACGAGTAGGCCGGTAGATCCAGCAGACGGACAGATGCGCCAAAGTCCCGATGAAATTCGTTCCAGTCAAGGTTCAAGCCAGCAGAGTGCAGTGTGCAGAGTGTTGAGCTCAGAGTCTTATAGGTCGCCTCACCACGACGTAGTGTTGGGACGGCGATCGTGCTTGCTCCAAAGGCTGCCTTGATCATGTTGGCGCATACAGGGTGAGGCCCAACCTCGAGCCACACCGTCTTCTCATCAATGGCACCAGACTGCTGCGCGGAGACGAGACCGCCTAGGAAGTTAACGGCTTCCCGAGCGTGGTTGCGGAGGTAGGAGGGCCCGATAGCCTCCCCGTCTAAGAGCCTCCCGTAAAGGGGGGATATAACGGCGACCTTAGGTTCTCTAAAGCGAACCGACCGGGCTAGGTTCTCAAGCTCATCCAAGATCGGCTCAACCTGCGCGGAGTGGAAGGCGAAGGGCACCTTGAGCTGGGTACACTTGAAGCCAGCGCTACCGAGCAGCTCGGCGATCTCAGAAGCTTCAGTGGAGGTGCCGCTAAGCACTGTCTCGCGGGGGCCGTTGATGCAGGCGATGTTCGTCGACGCAGCGCGATCGCCGAGTGCTTCTTTGACAGTTTCGACAGATCCCTGGACGGCCAGCATAGTATGGGTCCCAGCAGTACACTTTTCGACCAAAAGCCGGGCGCGAGCGCCGACGAGGTAGACCGTCTCGCTAGCGGATAAAACACCTGCAACATGGAGCGCAGCGTACTCGCCTAGGCTATGGCCGATTATAGCACTGGGTTGAATCCCCCAGGAAGCCCACAGTTTAGCCAAGGCCATCTCACAAGAAGCCAAGCCTAGTTGAACAACAACTGGAGATAGCTTCTGGACCTCGGGCTCGCTGCCGTCGATGAGGGATAGGAAGGATGGGAAGCCATGGATGAGGGAAAGCTGGTCATATTCGTTGATCGCCTGGCGGAAGACAGAATAGTGGGCGTAGAGGTCCCTGCCGAGGCCAGCGTAGTGAGAGCCCTGGCCGGTAAATAGAAATGCAACCTTGGGCTGCTCGGGGGAAACGGGAACAAAATTGGACTTGAGGCGATCCTTGATGGATTCTTGAGCTTCCAGGAGACTGGAAGCCGTGACATTCATACGCCAATAGTGTTGGATTCTGCGGGCGGTAGTAGTGTATGCTACGTGAGATACAGAAGTCGACGGGTTCTCCTCCATCCACCTGACGAGATTTTCGGCGTTACGAATCATGGCGGCTTTCGATTTAGCGGTTACAGCGATGACGTGGTGGCCGCGAGGGTCGACGGTGGCCGTCCTGTACCGAGGGGCATCCTCGAGAAGAAGACCAGTGTTACCACCGGCGGCACTGAAGTTGTTGATGAAAACCCGACGGGGCTTTCCATCTCTACGTGTGAAGGGTGTCTTGTGGAAGGCGATATTCACACCACGCTGGCTGAGATCCGGTGGGAAGGTCTTGTTAATCTCCTTCTTGATCCCGATATGCGGTGGGATGGCGTTTTTCTTGAGCATCATCAAGACCTTGATCAGGGCGGTGACACCCGAAGCGGCCTCCCCGTGACCGATGTTCGCCTTCACCGCACCTAGATACAAGGGCCTGTCTACAGGCCGATGCCGGTTAGCAGGAGCAAAAATGTCTGTGACAGATACCATCTCGGTCCCATCACCGGCTTGGGTACCCGTGCCATGCATCTCGACATAATCCACGTCGAGGGGATCTACGCCGGCTTCGTCAAGAATGGAGGAGGACAAGACAGACTGTGTCGGGCCATGGGGGTGGGTAATGGATATGGCGTCTGCCGAATGGTTCGTCTGGGTACCCAATATCACCGCGAGGATGTTGTCTTTATCTGCCAGGGCATCGTCGAGCCGTTTTACGACCACAGAGGCACAAGCGTCAGCTCGGCAATAGCCATCGGCGTCATTGTCGAACGTATTGCAATTGTGCTCCTTGGAGAGGAATTGGCCACGGCTTAGGCCGGAGAAGATATCTGAGTTCGTCATGCAAGAGAGGCCACCGACCACAGCCGTATCACACTCCTTCGCTCTCAAGGACGTGCAGGCAACTTGAAGCGCAGCAGCACTAGAGGAACAGGCCGTATCGATATTCAGACTAGGGCCGCTGAACCCGAAGTGGTAGTTGATCCTCCCCGGGCCGAAAGCACGGACGCCGCCCGTGATGAAGTAGGTATCGATCTCTTGGGCCGCGTTTATCTCGCGCCAGTCGTCTGAGGTCTGACCGTAGAAGGTGCCAATACGATCGAGTCGCGTGGACGGCGTCCGGTTCGGCACGTAGCCAGACATCTCCAGCGCCTCGTAGGCAGTGGTCAGGGCCAGTCTCTGCATCGGATCGGTCTGGAAAGCCTCGCGGGGGGACATATTGAAGAATCGCGGGTCAAAATGACCGGGATTCTCGATCCAATTGCCGTAGGGAGTGTGACTAGTGTTGATGGCCTTCCCGGTAGGGTCGCAGTGGGTGTCGACTGGAAAACGATCGGCCGGTACGACGCGATGGGCATCAATCCCCTTCTCGAGCAGCTCCCACAGAGCCTCGTGACTAGCCGAGTCTGGAAAGCGGCCAGCCATGCCCACAATGGCCAGCTTGCAATTTCCTGTAGACCCGTGGTTTCCGATGGAAGTGGTGGCGGTGTCGCGAGAGACCTGAGGGGGCGGCCGGAGTATGACTTCCAGACTCGTTTGTGCTCTCAAGACATTGGCCAGCGTGCTCGCGGCCTGTGTTGGCCCGCATGGTATAACAAGGATGCGAGATCCATTGAATCCCCGCGCCGCGTTAACATTCCCACTCAGTGTCTTGTGAAAGATCAACGGCTCGTTCAGGATCTCGTGAACCACGGCCGTCAGTAGCGATTTTGTGTCGGTCTCGGCGAACGGCGCACCTGTGACACAGGACATCACGACGCTGCGAGGTTTCGAATTCGCGAGGGCGGCGGTGACGACCTCGTCATCAAGTCGTAGCATTTTCCTAATATCCGTCGAACCATGCAAATGGGGAGCATGGTACGGCCCGTATACCGGTATCGCTGTTGGCCTCGACACGAACAGATCTTTGCTGAACAGAGACTGCAGTGTAACTGGCGGGCCAGATACCGCGATGTTACTCGCGGACACAGCGCTAACGTAGGCCCGAGCAGCTTGAGAAACCCCCTTTCACACGATTAGTCGCGGCAAGTTGACCTGGGTCATCTGGGTTATCTTACCTCTGACTTGTGGAATTCTTCGAGAACAGACCTCACCTCCGCTTCCTCGACGGCAGGGAGAACGCATGTCCAACTCTCCGGCTTTTCAGTCGGAGGACAGAGCCTTTCCCCCAGCGAAGCCACGTGAGAGCCGGTTCTAAAGGCCATCAGAACGACCTGAACGGCGATCGGCACTAAGGCGGAGAGCGAGTAGCTCGACGCAATGGCAGTTGCAGCGAAAAGGCCAGTGCATAGTCCAGAAAGTTTCGTATTTCTGTGCTCCGTGACATCTTCGTGTTTCTTCTCGGAGCGGCTACCCACTCACGTCAGCGATATGATTCGGGCAAGGGTTATTGATTAAGTGTTGCATACTCGATATAATGTGCCAGCTGTGCTATGCATAACAGGGCGCTATCAATCCCGGGGAACTTGGCACCCTGGGTGTGGTATCTTTCGTTGAGTTGCTGCAATGTCCGGAATATGGGTATTCGCTGTCGTTCTCCTCGAGGAAGTTGGTCTATCTCGTTCTTCAGAGCGTCCCCAGCTTGTCGGAGGAACTCTCTCGACAGGATACTCGGGCTCCCTCGTCGGTAGAAGTCGGCCAGGAAGCCATAGGTATCCAGAGACTGGTCTCCAAAGAGGAGAAATGCCATCTGGTCCGCCATGCTGTCTGCGAGGGGCGTTGCTGTGGTTTCTAGGTGTGGTTTGTAGGGTTCAATAAAGCCTATGCGGCGGTCGAGGTGTCTTTGACTTATATATATCAGATCAACAAAACACCGTTTGAATAGAGCTAGCCTAAACTAAATATAACACCGATGCGGTGCCAAGTCCCATGTGTGTGATGGTCTATCATCATACCCCAGGCGTCACGACTAGCTAGGGGGGAGGGGGGGTGTGTGTGCAGAGAGAAGCTGTGATTTCACTCCCCAGTCCCCATACCGTGCCTCCAGCTAGTCCGGCATCGTTCGATTCTCGGTGACCGAAATTTCGTGGGAGATAAGCATTATACTTCCATTCTAGGAGATTTTAACTGGGTGGTAAGGCTGCCACACAGCGTGGGTGGATAGTCCATATCTTGTCCGAACAGTACGTCTCGTGTCAGAGGGCGGACAGTGAGTGACGTCTCAACCGTTCCTTTGGACCGACGAGTTCGAAAACCCAGCGACACATCCCCACATTCCTTAATGCATGCCCGAGCATCAGCCCAATGTCGAAATAAGACGTAGCTCCCGCTGCCCCAGGCCACCCAGGGCGCCCTGGTGCGTGTTGGCGAGAAGCCTCGGGGGGGTTTTCTAACACAAAATGCTATAAAATGGTATAACCTCTGCAAAGCCAGGCATGCGAGGGCTGCTGGGTGCTCTCGACCGGGGCTCCCGATGAAATGCCGGCAATCTTACTTGGGTGCCAAAGGATGGGCCGTTGGTGGTTGACCGTTGGGGATGTCCGTCGAGAAGCGCAACAGCGGCTAAGCTTCCCACACACACAATCAGGACGGGTGCGAGCGAGGAAATGGCTGCGGCGCATTCAGTAATACCCGCCACGAGAATAATACCAAAAATGAAAACGAAAGGGATATGGTGGGGTAGGTTGAGACCAGGTCTACCGAAGAAGAATCATTGTCTTACGGATGAAAAGAACCCGCCGTGCCTCTCGGGGAGCAGGCTCCCAGGCGTATAAGATTAGTGAATGCCATCCATCCTCATAGACGTCAACGACCGACTAGGCCTCTCACCACCTACGAGGTCTCGTAGCGTTCCGGAGTGGGGGGCGATGCCACCAACCAACACCCTCGCGTCGGGAGCCGCATACCAAGGTATCGATGTCCGCCGGGTCTAGCGGCGGGTAGGATGATAACGCAGAGGAAGCCGCATTACCGCGGCCTTGCTCGATGAGGCTTAGCCGCTGCGGTCGAGGATCTCGAGCACCAGGCTCTCAGCATGTATCGTATCACACACGCCCGCCACTGACGAGGAGATATTGAGAACGACCGAGTCTGGGCTGCCATGTCTTGCGATGGCAGGGAGTAGACAAATGCGGACAATGTCTCTCACCACTGTCTCGGGATCCCACCTACTAACCCTGAAGGAGCGTCTGGCATGTACGTGTGCACCTCTCACCTTTTTTCTCTCTCTCTCGTTCTCTCGCCCTCCCCCTTCTCTGCGTGTTTCTCTCTGTCTCTCTCTCTCTCTCTCTCTCTCTCTCTCTCTACTATCCACACAGGCGCGCGCGCACGTACTCTAGTTGCCTATCCATGCCTGTCGGCCGCAGGTGGCCCGCAGCGGCATGCCGGCACCCACGGAGTAAGCGTGTAGGTGTTGCGAGGTAGGTACCTCGCACAAGGGTTGCAGAGCGCGGTTGCAACGTGGTAATAGGGAATTCTAAAGGCCAGCGCCTAACCGTACAGCTTAATGTAGCGTTGTCCGCGAGGGGAGGAAATTCGGGGGGGTATGCCGGCAAGGTTATTCGTTCGCGTATGTTGATCGTGTTTCTTCCCACGGTCGTGAGGTTGGTAGAAAAGTAGTCCTGAATGGTTCCCGGCCACTGAGTAGGGATCCGCTTTTCCGGGTTGGCTCTTTATCCGGCTCCGGGATCGAAACGAGAGGGTGTATTTCGTTAGGTACAGTGAGGTATATCTACCTGATAAGTTAGGTACTCACGTACCTATTAAGTGCATGTAGGTATATTAAGTACTTATGCGGTAGATTCTAAATGCGGTAACCTCCTCCTACCCCTCCTCCTCCCTCCATTCGGAGGATTAGGATGTACCGCATTACTACATACCTCCTATTACCTTACCCTCCCTACCTCCTCCTTCACCCCATCCCACCTACACGTCGCGTCTCGTCACATGCGACGACTTTCGCCTGGCGTCCGTACTCCATCCCTCTACGACGCCAGATGGGATGGCATCTCATCTCAGATCCGCAAGTATACCCACATGCCTATAGGGTAGGTCGGTACTCGCGGAAAGACAGAACAGGTCAAGGTACCTGGTGTCGGTTAGGTCACCTGGTAGGCAACGGTTATGCGTGTTATGCATCTGCGCTCCAGTTGGGTTCGGCGCCCAGATATCTGTTTCTTCTGGCCGTGCCGATACAGGTCATACCGACACAGGGGGTTGGGTGGCATTGGACGAGAAGACGAGAAGAGATGTTCCGGAGAGGCCACCTCCTCCTAGGCTGCAGATATCTTCTCTCTCTTCCACCACCCACCAGTCCAGGCCAGGCTCAATCGACCACGGCATACGCACCACCGCGTGTAAGTCCGGCCAGCTCGCCCGTATCGCTGCATGCGCATGCAATTTGAAGGAGTAGGGCTGCTGATCGCCCTCATTGCCTTTCTACGCCTTGAGACACCATTGCGCCGCCGCTCTGCAGGACGGCCGCATCCAGCACCCAGACGCATCCGCTCTCCCCTCTACCTTTGCCAGCTGCGCCGTATCCAGAAGGGCTCGAGAGCCCCCACCTACCCGTCGTCGACCTAAACCTTGTCCCGGCTTTGCAGAGTTCGGCATGGATCAGTCCAAGTTAATACCTACGAAGTGCGGGTTGTGCTCAGGGCGGCTAACTGGTGGTGGGCGCCACTCTCGCCGTCTTATATCATTGTCTCCCCCTGTGGCTTCGTCTCCGTTATCCTGAACATGCAACGCCGCCACCGTTTTCGCATGATCGATCGTCTATCTGCGCCGCATTGCTTGTTTTCTCACATGACTCTACCTACCTCTTGTGCGCGTATATACCGATAGCCACACACACACACACATGTATGTATATATATATATATATATATATCCCCATTCCCAATGTGTATACAGTACGTAGGTGGGTATCCTTTACGGGTTACAGGAGGTGTTTAGATAGAAGGTAACGTTCCTCTTTCGTGGTTCGAGAGGTACCTATGCATGCGCGCGGCATATGCACATATAGAAACGGCCCATTGCCTTTTGGAGGTACCTGGGTAGGTAGGATGTGTAGGTACCCAGGCTAGAGGTTAGATAGTTCAGGTACCCACGGCACCCCAGGTAATGAGGCACTCTGTGATATGCACGCCCCCCGTCGTGGGCGTAGCGGGGTTTGGAATGAAACGAGGTTCTGATATAACAGGCTCTCCTTGTCTCCCGCCTCGACTTGACCTCCTCCTCGCGTGCTACTTTCCAACGAGGCTTTCCCGGTCCCAATTCCAATACGACGTGGCATTCCTCCGCACAGCCAACCATCCTCTTTCCTAACCCCCCCAGCTCGGGAATCTTACCACAGAGAATAACACGAACTGCTCTCACTATCCTACCCCGCTGCGGCGAGCAGACACGAAAGGAGCACTTAGCGCGCCACGTGGGATAAGGAAGGAGATCCGCAAGCAGCCATTCCCTCTCCTCCCTCCTCTCTCTGGTCCCCTCCGCGAATATCTACCACCACCGCCGAGCCGATGTACCCCATCTGCGAGGTCGCCGGTCGCCTCGCCCCTTCGCCCTCCTCGCGCACGTTTCCCATTGGGATTGCTTGGTCCGGTGGCATAATCCCTCACGGCCTTTTTGCTGCCTCTCTGCCATCTCGAATTCCTATTGAAGGGTCGGACATGGTCCAACCAAGCGCTTCCCCCGGTAGCTGTGTTATCGAGGTCGTCGATGTCGGTCGTGTCGCCAATGAGACATTAGGGGACATCCCCTAGCCTCCTCTCCGTTCCGGAAACACCTCATCAGGAATGACGGAAGTGTGCCCTCGAATCTGACATGCTGGAAGATGATTGACTGGAATTCGAGGCCATGGGCTTGGCCAGTCACACCGAGTGATCAAGATCGGACCTCCGGACTATTATCGTACGGGTTCAGGAAGTGCACTCTGCCCGTTCCACCCGCACCACGGCCAGCAGAGCTGCATCGCCCACGTAAATACGTAGAATGCGCGACTCAGAGTGGCCTTCTCGGATGGTGCCGCGCGCAGCCCCTGTGCGTGGACTGGCGAGGCCGCACCCGTCGGTTTGGTTCCCACCAACCAGCTTGTATATTCCTCAGGTCTCCAACCGCGGTCGACGAGCCAGATAGGTGAGATTTCACGTGCGTTGATTAGGTATGTTGCACGGCCTGGCATATCCCCTTTCTTCCACACCACGGGCGAGTCACAAGTCACATCGCGGACTGGAAGAGGGGGGGCGCCTCGAGAACCTAATCAGGGAAGGCCGCACTCAACCCTCCGTTTAACTTGACCAAGTCGGCGTATACCCCGATACCGTCATGCTTTATCAACGACGGCAGCAGCAGCTGGAGCAGAGCCAGAACCGCACGCCCCCGTAGGATTGCGGATGTCTGGGGGTGTACGTGTGGGAGGCAACCGTCTAGAATAACGGTCAGAGGGCGGCCCATTGGCCAGCAGACCCCGTCGTCTATAATCACCTACGGGTAGCTTGCTTAAGACTAGCAAGACTGTGTAAGCCATATCGTTGGCACCGGCATACCTGTGATACCCGGTGGAAGGGCTGATAAATCGACCGGAGCTGATCTTGCCCTATAACGCAATATCCAGCCGCCTGAAGCTCAAGTTCCCCTCCCTCAAGAGGCCGAAGCTTCGATGGCAGCAGATGAAGGGATGCATGCAGCGGGTGCCCGCAACTCAATTCGATCTTGGTCCGCGCCCTAGATGTTCAGTTCGGTCATATTTTGCTAACTGCTAAGCGGTTGTAGTTTACCCGGGTCGTAGTCCTACACGCCCATCGACTATTGCTTGTCTCTTGACCAATCTTCGGCTCTAGAGATAGATGTCAGGCAGGGTTTGTCTAGCCTTGTGTCAGCGTACGAGATGGCGCCTGCATCTTCGTCTTTCAGCCTTCATCCTCATGCCCGTCTCGGATTCGGGTCAAGGGAACCCCAGACTGCATCTGAGAGGCACTGTCATCCGCTGACTAGCTGGCGTTTTTTTGGTAGTCATTCTCTGCAGACTCCTGCTATACGCATCTGCTCCATCTACGCCTATGAGCTACGGCGCCGAACTCTGCATCTCGACCCCTTCATCCAACGTGAAGGGCAACTACCTGAGTTCTTAGCTGAGCGTAAGCTGAAAACGTCACCGCGGGCAACACGCCCCTAGCTGCACGGCGCGTCCACAGCAACGCCTCTCGCTACTGCCTAGGCACGCAGAAACCCCTCCCGCTGGATTGAGCCAGACGCGCCGCCGTTCCAGTCTCTTAGAGTATGTGGCAGTATCCCTCCGCCGGTATTGGCCGCCACCCCGAGTAAAAAGACAACAGGCGCACCTGTTGTATGCCCGGTGACAGATCCTCCGTCGAATTTGGGTATCATTACCCTCGGAACTCGGCGGTACTAGTAGGAACAACCGGTATCGTGGAGACGAAAGGCTCGGCATGATGATAGTCGGGGTTCTTTGGCTAGATGTCCGGTTACGGCGCATGCTTATGGTGCATTGGATGCTTCCTGTCCAGCTTCGATCCTCCAGGGGCTTCGATCCAATACAGGGTAAACTCTACGACGTACCTCCGAATACCCCGACCCGCATACCCGTTTTATCTGCACGCCGATGTCAGGGCAGCACTTAGATCGGTAGGATCAGGTAGTGTACAGGAACGGCCCGAGCGGATGGTCCAGCCAAGCTAACGGGCACGTCGATCGCTAGGCCTGTATATGCGTGTTTTGAAGCTGGCCATGATCTCCTACTACATGACCAATGGCCCGATTCCGTCTATATCCCAGTTAAGCTACGTCTTAGATTGCCAACCCCCCCTAACCGGCCGTAATAGACTGAGATGCGAATTATAACCACACATGGTATTAAGGCGTATAGGTGTAGGTGTAGAAGGTTAGGCGAGTTCCCCTAGTTCCTATTTATCCCCATGCCCTGTCACCCAGTAAGCTATCATGTGGAACAACATTGTGTAGACATGTTAGATGTAGACGGCCCCCGTCGATGTCGAGCCATTTTTTATTCCTTCTTTTATGTCTCTCTTGGAAATTAGGAGCGTATATGACATCCCGCAGTGGAAAGTGGCCTCCCAGATACCGACCTTGTTAACCGTGTCTGTTGTATAGAGAACTGCACGGTAGAGGTTAGCTTTTAGACCCGCTTAGGGACCCTGACATCGCGGAACTTACCCAATGTAGGTCTTAGGGGGTACCGTAGCGAAGCCATTCCGGTTGTGCCAATCCAAGTTTCCGGCCGCGTTACCCGTAGTAGGTATGCCTAACGCACCACAGGCTTCTAGATGGTCTTGGGGGATCGTGTAGTTGCGGAGTCGGTCGGGAGCCTCGAGGAGGGTGGCGGTGAGGCCCATCTCAACGTGCCATTCTACGTGGCAATGGAATAGGTAGACGCCCGGGTTATCAGCTTTGATACGGAGCACCACATACGACTTAGGGTTGACATTCACCGTGTCTCTCTTCGGCGGTACGTTATTAGCATTAACATGTCCTACCCAGTTACCGGCCTTGCTCGCCGGACGGTCGATGATTTGGAATTGGTGTCCGTGCAGGTGGAAAGGGTGGATGGCGTCGTCGTGGTTGTTGAGGATGATCTCGAGGACCTCGCCATACTCTACGAGAAAGATGCCAACCTGTCCGTAAGCCTCGATCTGCGTGTTGTTCTCTCCCAACGACGTTGCAGTATACAGGGATGGGACCGGCTGCGCGACATAGGTCGAGTTATTGAAGCACGCCCGAGGGTAACCGTTGGCATCGTGGCAGTAGTCGAAGTCCAGCACCCACTGCTTATCGACGGGGCTGTGGGCATTCTGGTTGTCGTACGGCTTGAGGCGGGCGTCGTCGAAGGGATCGAGGGACTGTATGCTCAGTGTCCCGCTAGTGTCCTTGCTAGAGTCTGTTACCAGCATCCCCGTGAAATTGTACGGGTATTCAATCGGCCTCGGGGGGTTCGACTCTGTGTAGTCGACGTTTATGTCCAGGACAACCAAATACGGGATATTCCGGCCAGCGTCGTCCGGGATCGTTACCAAGACATCGGATCGCTGGCCAGGAGAGAGGCGTAGTTGCTGTACACTCTGCCTCTGCACATATGAGGCGTCTATTGTAATGACATCCATGCTTAAGGAGTCAAATTGGATGAAGGTGGAAAACATCGCGGCCCAGTTGATCAGGCGTAAGCGGTATGTCTTACCAGGCTCTACAGAGAGTTCGCCGGACCCCCCCTCGTTAACAAGAGTACTGTTGGGTAGCGGAGGAGCGAAGCCGATGTTGTTGGGCTGTATCATGTCCGACATAAGCGATGGTGTTTGATTGCGGAACCTGAACAACACATGAGCATCCCGGAAGGGCGGCCTCCTTCTCGCCAGCCTCAAGACAAATACACGCTCACCAGTCTGAAAGGGTGATGATGATATCTTTCTCATACACGTTCTTGTAGGGGTCTTGGGGGTCATGGATGATCAGCGCACCACGAAGGCCGTCAGGATACTGCCCCATGCTATGTGAGTGCCCTTTTCCCCGTCACGTCAGCGGCTGGAAGCGTTCCGGTGGTCGAGACTGTCCTAACTTACACCAGTATGTACCCGGCGTGTCTGCCTATCCACGTCCCTAGTCAGCATCCGAGTTCTCTCCTCCCTACCAATACAGATAGAATATCAAGTCTCACGAAAAAACGGTATTCAACGGTATGGTTCGGAGCCAGGGGGCATTGACTCGCGCCAACGGAGCCGTCCATGGCACCCGTGCCTATCTGGTTAATTCCGTGGAAATGAAGGCCTGTAGTTTGGTTCCCCAACTCGTTTAATAAGCGAACGACGACTGTATCGCCGACGTTGGCCTCGATCTTCGGGCAAGGCCAGACGCCGTTGATACCGATAACTGGCCTCGAAAAGCCATCCGGGCTGCCAGCGACCCAAGTCGCATTCCATTCATATGTCACCGTACCTGCCCACGACCTGGGGATCTGGGCCAGCACAACGAGTAAGGGAAGAAATCCCCTATGCATCGTGCCAATCGAGCGCTCTGTATATTGGTACAGGAGAAATGGGTCCTCGAGAACCCGAGAGAGGATCGTCTGGGTCGAATGTAGCGGCCTAGAGCATGGAGGAGATGAAGGTGGCCACCACTACCGTCACTTTTTAAAAGTCAAGTTGACAGCGACATTAACAGCTGATCTCGCGTCTTATGAGGACATAAATTACTCTTTCTGCGGTGAAAAATTGGTACCGCCACACCCCCCCCCCCCTCCTCTGTGGAGGCAGAGCAAGGTGGGCTGAACAGCATCCAAAACTAAGCATCAGTCTACGAAAGCCAGCATATCTAACCTTTGCGATCTAGACACACGGAATTAATATGATACGGCAGGTATTTCTGCGGTAGGTTTTCGCTGCGAGAGTGACATCCGCAGGGCACGCCGCCTTTGGCTTCCTCATCTAGACCTGCTGCCCAGGACAGAAGAGTGGCCAACCGATAAAGGCCATGGGCACGAGAGACGACCGCGGTTAATTTGCCTGTGCATAGGTTAGTTAAATGCGAACATTACTGAGCCTAAAGGGGCAGCCAGGGCGCATCTCAGGGATTAGGTACACACAGAAACCCCGAAGCTACGGGTCAAGCCGAAAACGCGACGAGATTGGGAATCGGCGGACTCGAGAATCACTACGTAAGGCTTACAATAAACGGGGGCTGGGAGGACCTAGTACGATAATCTCGAGATACTACCCCTGGGCTTGGACGGAAGATACGAACTCACCAAAGGCGCAAGCAACGCCTTCGTCGACCTCGCGCCTAAACTAGACGGTCATAATTCGAACCCTACAAGAGCACCCGGAGATCTGACGCATGCATGTCCGGTGTCTATCCCGACCATACTTGCAGCAGGTGGTTTTTCGATGACGACACGACAGGCCGCGGCCGATATACCTAGGTAGGTATGTGCTGGGAGTGCCTCCCGGCGACGGCCTGTCACGAACTTTCGCAGCCTCATATGAGAACTCGAGAAAAGCTAGATTACCTACCTGCATCGAACGCCCACTTAGCAACGGTGCTTGCGAGGTAGTGAGACAAAAAGAACCACGGGCGACGAATTCTGCACGACAAAAGACATCCAACACGGAGGGACAGGCTCTGCGTTTAAGCTCAGAGTCAGGCATGCCACAGACCCATGGGAGCCGGGGGCTTTTCATCGGGTGGGCATCAATACCTCGTCCCCTAGATGGCTCCTACATCATATCTCACGGTACCTTGTCGGGGACGAGAACCTTTTTTTAAGGATCGAACCATTTATCCTGCAAACAAGACATCCACCAGCCCCCTGGCCGGCACGGTTCGGCGAAATCAGGAGAATCCTAATTGTTAGGACCAGGGCATCACCAGGCGAGCATTTTGCATGGTGCCATTCGCAGCCAACGGGTTAGGAAGACAGCCGTAGGCCAAGGAGTAGAACTCGTTCAAAGTTGCGGGCGAAGCAGGGGATAACACCCCTACTCTCTCTACGTATATGAGCTACTTGCTTACAGCCCCTCCTTAGGCCTCCGCTGAAAGCATCGCTTCAATAGTCCCAGCATTATCCCGACTTAGACGGAATGGGGACCCGCTTTGGGAAAAATACACCTTGCCTACACTCGGCTCCTCTTGTAACCCTCCCGTTCCCCTTCTCCCCCTCCGGAGGGGTTTGTCGAACTAGCGAGCTTGTGATGGCACCCCCAAGAAAGCTATGGCAGGGCCGAGGGATAGTCCGGATCGGGGTTGTTCGCCCACATCCTGTTGGCGGAGCCGAAGACCGTCAGCGAGTCCCCGCTCGGCTCGAGCTCGAGGACGACGAGCTCGTTCTCGGCGCCGCCGGGCTTCAGCACGGTGCCGGGCAGGTACAGCGACTGCTGCGGGCCGACGACCCAGTAGCGGCCGAGGTGGAACCCGTTGACCCACACGTTGCCCTTGACGCCGTCCGGCACCGCCACGAAGGTGTCCAGCGCCGCCGGGTCCGGGTTCTCGGCGCCGCCGCCGACGCGGAACGTGCCGCGGAAGAAGACGGGCGGCGACCCTGCGGCGACAGCGTGCGGAGCGGCCGTTCCGCCACCAGTGGGCAGCTCGTCCAGTGGCAGCGGGTAGATGTCCCACCCGGACACGACTGCGGACCCGACCGTCACGTTGCCCACGATGCCCTTGTACGGGTCCTCGAGCGCCACGAACGTGTTCGATTCCCGCGACCAATACCCGACCCGGCCGAGATTCTCGACCAGCAGCCGGAGCGTGTCGCCGGGCAGCAGGGACAGGCGCACCTCGGCTGGCTCGATGTACGAACTGTCGATGACGCCCTGCCGCACGCCGTTGACGTACACTATCACCCGGTCTCGGGCCCGATCCCCCGGCTGCAGGACCCCCTCGAGGGCGGTGTCCACGGTGTGCTCGTACAGGATGAACCCGTAGGCCTGGTCCAGCTCCTCCATCGTCATAGGGGATGCGCTCGTCGCCTTCGCGCCCAGTGCGCTAAAGAGGGGGACCGTGGGCGACAGCGTGATATTGCTGATCTCGAGGAGGGGTCTGTTCTGCGGGTACTGGGGGATGCTGCCCCGGGGGGCGTACTTCTGGATGGTGCTGCGGAAGGCAAGGTACAGGTCGGTGATGCGGCCGCTCTCGTCGACGGGCGAGCCGTAGTCGTAGCTCGTCGTGAACGTAGCTGTGTAGTTTCTCCACAGCGCGCCGCTGCCGAAGCCGAAGTTGGTGCCCCCGTGGAACATGTACAGGCTGATGGAGTTGTTGGCCGCCAGCACGAAGTCGAGGTCGTCGACGAGCCGCTGCACCTGCGCCGGCTGCCCCTCCGACGTCTGGTGCGCGTTGGTCGCCCCCCACAGGTCCGGCGCGAAGGTGTAGTACTCGCCATCGAGGAGCGGGCCGAGCTCGCTCGGGTCCGTGATGTACTGGTCGCGCGCCGCGAAGCCGGACCGCGGGTCGCCGTCGATGGCGGCCAGCACGCCCGGCACCTCGCCGCCGCGGAGCGTCCACTCGACGCCGCCGTCGGTCGTATAGAGCGGGACCTCGAAGGCGTCGAGCAGGATGTCCCGTAGCGCGCGCGTGTACTCGTGGTCCTCGCCGTACGACCCGTACTCGTTCTCGACCTGGACCATGATCAGCGGCCCGCCCCGCGTCGCCTGCAGGCCGCGCAGGTCGTCGGCGAGGCGCCGCAGGTAGCGCTCCGAGGCCGCGAGGAACGGCGCGTTGTAGGCGCGCACGCGCAGCCCGGGCACGCGGCTCAGCCAGGCCGGCAGGCCGCCCCAGTCGCGCTCGCCGCAGATGTACGGCCCGGGGCGCAGCACGACCCTGAGCCCCGTCTCGTCGGCGAGGCGGAAGAAGGCGGCGATGTCGTTGGCGGCGCTCGCCTCGCCGGCGCCGTCGCCGACCGCCCACTCGCCCGGCCGCGGCTCGAGCAGGTTCCAGAACACGTAGCTGAAGATGGTGTTGAGCCCCATGGCGCGCGCCTTGGCCAGCCGGTCGTGCCAGTACGCCCGCGGGATGCGCTGCGGGTCCATCTGCCCGCCGATGATGACGAACGGCTCGCCTTCGAGCAGAAACGAGTGGCGGTCGTACGTGAAGGCGGGCACCGGCGCGGACAGCGTCGCGCTGGGCTCCACCGCCGCTAAGCGGCTCGAACCCGACGACGGGGCTGCCGAGGCGGCGAGGAGCAGAGCGAGGAGACGCGAAAGAGGCCGCATATTATCTGTCTGTTGATCCAGAGACGAAAAATGCTAAGAAGAATGACACCCTGAGACGGCCAGGTTACCCTTCTACCCTCCCCTCCACGCTTAGGGGGAGAGAGAAGACGTGCGGTCTCTCTCCCGGCGGGGTTGGAGCGGGTGCCCATCTTCGCACATAGCCGAGAGATTTTCGATCGACCCCCGCACTTTTGTCGGCCACGGGCACGCGATCCTCCCTCCCCTTGGAAATATGCGGTTCAAATGAGGATGAATCTGGTTTCGCGCGTGAACGTTACATCCCGCGGGCAGGGTAGCTAGCCTTCTTCTGCCCTGCTCTCGAGGCCGGACACGCCATCATCTGACCGATGTGCCCGCGCTCGCCCTCGTCCAGCGTTATCAGGAGGCGAGCTACGATTTTGCCGCCGGTGATGCGCCGAGTTACCTGTGAGTCGGGTGGTTTATCCAGGAGCTTCCAGCTGGGTGACGGAGGACCCGGGTTAGAACTATGTCGAGTTTCTCAGAGTTGCACCTAGTTTGGGAAAATGTAATAGATACCTAGGTGGAATTAGGCGAGCAGAGACCACATGGCAAGAGAACAGAGAGCTGCGAGAGAGGAGAGATGGAATGGACGAGGGTGAACGAAGAAGTTCTCCTATGCACTCACTCGCTCCGAGTACTTGCATATACCGGTTGATCGCATAGTGCCAAGAGTTATGGATTTACAAAGCAGGTATGGCCTACCTGCCAGCCACGGTGAGCTCCAAATCCACATCCATTGTATTAAGCCGGCGGTAAACTGGAGGAGGATTTCTCACCACAATACAATCGCCGCACAGAGCACAAATCGCCATATCGGCCGATGCCAGTATCGCCCTAGAGAGTTGGTGCTGTAGTCTGCATCACAGCCCCTAGGCAAAGTCCGCCTAGGCATAACCAGAGAGAATCAGGGGGACCATCCATCTATCCCATCCATCGGCCCAATCGTACATACATCGTAGCCAGATCACCTACCGACATATAGCCACGATAACAGCAATAGGCCCTGCGTCTCTGGCCGGCTATCCAGCCGTAGGTCGTAGAGATGATGTCGAGTTAAACGTCGATCACGTCGCACGTATTAGAACGAAACAAATCTAACCGAAAATAAAAGTAGATATTGCCGACGATGCTCGCTAGGCTAAAGTGCGAAGATCTAGATGATGCCGTCTAATTCTCGAATCCTGTGCGCTATATGGCGTACGATGCCTCTCCTTCCTTCGTCGTCTCTCTCTCTCTCCTCTCGGCCCGTGGCACTAACACCCCATCACCTTTTCTCCAGAGCGTCTATTCGTAGTCTAATTATCCCTTCCCCCCTAAATACCGTCCTCTCATCATCCCCTGTCGTATCCCTGCGGTCGGTGTGTGACGCGTCACTCGCCGCTAGACGTCAAAGATGCGCTCGACGCCCTTCCACTCACCTTTAGCCCTCTCCTCCCAGTAGTTATCCTTGCCGACCTTCATCCGCCACATCTCCTCGCCGTCGGGCGCCTCGGCCACCTTGACGAACCACCGCGGCCGGTGCTCCTCGCCCTGGGCCTCCATGTCCCGCCTCCGCGCCCGCTGCGCCTCCTCGAGCTTCACCTTCCACTCCTCCGCCTCGTCGAGCTTCCCCTGCTCCGCCAGCCGCTGGTCCTGCCGCAGCCGGCAGTCCGTCGGCGGCAGCCGGCCCTTCTCCACCGTCGTGATCTCGTTGAGCGACGCGCTGAACGCCGTCATGCCGTACGTGTTCGCCGCGTTCGGCACCAGCTGCCCGGCCTTCCAGATGTCCGGCCCTGTCGCCTTGCCGCCTTCCGTCGCGCGGAGCGACGCTGTCCACGTGCCCACGAGGCCGCTCCCCATCGACATGCCGCTCGCGTCGAAGCACTCCACCTCGACCTCCTCGCTTCGGCCGCCGAACATGCCCTTCGTCTTGAATTCGATGTTGGCTTTCGTTCCCGCCGAGTCGTTGCACACGGTCATCGTGCCCACCGGCTCGACGTATTTCTCGCCCATCACCACGTTGCGGAGGAACATGGTAGCCATGCTCCACGAGTAGAATTCGTCGGTGCCGTCCGGGAGCCGTAGTGCTACGCGGACCCGCCCATCGGTGGTTAGCTCGGCACTCTTGCCCCAGAACTTCTGTGCCGGAGCAGGGCTCTGCGTGAGCGACCAGAGGGCCGCGTCGGCGTGCATAGCAAGACGGACCGGACGGTGCACGACCTTTTCGACTATGAGCCGAAACCCGCCGGGAACCTCGCTCTCGGTGCGCAGAAGCTCAAAGGTCTCGCCCAGGAGGGGGTTGAAGGGCTTGCGCATAGAGCGCTCCTTGACACGGTTCACGCTGAACTGCGATATGGCAAAGGCGGTAACGTGGAGAAGTCGATCCTTGGGTGTTTTCAATTTCGCGGCCTCGTCGAGAAGCTGGGCGTACTCGAGCTGCTCCGAGACGCGCTGGAGAGCAGACAGCGGCTCGTTGGACGAGACCGGCATGCTAATCGTGCTTAGATCTTTGCCCACATTCTTCCGCACGAACGCGATCAAGCTGGGCGGAGGGACCGTGGCCGGTGGGATGGTCTTGCGACGGTCGACCGCGATGTCAACGGGTAAGGGATTGAGACTTTTCGGTCTCGCGGGGAAGAGAGCCAAGGCACCACTAGCTCCAGTGGTTCCTTCGCCCTCTCCAGTAGATAGAACTGAAGAGGAATCATCTATAGAGGCGTCGTCCGCTTCGGACTCGTGCGAATCCTCTTCGCCGCCACTTCCACGATTGTCAATCATCATGACCTGCGTTCTACTGTCCGTGTCGCCAGCCTCGGCGTCGAAAAACTCCTCGGTTGACGCAGTAGATTCGAAGCTCCTCCTCGATGTGGCGGACACCGGTATGGTTATACGCCGTCTCTTGCTGTTACCAAGTACCTTGGTAAACTCGGTAACGACCAGATCCAAGTCGTTAAGAAGTGCTGCACAGTGCTCCTGAGTGCGGCGTTCGTCGGATTCGCCGAGGCCGGAATTCTGGGTCGAGAGTGTCCCGTTTGGATTCGCTACACCCGGCGCTGGGACAGCCAAGGCCGACGCCGGCGAGGGGGCTGAAGTTGGCGTTAGGGTTGCGGCGGTTTGTTTCCGCTTCCAGAACGGACGCTTGTCCTGCGCTTGCGAGACGAAGTAGCCGTCGCTCGTCTCGGACACGGCGGGCGAGCCCGGTGACAGGTGAGAACTTGCCGGACGTGGCGGCTGCCTCTGGGCAACCAGATCATTTACCAGACGGCGCAGGGCGTCGCGCGTGCCGACGATGCGGCTGACAAGGGCCTCGACTTGCTGCCATTCTCGGTCCTCTTCCTGTTGCGTATTGGGGGGATGAACGTGTATCGTAGTGGCTACCGTGAGCGTGTCGGGAGATGGATCGAGCAAGGGTTCCTCGAGTCCCCGCGCAATTCTGCTCGCCTTTTCCAGGGCACGCGCCCATTCGTTGAAATCCTTAGCATTGGATGCTCTCAGGTGCCAGACCTCGGCCCCAGAGTCGATATTGATCTCTCTCCGTCGCTCGTCGGCAGCAATGGCAGCTAGACTCAGCGGAATCGCGCCTCGGAGTGCTGAGGAGTTCCTGTTGTGATAATACGACAGCGTGCAAGATAGATAATCGAGAGAGAAGAATCGTCGAGCGTAGCCTTGGCCCTTCTTTCTCCGCCTCTTCAACAAAATCCCCGTAAACGCAGAGCTGCCTCCGGTGTCGCTGCGGCCGGCTATGGACTTTGCCCGTTGGCGGCTGGCTCCGTGGCTCTGCAGGCTTTCGGTCGACTCGGCGGCGGCGGGGCCGGGGTGGGGGCCGGGCTTTCCCAGGCTGGTCTTGCTGGCATTCGCGTTGGAGGCTTGGAGGTTGGTTAGATGGTGCGCAGATTGCGGTGGTGCGTTGGTAGGGTAGGTGAGAAGCACGAAGGTGGCCGTCTTGGAAGTCTGTTTCGAGAAGGTGTTGTCGAAGATCAAGCCAAACATGCCGCCGTGGCCCCTGACCACGTCGTAGGTGCCCATGGTTACCTTGTCGGCCTCGCATTTGCCGTGCCACCTAATGGGAATGAATCCCTTGTTGGCCAGCTGTTCTTGTGCCGTGCTCGCATCTTTCTTCCCAAACCGGGCACCGCCTTTCCCGCCATCGACTTGTTCGTACGGGGCATTCGCGTCGTCAACGGCCGTGGCCTGGTTCGTGCCGCCGGTTCCGGGGTGCTTAACGATGCCGAAGTTGCTGGGACGGGAGGTTAGCGTTGGGAAGGGCTGGGACGGGACGGGACGGGGGAAGGGCACTCTGCTCACATTGACTTCTTGTGCGGCTGGACACTCCACGAGATGGTTCGGCCTTCCTCGACCTTGACCCATCGCATAATATAGGACTGTTCGAGCGGGATCAGGCGTCGGGTCTCCCAGCGTGAGGTCGGTCTAGCCGTAGTAACATACCTTGCTGTGAATCTCCAGCTGCTCTATGCCCGCCATTTTCTTCTTTGTTCTTCTTATATTCCCCGCGATCACAGGCAGGATATCGGCAGGATGGGGTGCATTCGGTATGTGATCATGACAGACTGTTCACTGCCGGGGAGGGAGAGGGACCGGGGCAGTTTTTGTACCTGAGACCCGGGGTTGCAACGGTGGTGTTCAAGGGACCCAGCAGCGTGTCAGCCTATCGTGTCTCACTCGGCTGCAAGGTGTAAGCTGGCAGGATGGAGAGATGGCTATCTATATCTCTGGCGATATAGCGCGGGCAGGATTCAGCCCTACCACGACCAGGACAACAGGGAGCAGCGCGCGAGCCGACCGTCCCCGATGCCCGGGTGTGCTGATTCGTGCCGGTGTCTGTCGCGGGTTCAACAGCGTACGAAGCTATACGCAGCCAGGAGAGAGCTAGGCACGGCAAGGGGAAAAGGTGTTGGGAGTTGAAGGGGGTTTATTTTGAATTCTCCTGGCCTGGGAAACAGGAGAAGGGCGGGCGGTGCGAGGTGCGAAGTACCGGTACGAAGCGATTCGGAGCGGATCCGCTACGCTAAGCCCGCGTACCTTGTACGCGTATTCAGGTACGTAAGTCTTTACCTGTAAACGGGTGCCTGGCCAGGTAGCGGGTACCTAGAGGCAGGTACCTGTCAAGCAACCTAGGTAGCTCGTAGACCCGCCAGCAGGGGTGTAGGAATAGGTAGGTATGCGACATCGCAAGTACCGACGGGTGGGTGGCCTGTATTCATTAGGTGCAGGTACCTACCTCCCTAAGGATATAGGTAGAGGTACCTACCTCCTATCCAAACTACTATTCACGATCCAATATATCGGTATTCCACCCTTGTTAGATCCATCATTCTCGTGCCAAACTCGCTTATCTGCATATCGGTGAGAGCAGCAGAGTCCCACAGCAGGTACCAGATACCTCGGTCAGCCCCGAAGATGCGGTAGCGCTAGGGTCGAAAAGCGGGCATCGCGCTACAAGCCACGGAACGGTGTAGGTACATATTGCATGGCAGGTATATCTTCATTATTCCCGCCAACCTCCCCTTCTGGTGAGGCGCCCTGGATATCCCGTGTACCTGATGTACAGGTATGAGATGAGACGAGGTAGCGTAGCCTATGGATGTTGGCTGATACCGCTGAGAAAGCCGACGTGGTGGAGCCGAAACAGCTGGCAGAGGCACAGCGCGTTGTCACCGATTCTCCTTCTATCGAGTCCAACCTCCTCTCTCCCATGGTTCCTCTCCTTTTCCTGGAAGGAGAAGACCTCTAGCTACCCATGGCCTTTCCCATGTCACGTAACCCCTGCAACCCCCCCCGTCGTCATCCCCCCTCCGCGCCCTGCCGCGACAGGAATCTGCCTCGGTGAGGTACTCTAAACGAGTTCCGAACGTGCCGAGCCCCGAAGTCAGCCGACCAAGGAAGCAACAGATGATTGTTCATCCAGACCATCCCAAAATCAAGAGACGGAGTCGATTCGTCTTCCGTAGGCGTCTCCCCCGGATTCCTGGCCTTGTACGGGGGTTGGAGTAGTTTGGAAGGCCTACTAGATATCTACTCCGCGACTGTTGGTGGGTTAACCTGAGGGGAGGGATACTTGTGTTATACTGCAGGTATGAGAGAACGTTCAAGTTGCAAGCAAGAAAAAAATTAAGAGCAGGAGTTAAGTAAAGAGCCTAAATTAAGCGGGAGGTAATAAAATCGGCTCGGGGTCTTCGTAGTTCTACCTCGGACGCCTAGCAGCAACCAATATTACGATATGGGACGGCCGAGGCGGAAAGTCTAGAGAGGTTTGTAAGCTCCCTACAACACATACCCAAAAAAAAAAATAGGGGCCGTATAGAGTTGAATTGGGAGTCGGAAACACGCCCAAACTCAGTCGGATGAAATGGCCGAAACAAGCAATCAGTCATAAATCATCTCGAGTAGCGAGGTCCTTTAAAACCGGCCTCTTCCCAAATCCCCCAGGAGAAGGCGGACACGAAGGCAGTTACACAGACGTGTATGTCTCTCGTAAGACTGAACTCTCTGTCCAGCCTAATTCCCTTTCCTGAGATGTGAGAATATCCTGGTACGGGGGCTATCAGAGCCGGCATTGTCTCGAAGGGGCGGGAGTGGCTAGCGGATGAAGAGCGACATATCTCCTGCCACCAACCTAGTCGTGCTTGGATTATTGGCGCTGGGCCTAAAAGTAATCCGCGTCGAACGTCACACCCGCAAAGCTTACCACGACTGAGAGCCGTCGATTAGACCGGGAACCCACGTATCAGCTAAGTTTTCTAGTAGTAGCAAGGTCGTACTGGCATCTCGACCGGAATGCCTTGAACAATGGCGTCTAGTTGTCGTGCTCTGCAGGGTTGACTTCCAACCCTGGACGCGAAGAGCTTCCACGTCCACGACAGGAAAGTGAGGTCGCTGTTCTCGTCCGCGAGGGGTAACGGCATCGTCATGGGTAGTATGACCCTCCGTGTACGCGTTATGTCTAAGGCAAGCAGCGCTCAATCAGAAGGCTGATATCATCTCCACGTCATGGACTATTCCCATGCCGGATAGCGAGGGCCAGGTCAGGTAAATATGTGAAGCAACGACAACGGCATGTGCTGGTAGTCAAGCAAAAAAAGGCTCAGCAGTTTCGGGCAACGATGCGTGGGGGCCATAGCAGCACGCGGGTGAGTTTCGAGGAAGCAAGGTATTCTTCGTAAAAGCATGGGATGCTGTGCGTTTTTGAACCTCTCTAAGACTATATGCGTGATTCCCGGCAGCCATTAACCGTAGCGATATCGTGACTCCAACGCGATCATCCAGCATACATAATTAACCCGCTAATATACATGCACGATAGTCAATGGCTAAACGCCCTGGCCCTGTGCCTGTCTACCTCCTCATCTGTTGAAGTTTGCTGATTTCGCTATTGAATCGCAGCTTGAAGCCGTTACATAGGGCGAGCATGTGGGGATACTGGTTCTTCATCATCTCGAATGCGTGGGGCACCACCTTCACATCCCACATGTTGATCGGCGATGTTTTGCTAGCCTTGAAGCACAGGTAGAAGTATCCGGCCCGTTTGGGGTTGATGCAGAACAGGTAGATTGAGCGGGTTGGGTTGGCGTCCGAGTACGATGTCAACCATTTTTCTACCTCGAAAATTAGCATTGTCATCATCCCCGCTCCGAGAACACCCTGAGTGCACTTACCAGCATCAGCGACACTTCCCTTCTTGAACTTCTCATGTCCCATAAGCTCGTCAACCTTCTTCGCCATCGCTTTGACGTGCTCCACGATGAGCTCGTCTAGATCCGAGTACGTGTATTTGCCGCCGATTCGAAGCGTCTTCCCGACCGAAAACTCCGTCTCTTTCTGCAGCTCGAGGACGTCGATGTGTTGATAGACGCCGTCGGCGACCTTCCAGGTGACGGTGAGATGGTCATTCCCTTTCGAAGACGGCCGAATGATCACATCTCCCGAGGCCTGAGAGCCGAGATACTCCTCAGCCTGAGTAGAGTTGAACGGTTTAAAGAGAGGGTGTTTGATAACGCGTTGTGTGCGACCCGTGGCCTTGTCCTTCTCTCGCAGGGCATCTTTATCGTCTTCCTCGAGTCTCACGTCCCAGGTTCCGCGGTCATGGTCGCTGTGCTTCTTGTAGGGACGCCGTAATGCGTCCTCGCGTAGGGTGAGCTTTGCAAGGAACTCCTTGCGGTTGAGATCGACAATCTTCGATTGGACGGTTTGGCCCACATGAATAGCGTCGCGAATGGACATATTGCTTCGGCTGACCTCGTGCGCTTCGATGCGACCCTCGATCCCGCAATCCAGCTTAGCGATAGCGAAGTCGTCTTTGACCACCCGGATATTTACTGGGACGATCATGCCTTCTGCGAGAGAATCTTTGGTTTCGCCGGTAAACATGACAAATATCTGGTCAGGGTTCAAGGTGCTGAAGTTCCTACGGAGCTCCTCGTATGGTGCCTGCAGTTCGGCTCTGATGGTCTCCAAAGTCGCGCGCTTTCTTTGGTTGTAATTCTTCTCTAATTGTTCGGCATATTCCTCCAGGATAAGCTCGTTAACTTTTTCTTGTTCGTCCTCCCGGAACAGCTTGCGGACTATGGCACCAGCTCCGTTCTCGTCAGTCTCGGCCTTCACATCTTCTTCGTCTAGCTCCAGAGCATCTGCGGCCATCTTGCGGCCAAGTTCGTAATCTTCGGGATGGACACGAGTGTTGTCCAACGGCTCCGAAGCGGGGTTTGTAGGATCGTACTCGATATAAAGAAAACTGGCGCAATTGTTCCAAACTCGAGGACCAACGACAGGCAATTTGTTGTTGTCTGGATCGCCGACAAGTTCGTCTCTCGAGGTTACCACCCCACCGTTAGTGTTGATGGCTTTGAGGAAACTCGTGGCTTTGCGAGGGCCTAACCCGGCCACGTAAGGAAGTAGGTTGGCCGTGTTGGCGTCGCTGACCGCCTCGTTGATATCGACACCGCAGAGATTCACCATGTCCACCATCGACGTCTCGAGATGTCTCAGCAGTTTTTCCTGCGGTAGAAGATGCTGGCACGGGTTGAATAGCAACGAAGTAACATCTTTACCCAACGCCGCATACTCCTTCATCGGGTTCTGGAGATACCTCGCGAGCGCAACACAATACCTCGTGTTGGCAGACAAGGTCGGGTGGCTGGCCTGCGCTCGCGGACTGTCTTTGTAAAGCCTCGCAACCTCGTCGTTGACGACTACGACCTCGAGGAGCTCGCTGCGGTAGTCATCGGTATCCGGGTCCGGGAATTCGGGGCCAGTGAGGTTCTTCTCATTAACGAGGCCTTCTATATCACGGACCAAGCGGTGAGTATCTGTCGAAAAACCGCTGACGCCTATGACATCTGGCTTTCTGCGCTCGATCAGATCAACAAATGCGTCCCTCTGCTTTTCGTCGCGAGCCAAGTTTCCGAATTTGCCATGCTCGATGACCCGTCCGTCCTCTTCGACCCAGACCCAGAAGATTGGGTCTCGGCTCGGGTCACCCATGCCATTGGAGAGAGCAAGGACACGAGGTGTGGTACCCAACACCATACCTTTCGGCTTGTATGGTGCTTGGTCGAGTCGCTTCGAATACTCTTCCCGACAGAGCTTCAGGAGCTCCTCTTGGCATGCAGTCCGTAACGAATCCTTGACTCCTTTGGCTATCACTCTCTCAAGCTTAGCGAAGGCTAAATCGAGCACCTTAAGGCGCTCTTCATTCCACGCGTCGGCGAGTTCGCTGTAATTATCCGAGGCAAATTCCACGTGCAATAGTCGTCGGAACTCGCGCTCGTTCTGCAGCCGGAGCCTGACCTCGATCAAGCCCTCCTCTTCAGCCCTCATCATTTTCAGAAACAGTTCAGGCCGGCGTGCGAGGTCGTTAATCGTCTGATTGATAAGGTACTTTATCTCGTAATACGGATGAGACTCGTCAATTCTCTTCAGACCTTTCTCCGTTCGATGGCAGCTGACTTCGCCCATCAGATAAAAGTGTCGTCGAACGTGCTTTCGCATCCGTGGGCTCATGAATAGCTCTTCGGCGTACATGTGTCTTGCCTCATACAAGACTTGGTCACCCGTAGGGAAATCACTGTCAGTCAGGCTATCCGCCAAGTCGATCGGTGAGCTTTGCACGTCATCCGATATCACCTTCTTGCCTTCGCGTAGAGCATTCTGTGCTAGCCTGTCGGGAGAGATGCCGTAGGCCTCAACGAACTTGTAAGCGCCGCTCTTGCGAATACGTTCGAAGATGGATGATTTCGCGCCGGGCCGTTTGGTTCCCTTGTTGACACCATTCGTGGCAGCAATTTCCTTCAGCTGGGACGCGTACTGGAAGTTGATATAGTCCTGCAGGTCCTGCAGTTCCTCCATAGTCACAGCCTGGCTTATCAGCTCCGGGACCATGTCGTCGCTCACCTGAGCAGCTTCGCGCAAGTTATCGTAAGTCCTTTCAAGCGTGCTGCGCTTGTCGAACAGTGATCGAAATTTAATGTCCAACTCCAAGATACGCCAAAGGTCATCTTGAGTGAGCAGTTTCTCTGCGTTGACGATATACTCTGGCGCTTCCGGATCGTCGCGGTGCTCCGGGTTGCGGCTCTTGCGGGCATGGATGAGATAGTCCTTACGATGCTGGAAGACGTAAGGCACCTCGAGGTCCTCAAGGACGAAATACTCGAGGACCTTACCAACGGCTTTCTGAAAGGGGCCATGCAAGTCACCGGAGAGTTGCTTCTTCGGCCACATGAGGTCGGCAATCCACTGTGTTTCCTCCTTGAGCTGCTCGCCTTGTATATTCAGATGCTTGAATGGTTTTCGATCGAGTTGGAATCGCTCGGGTTCGTCTTGGTAACGGATGCTGTTATCTTCGTCTGTCAGAAGCTTCTCTGCAAGCTGTGAAGGTTCGAAAACGTCTTTAAGTTCGAGGGTTTGCTCCTCTCGTTGACGCTCCTCCTCCTCTTCCTCTTCATCTAGAGCCCACTGGTAATCTTCGCCATTTCCGAAGATAGCTTCCATGTCCTCCAAGGCATCCTTGTCGAGGCCGGCCGGATCGACGATGCGGCCAATCACCCCTTTGTCTCGCGGGCGCGCGACTTCCATGTCTTCCCTCTGGCGCATGCGTTCATCTTCGTCTTCGGGGAAATCCTCCTCGATGAAGTCGTCGAATTCATCGGCGGCGGCCCGGTGGCTTGGTCGGGCGTAGTGTCGATCATCCACGAGGTCATCATCCTCTTCAGAAAAGATTTCATCAAGGCCGCGTCGCTCGTTTCCGCGGGTGTCATCGTCTCGGTGGCCACGCTTGAGCCTCTTGAACTTGCCCTGTCCAATCCGGTTAGAAACCAAGGCTCGTAGATAGCCCGACAACAGATCATACCTGCGAGGGTTGCTTGCGTTCCCATTCGGGGATGGATTCGCCAATCAAGTCGAGATCCTCCTCGTCCAGCTGTGCTTCTTCCTCGCGTTCCTGGCGGCGCTTGCGCTTCCTTCGCTTGCGACGTTCATCCTCGCCCTCGACTTGGTCCTCGTCTTCATCTTCGTCCTCGTCGACGATGAAACCTTCCCGAATCTGCGAGCTGCGTGGTCAGTGACGGCTAGCGACGATAGGTGATGGCAAGGGAGTAGGGCTCCGTCGTATCGTGGTGCGTCGCGTCGCGGCGTGGCATACCTTTCGGGCTTCTTCCTCATCCTCATCTTCATCATCCTCTTCGCTGGAGTCGTCCATCTCCTGGTTCTTGTTTCTGGATCGCTGCCGGGTTTCGCCCGTCTCTTCATCAAAGGAGTCGTCGTCCTCTTCGTCATCCAACTCAGCCTCGCCGGCGATCAGGTCTCGCATGGAGTTGCTCATCTTGACGGCCCGCCACGTGAGGAGAGGCGAGGCGCGGAGTGAGGCGCGTTGCGACGGTCGCGTACGGGAACAGAACCTGCAGCGGGAGCGGTTGGGAGTTTTGGCGGTCGGGTGATACAGACGTTCAAATGCGGAGCTGGTCGAGTTACTGCAGGTTACAGCTCGCCGATGGAAGAGAAAGTGAGGAAGATGAGAAGAATGAGCCGCGCCGAACAAACACGGAACTCAGAATATAGGTTGGCAAGGAAATTCTACTAAACGTGTAATGCATTACCGAGGCTAGATATGTAAGAATGCAATATAGTCATTTATGAAGTGTGGATATGTGCGGCCGGAACTGGAAAAACAAGTCCCGCTTCTTCAACCGGGAAGACAAGAATGGAATTAGAATACCTTCTTCCATCTCTACCTCTATATGCCTGCGGACGAAGTCACAAGATGACCAGTTGATACATTGCACACGGTACACGATACGCGAAGTATGGGTATTGCCTACCTGCCTCCTCTAGTCCCTGCCCTTGGCGTTCAGCCACATCTTCAATCCGCCCATCTCGTGAGGCGGTGCCTCCGCTAGTACCCACGTTTCAATCCTCATCAGATATGCAAATGGTTACGTGGGGACCGACGTCGTTGTGATCCCGAACATGTCCCATTCCGGACTCATGGCACGAGCTGGCGGAAACAGACTCAAGTCTTACCTGACTTGTAACGAAGGTCGTCTTTATAAAATTCTACCCCCCGCCAAAAAAGAACCCTCTAAAAGTGCCCATCACTGTCTTCACAAGCCGCTTAGTAATCGAGCTGTTTAAGGCGGCAGCGGCGAGAGCTTCGCGGGGGGAAAGGATAGTCTCTTCACTTTCAACTACATCGAAGATTTAGGCGCGGGTCGTCGTTAGATTTATATATCTACGTGTATTCGTAGCCGTATGTATCCCGCGACTACCTTGATCTCTCCTCTCGAAGGTACTCGTCTCCGAAGCAGTGAAATCGTATTCACCTCCCGATAGCTTGACGCGCGAAGTTTAAGATGCTCGAGCCCTGGTAGAATCGATACCCACCTCTAGTTAATGTTTAGCTATTCTAACTACATGGTACGAATATTATCTTAGCAACATAACTGGGTATGGTAGGTATTTTCTAGGCCGACAATCCTTCTCCCCCGTTGGTGCCAAAGGAATTAGTGGTAGTTATTACTCTTCAAGTCAGAGTTAGCACGCTTCGGGCGAGGTGTAGCTCGGAGTCCCGCCCAGTTAGGACTACGCCGTTCATAGCAAGTACGTATAAAGCTATCTCAAGGAAAGCCACCAGATTATACATATTATAAACAATGCCCTACCCGTATGTTCAACGCTTGCTGTAGGCGCAGACCGCTAGATCGGGTGGCCTTGTTGGCGGTCTACTACTAGTAGTGTAGGCGTGCACACGCATATTGATGTAAGTGCGGTGGTATTGACTGACTCGAGGTAACTATGCATGTACGTGTGGTGCACGCCGACCGAAGGAATACGCCCCTTGGGAATGCCATCTATATATATACCAATAAACATAAGAGGTAGTAGGTATATATATATATACCTCTACGTAGGTAGGTAGGTAGGTGGGTAGGTAGGTGAGGTAGCCAGCGCTCACGGGTCGCTCTCTGGATGACGGAAACGGGTTTCCTCGCAACTCGCCACAAATGGACGCGCAGTAATACCTGCCTACATAGGAACTATTGGAATGGTGCATGCATTGCTTGCTCTTGTCCTTGCCCGACCGATACCTATCGGTGAGAGAGGAATAATTAATTAGTGAATGGTAGAGTAGGAAAAGTTTTCACAGCATAGTCCCGATATCATGCCGAGCCAAAAGCAAAAAAAAAAAAAGGGTGTGAATAGCTGCTACATCGCCACATAGGTAGGTAGGTATGGAGATCAGTAGAGGTGTGCATTCTACCGGTGGCCGGGATATAAATGTAGGTACATACATATGCATACCAGACAAACGAAGATTCTCCACGGACCCGTCTTACGGGTTGCCTTAACTGCCTAGGTACATCTGGTATCTACCCGCCAGATTGTATCGTACAGATGTTCCCCAAGAGGCTTCTTAAAAGCGACGAGTCTGAGGACCAATCATGCTAGGTATTCCACATGACACACCAGAATCAAGCTGGAAGGGGAAGAAGACTGGCGACGACAAACCGGTGTGGAGTTGGTAGAGAATAGGCCTAGGGCCCGCGAGGAAGAGGACGCGTGCGTCGGGCGTGTAGGGCTCGCCAGCCCCCTAAACTTTGGCGTGTCAAGTAGATGAAGGGGAACGGGCTACGTCGTAGGCCTTATCGCAGGTAGGCTGGGCTGGGGTGAATAAGGGTTCGCGGATACGATATATTGACATACGAGATGCACCCACACTCGTGTAGTATACCTAGTTACCCCAGAAGTGAGTCTGGGTGTGCGAAACACGGGAGAGGTGAGTGAAAAGGGGGTGGCAGAGGGGGGTCATGGTTTCTATCACGGCATGTTACATGTAACCCACTTAGGCACTTGCCCAAGCAATCGGGTAGTAGAGGTGATGCTGGGTGGAGATGGAAGATGGAGATGGAATGGGGACCTCAGAGCTAGGAGGTTAGAGGTAGGGAGGAGGAAATTCTACATGTAAAGAGACAACTAAGCGAATTCGACCGCTTTCTTACACATGTCACTTGCTTCCCTCTTAGTATATAGGATTGATGCCTATCTACCTAACCTGCCTACATTCCTCCTAGCGACCCAGCGCCTCTTCTATTAGTACATAAGTTACCTAAGGTATGCATGCATGGCCGGGATACAATGAATGTCTCCCCTCAGATACATACAATTACCTGCCTCCGGCGTACGAGTAAGGGTAGCAATTCCATACGGGTGATACACGGCAAACCGACATAGGTTAGGTATTGCGGTTTCGAACATGCAGATACATTCACCGATCGATCGGATATCGAACCTCGTCGGTCTCAGTCCTACCCACATAGGTATACTGCTTGGATATACCTACCTACTCACACGCAATCCTGCATTAGGGACTCTTTCTGGTAACCCCCCTAGGATGAGCATTGAAGCTCCCATCATCACCACCTAAGGTATGCCTCCGATTTGCCAGCCCTGCAGGCAAAGGTACTCTCGGCTATGATTCCTACGAGCAGCACATGTGAAAAGCGAAAGGATGTGTATCGTACATAGGCCGGTGGAATCACCAGAGGTTAGGAGGTTCGGTCCCTGTCACAACCAGCGGCTTGTCGCATGGCTCTTCTGTCACCCACATGGGACGACACCTCTGTGTAGGTAGGTAGGTAGGTAGGTAGGTACATAATTGCTACCTGGCAGCACGTAGGTGCGGACGCACACATCACCACGGATACCTCAGAGGCAGGTACCTCAAGGGTACCCAAAAGCCACCGGACCCAACTTCAACTCGCAAGGCGCCAAATTCTTCCTCAGTTTCGTCACTTCACCTCCGGACCCCATCCCTTCTCCCACCTCAGTAAACGCTTTGAACCAGACCTGGCGATGTGGTTTCAGTCTCGAAAACCGTTACGTAGCATCGTCCGTCTCTCCGTCTCTCCTCCTTCTCACACATCCACCCCTTGGATAGGGAACCATTCCACACGTCTTTTGCCATCCTTACCGCCCGCTCCCCGTCTCAGTTCCCTCTGATAACTGCCACTTTGTCTCCTCTTCTTCACCACCTCGACTCTCCCTCCCCTCCCGTCTCACCAGCAGCTGTGGTGCTTTGCCTTCTGCAGCTGTCTCGATTCCGGTTCTGTGTCTCGTCACCTGCATTGCCCGATTCCCATTGTTGCTCCCAGACCAATCAACCGCCCAGAACCGCGTTGGGGATTCTTGGCCCAGGTTAATTATACATCCTATCAGGAGCCTCGAGGCCTGGGACGACCGAGCACCCGGCCAACCGACCAAGCCGTGTACATCCCGCCCGCCAGAGCTACGAGAGAGCTACGAGGCCTCAAGCAAGCGAGCAAGCAAGCAAGCAGACCCGCGCAGGGCAGCAGCCATTGTATACCCGGGACGCCCTTCGACAGGTAGGTTGGCACAGATGCCTGGTGTCTCCATCCACCACCAACCAACCCGTCAGTCAAATTAAATACCCGATATCGTGGGGATCTGCTGGCCGGCGATTGGGTTGGTAGACCGCTTCTGTCGGTTTGGCGGGTTGCCTACCCTACCCTCTATTCCATGCTGGCGATCATTGATTACATACCTACCGATTCTCTCTATCGTCTGTCCCACTCATCGTCCCAGTTGGTCTGTCTACATTGTAGAGGGCATGGGTGTGCGATGCCTTCCTACATCGCAGGTATTATGTGTCACCCATTCCCACTTGTCACTTGGCTCCATCGTCAACTCGCTCTCAGTCCCTTCGCACCCAGGCCATCATCATTGTCCTGTCACTCGTCTGGTCGTCCACACCGAATTGGCAAATATCAATTTTTGGCGCCTTGATCTCTCCGGCTTTTAATTTTCCCCCCTTCTCCCTTCTTACCGATCAAGTTGATCAACCGCCGTTTCTACCCTTCCACTCGCGAGCTTGGTCCACCTACGCCAGGAGGCACCTCGACTAATTATATACCTACCGTAGATACCGAATACTGTTCCTTGCCTCGAGGAGCCTGGACGGTATTCTTCTCACCAGGTGGTAGGTAAGAATTTCAGGTCCCGGCCCCGGTCCCCCGTCCCACTAGCCCACTATCGTCACCAACAAAGTCCACCAGCCTCAGCGCTAGCACGCACACTTACCAGCACCGAACCTCCTGGCCAGATCCACCGCCGCCGCCAATCAGCAACGCTACGAAAGTACCATCGCCATCGCGGTCACGGGCACGGGCACAGACACCGCTCTTGTCGAGTACTTTCGTTTTGTCCTTCTCCATCTGCACACTGCATCTTCCTGCGCTTCCACAACGCCTGATCTTTTTCATTTACTGACCTCGCATCGTCGGCCCCCTCAGCCCAGCCCTCCCTGTGGCGTATCGCACAGCCGTTACACACCTAGTCGTACGTCGCCCTTCCTGCAACATACGGGGACCGCCATCCTCGTCGGGTCTCAATTCCATTCCCAACATTCGATCTCGCCTGGGTTCGTGAGGGGCAACCCCGGGACGCGCGAGGGCACAACCGCCGCGACCCGTCCGTGTACACTCGTCTAGTCGGGCCAAGTCATCGCACCGCCGCCTGCTTCTGGATATGCACATCGCCTCTCCGACTAGGAGCTGCGCTTGTTTGGAACTGTCTTAACGGTCCTGCATAGTGTCCGATCCCCCCCGTCTCGGAACTCGACCCGCCTCGGATATCCCTCGACCCTCTGCCCATCATGTCCGACTCATTCGCACCGCGCTCGATGAAGCGCAAGAATGTCAAAGGTCTGGCGCTAGCTCCCGCAGCACCCAAGCCCTCTGCGAACAACACCGACCGCCAGCCTGACTGGGGCTTTGGTGGCTCGCGAGCGGACGAGGTGGGCCAGGAAGCCCAACTCGAGATCGGTATCGAGTTCAACCTCGATCTTCGGCAAGAAGATATTGAAATTGTGAAGGAGCTCGGATCCGGAAATGGAGGCACAGTTAGCAAGGTCAAGCACTTGCCTACAGGCACGACGATGGCTCGCAAGGTAATTGATTCTTTTACGTGACAAGATCCCCCCACACTCCGGCTCGGGGATGGGAATTGATCGAGAGTCTAGGTCATCCACGTCGAGGCTAAGAAAGAACTACGGAAACGAATCGTGCGCGAACTCCAGATCATGCACGGTTGCCATTCCGACTACATCGTGACGTTTTACGGAGCCTTCCTGAACGACCACAACGATGTGATAATGTGCATGGAATACATGGATGTCGGGTGAGCACGGCCGAAGCACGCGTGATGGTCGATGCGGAACTGATTAAGCAATCATAGATCACTGGATAGGGTCTCGCGCCTTTTTGGCCCGATTCGCGTCGATGTGCTTGGTAAGATCGCGGAGGCGACGCTCGGCGGTTTGACGTATCTGTATTCCAAATTACACATCATGCACCGAGATATCAAGCCTTCCAACATCCTCGTAAACTCGCGGGGGCACATCAAGCTCTGCGATTTCGGAGTGTCCGGAGAATTGGTTAACTCTATCGCCGATACCTTCGTCGGCACGTCGACGTATATGGCCCCCGAACGAATCCAGGGCGAGAAGTACACGGTCAAGTCGGACGTGTGGAGCTTCGGTCTCAGCATTATGGAGCTGGCCATCGGCAAGTTTCCGTTCGCTGCGAGCGAGCAGCTCTCGGATGGGGATGGAGCACCTGCCGGGATCCTGGACCTCCTTCAGCAGATCGTTCATGAGCCTGCGCCAAAACTGCCCAAGAGCGATGCCTTTCCGTCCATCCTAGAAGATATGGTTCAGAAGTGCTTAGCAAAGGACCCCGACGAGCGCCCGACGCCTCAGGACCTCTGGGTGAGTGAACCGCGTCGAGATTTGCGCTCTTCGCGGACTCGATACTGACGGCATACAGGAACGGGACCCGTTTGTCCAGGCCGCCAAGCGGACGCCCGTAGACTTGAGACAATGGGCCGTGGGGCTGATGGAGAAGGACAATCGCAAGTCACATTTGGTTCCCCAGCTTTCGCCGGCTACCCGAGACCTCCTGCGAACGAACGAGTCTCCTGCGTATCAGAACGATGACGCCGCGTACACGCCCACTTCCGGTGACATCCCGATCGCGGGCGCCATCATTTCGCCGAGAGATCATCAAGGCCACACACAGAATCGATCACCCACGCGCAACGGTGTGGGAAGTTTGGGACGCGCGGCAGGTTCCCACGCTCATCCTGGCCTGGGTCCAAGGTCATCAACATCTTCCTCCATCCCCAAGGTATCGAATGCGGATCTCTCGCAACCTGCAGGCACCGGCGCGGGATCGACATTCACTTTACCCGTAAGGCCTGCCCCTCCTGGCGGACCATTGCCGCCACCCCCTCCGAGAAAAGAAACTCCGGACGAGCTGCGGCGGGAGAATAGGCGGCAGGCCACATTTGGGCCATTGTCAAATGGCGGGTACGGTAACGCCGGCTACCCGTCGAGATAAACGGGCGTCGCCAACCATCCGTAGAACACATCGAATAGCGCGGATACTCAAGCCAGCCTTATCCACCCCGGGGACCAACAATCCTTCCTCGTCAGGTATGACGAGCATGACCCCCAACACCCTCGGTGCTCGGTACATCGTCATCTCGGCTCGCCGGGACTCCTTCCCCGCCCTACGTAGTTGACCCCGCGTGACACCCGTGCTTTAGAGCACAGGCAGGCATAGTCGTTCCCTCTCCCTAGGAGAACATGTCCTCGGGCATCCTCGAGAGGTGGCGAACGGAAAACAGAAGGTGCTCTCGAAGGAGGGTGGGACGGCTAGTGTCCGTACGCTTCGTGTATATAGCATTTCCGCTGCGGCATCTACTTAGGACCCGAAGTAACACGTTATAAGAATAAAGAGAGAGCGAGAAAATACAGGATTGCTATTTATGCACGCGATTGCGGGCCTCTAAATGCTCCGTGCCGTCTAATTCTATCATGGACGCAGCCGCGTTCGATCTGAATTCCCTTGTGGCATCAGGCGAACTGGGCGGTCTAAGGCAGAAAATATACCACGCCGCCGGGTACGGAACCAGTTTATTTATCGTGTCCGTCCGAATATCCTGTGTCGACAGCCAAGTAAGCGACCAGGTGTTGAACCAAAGGTATAAAAAAAGAATTTAAAATAAGCAGGGTAGGCCACTCGGGTTACTGTCTTTAAGACTATCACTTCACCGTCTCTTCGATTTCTACCCCCTCACCACCCCCGGTCCTCGTCCCTGCTGGTCAGGGGGAAGAGACGGCAGAGGCGGGGGTCCCGATGTCGCGGCCGACGAAGCCGCGCTCGAGGACGTCGACGAGGTCGTCGAGACGCTCGATGACGAGGTCGGTGTGGTCGTGGTCGGCGAGGTGGCGGTTGACGTCGTTGACGAGGAGGACGGTGGCGGCGCCGGCGCGGCGGCCGGCGGTCATGTCGTCGATGGAGTCGCCGACCATGATGAGGCCGGAGGCGTCGGGGGCGTCGGCGGGGTCGGCGGCGGGGTCGGGGACTCGGAGGAGGCCCCAGCGGCGGGCGATGAAGAGGATGCCGGCGGGGTCGGGCTTGGGGGGGCGGAAGTCGCGGGTGACGACGGGGGCGAAGAGGCGGCCGGGGAGGAAGCGGGCGAGCAGGTGGGCGACGGGCTGCTCGAAGTTGCGCGTGCAGATGCCCTTGGGCAGCCCGCGCGCCTCGAGGTAGGCGACGAGCGCGAGCAGCCCCGGCTGCGGCTCCTGCCGCGCCATCGCCCGCCGCTCCACCGCCCGGATCGCCGCCATCGCCGCGTCCCGCTCTCCCGCGCTCGGCAGCCCGTACACGTGCTCCAGGATGTCCACCTCCGGCCCGATCCCCAGCGCCGCGCGCATCTCCGCGAACATGTAGTTCTGCGGCCGGCTGCAGGCCTCGTCAGCGTCGGTGAGGAAAAGGAAGGACGGAGGATGTAGAAAGGGCGGTAACATTGTCTTGATGACATACATGGGCGTGCAGGTGATGGGGAATGGATATGGTGGTGGTTCTATATATATAGACATAGGTATATATATACCTAGGTACGTGCAGCACTCACCAAAGGGTCCCATCCATGTCGAACACTACGCCCTTCAGCTGGGGCAAGCCATGGTGGCCGGCGGGCGCGTCACCGAGCGGCGCGAAGCGTCGGGGGGCGGGCTGGGCCATGGCGGAGAGGAATCTGCGCGGGCCGAGAGCGGCGGGGCGGCGTTGTGCTAGTAGCGATGGAGCGCGGTGCCAGCGCATCGAGCAGGCCGCGAGCCGGGGAAGTAGTTGGCGGCAGGTAGGTTATATATAGGTATATATCGGCGAGCTAGGGAGTACGTCGATTATCGCGGTTCCGGCCACGGCGGAGAGCTGGGGAGACTTCGTCACGCGATCGGGGCTGGTGCGACACGGCAAGCGTGCCCGGATCCCATCGCCGGCTGCTGGACGGACGCCTGCGACCCTGCGCTGGGAACGAGAGGCACGAGGGTTGTGGCAGGGCTAAGCTGGCTGATCGCTGATGACCGGGGGGAGGAGAGGGGGGCGAGGAGTAGAGGGATGGCGGGACGGAGGGGCAGGCCCCGATAGAGCACTAGTGCCTCGGTGCCTGGCACCTATGCGACAGGGTCAGCTGACCCGAAGTCGGCTGATCCAGGCTAGCATATCACGCTGGCGCTTCCGCACGCATACCTATTACCGCGAACCAGGACCACGGTGCTTCTTCGCTATTTTATACCTGCCTAATAGGAAAAGATAGTTTCCTGGAGTGAGTACCAAGGATGGGAAGCAACTCAAGGGACCTACGCGATCGGGTCTCGATTCAGCCAATGGCATTACACACATCAGTCTCGGGGATCCGTATGACAGACGCATAATAGGTAGCTGCTTATTCTGATGCATCATTTGAAGAGATGCGCTTATACAGGTACATCTCAGTAGTGATCGCACGTTCGAGCCAAGCTTCCTCCTATGTACCTGCGTAAAGAGGCACAGATAGCTCTGTCGGTGGTATGTTTTAATAGGTACTAGGTACTCTCTCGTCCATATTCCTTACCTGCCTGGTAAGCCCTCGACCGCATTGTTTTTAAGTATCCTGTACTTATGCACTTATTACGTAGAGGGGCCGCATTCCCCGCCAGATCGGATTAGCGATTTGGCCGCCGACTTTCCCTCTAACACCAGCTGGCAACAATTACCTGCCGTAATCAATCATCCCCCTTGACAACCACCACATCCGCGTGGCCCTGAGCTCAGGTACCAACCGACAGAACTGGTAGAAGAGACGAAAGGACGAACCCGAAATGGCAGACGAAGACAAAGCAAAGGCCGAGAAGCTGGCGGCGGCCAAGAAGCGGGTATGACCTGATTGCGCCTCCTGACGTCTGCCAGATGGATGCTGAGCTTCAATCCCGCAGGTCGAGCAGAGGAAGAAGCAGATGGCCAAGAAAGGCGCCGGTTCCAAGCACAATAAGGAAGAAGAGGCTGCCGAGGCCAAGCCCGAGTCGACGGCCGCCAGCGCTGCCGATGAGCCTACTGCCGAAGACGCCCCAGAGCCCCCCGCGACGCCGACTGCCTCATCTCCCTCCCAGCCGTCGAAAGTGCGATCTCCTTCCTTTCGCCAGGGCGCGTCACCGTCCACCGGCTTCCCTTCGGGTCCTGACGGCGAATCGGCCCCCGATATCTACCGCAAGCAGGTCGCACGCATAGAGGATCTGGAGAAGGAGAATAAGAGGCTCGCCAAGGAGGCTTCTGATTCGGAGAAGCGGTGGCAGAGGGCCGAGGAGGAACTGGCCGACTTGCGCGAGGCTGATCAAGATGGGCCCAACGGCCAAGTCGAGCAGCTGGTATGAGCGGAACAGAGCACTTCGGTGCGCGTTAGGAACCTTCAGGACCCTACGCTAACGGGATCTACCATAGAAAGCAGAAATCGCGGCTCTCCAGCGTCAGAACTCGCAGCTCCAATCCGCGGCCGCGAAACGCCACGGATCGTCGCCGTCTGTCTCCCTATCGTCGCCTCCGGGCGAGCTCCAGGCCCAACTTGCTTCCAAGTCCGCCACTATCGAGACCATGGAGCTGGAGATATCGCGCCTCCGCGCCCAGGCCGAGCGGCAGGCTTCTGCGGGCGGCACCGACCGCGAACAGATCGCAGCCCTCGAAGAGAAGTTGGCGCGTTCCGAGCAGGCCGCGATGAAGGCCCAGCGCGAGCTCGGCGACCTGAAGCGCAACCTGGAACGCACAACCGAACGGGTAGTTAAAGAAGGCAGCGAGCGCACCAGCGCCGAGACTAAGCTCCGAAGCCTCCAGGCTGATGTAGACAAGCTAGAGGGGGAGAAGGCAGAGCTCGAGAAGAAAACGGAAGCCCTGGAGAAGAAGGTCGCCGCTCTGGGCAACCTGCACAAGGAGAACGACGCCCGGTCGCAGGCTCTGCGGAAGGAGAAGGAGCGCGCAGAGAAAGAGGCACAGGAAGCGAAATCCAAGATCGAGAAGTTGCAGGCAGAGAACGCACATCTGCGAAAGAAGGACGCGGCCGAGGGCGGTGGCGACGACGACGGGGTCGACGAGCTGGAGAACGAGGAACGGCAGCGCATGGAAAAGAAGATCCGAGACCTCGAGAGCGAGATCTACGACCTGCGCCGCGGCATCTGGCACCAGCGTCGCAAAGAGATGGAGCCCGGCGCGGAGGACGTCCTCCTGAGCCCTAGCGCGGGGCAGTTCACCAACATCGACCTCGGCGGCAGCACGTCGCCGGGGCCTCGGAAGTCGGCCCATAAAGGCGGCGGGTTCGGCGACTTCTTCACTGCATTAACGGGCGGCGCCGGCACGACGGGGCCCGACGAGAAGGGCCACCACGGTAATGACGACGGGTTCCTCGAAGACGACGACGCGGAGTTCGACGAGGACGCGTTCCGGCGGGCGCAGGAGGAGGACGGCCGCAGGCGGCTCGAGCGCATCAAGGAACTCAAGCGCAGCCTCAAGAACTGGGAGGGCTGGAGACTGGACCTCGTCGACGGGAGGCGCGGGGGCGGAGGGGTCGGCGCCGGAGAAGTGTTCGAGGTCTAAGTGCGAGGTCAGGATACGAGATGGCGAGGATGCTATTCGTCCTTGCAGGCCATGTCCCTAGTGAGCAAATGAGGTAAGGGAAGCGTAGCCGAGTTATCTACAATCGGAGTGTACGAATGGAGGAACGCATCCATTCCCGTCGAATTGGGGAAAAGGAAGTAAGTCGCGGGGAGATGGGTCGGGACGGATGAGCATGCCTACGCCAGCGTGTATGTTTTGGCGCGGACACGGGAAGCCATTTATTCACCACTATCTTCTACGACCAACATAGAACCAACCAGCTTTTGCCCTACTCACTGCTAGGTCAGGTTTACTACGACTGGAAAAATACAGCCCCCATCTGCCTTTGCGATTTCGTTCCCGTTGGTTACGAGCAAGGCTGTAGTGAGGGCTCGTAATGAGAGCCTAGGGACATCCCAGCAGAGGAGCCGTAGGAGTTGAAGCTGACTACTCAGAAATCAGGTAGCAAGGCTCGCACGGCATATTCCCTTGACGGCCAGCGTGACTTGCAGTCCCTTAACACTTAGTCAGGCGAGAGGAGACGACCGAGACACAAGAGGCGCCACATGTGGTGAGCATGGCTTGTGGCACGGTCTCACCGACGGCACGAGACCGATTTAGAACCAACGACATACTATCTAACCGAGTGGTCCCCTCGAGACGAGGATACAGGTAATTCGTTTACCACTTACTAGGTGAGCATCGCCTCAACAAGATCGCCTCGGAACTTCATGAATTATGTCTCGTATTATGGGTATTATTATACTATTGCTATATGTCCACTCCCTGCCCTAGGATGCTAGAAATTCCCAAGACGCATCGGTATCCCTTTTGTCTTGCCTTGATGGTGAACAGATACGCCGTCTATACATGCGGGAGAGAAGGGGAAGACGAAATCAGACGCTACCCAACGGGGGGAAAGAGGGGGCTCTTCGCAGCCATCTAGCCTAGTATACCTACTGATCGAACTCGCCGGCGTACAGAAGCCCCCGCGGGTTCATCTGCTCCCAGATGGCGCGTGGGTCCAGCTCTGCGGCTGCGCGGGTAGCCAGGACCGTCCCATTACTAGCGGCCAGCTCCCGGGCGGCCTCCTCCCGGGCGAGTTGGACTGGAGAGGGTAACCTAATCAGCGCAGGTCCACAAGCCGGGACAACGGAGAGCAAAGGAGGAGAAGGAGGAGCGAGAGGAGGAGAAAGGAAGTGAAAGAGAGAAAGACTCACCGTGAAGGTACACGGCCGTTCGCTTGCCGGTGAAGAGCGCGTGGGGAACGTTGGTGACGTTGTCGGAGTTGGCGTCGCCGACAGCGTAGACGCCGAGCACGTTGGTGACGAGGCCGCGGGTGGGGTCGACGGCGAGGCGGCCGCCCCAGAGCTGGACGCCGAGGGCGGGGCCGACGTCGGAGCGCTGCTCGTCGGGGAAGCTGGTGAAGAAGGCGTCGCGCTCGACGCTGGGGCCGCCGCCCACGAAGTCGATGCGGAAGCGGTCGAGCTCGGGGGCGGTGGGCAGGCTGGGGTCGGCGGGGTCGGCGCCGCCGTCGCGCAGGCGCGTGACGCTAGCGATGGTGCGGTTCTCGACGGTCGCGTTGTGCAGCGCGAGGTAGCGCTCCCAGCCGGGGAAGGAGGCGTCGGCGGCGGCGCGCTGGGCCGGGGTGTCGGTGCCGTTGACGAGCGCGACGAAGTCGGAGTTGAGCGTGGCGATCTCGCGCACCAGCCCGGCGGCCTCGCGCAGCGGCGCCAGCAGCCCCAGCGCCTGGTCGGCGTGCTCGTGCCCGTCGCACCACGGGCACCAGAAGATGCCCTTGCCCCAGTTCTCCGCGATGCCCGGCGTCGCCGGCAGCAAGTCCCGCAGCCCCGTCGCGAGCACCACCTTGCGCGCCCCGACCGCGCCCGCCGTCCCGTTCGCGAACGTCGTCAGGACCCGGAACAGCGTCTCGGCGCCGCTGCTGCCGCCGTCGCCGGGGACCGGCTCGACGCTCGTCACGGTGCCGTTGATCGCGGACACGGTGCCGTAGTGCGAGAGCTGCTGCCGCGCAGCCCAGCGGTAGTACGCGGGTGTGACGCCTGTGCGGGGACGAAGGGGAGAGGGGTCAGCGTAAGGGAGGCGAGGGAGAAGAAGGTAAGGGGAGGGAGGGGGACCGCGTACCGTCGAAGCCGATGACGTCGTGCATGTGCCGCGTGGGCCCGTTGCGGTACTCGCCCGAGTCGATGAGCAGGACGTTGCGCCGCACGCGGGCGAGGCCGCTGAGGGCGCTGAGCCCGGACGGGCCGCCCCCGATGATGACGGCGTCGTAGGTGGGCTCGTCGCGAGGCGCGACGGCGGCGGCCCCCGCGAGGCATAGCAGGGGCAGGGCGGCGGCGCCCAGGGCGAGAACGTTCTTCATGATGACGGTGTGGGATATATATATACGCCTATATGCCTGTGGTATATGTGTGTAAACCTTGGGAGTCGACGACAGCGTCCTTGGAGCCGCGACGTCGTTCTAGCTGCCCGTACTGGGACACGATATGGGGTAGGGGAGGGGGAGAGGCGCAGGTACGTGTGCTTGAACAAAGAAGACCTTGACAGAACGAGAGAGCAGCGGCCTTTATAGTAGCGGCCCGGCACGAAGCCTTTGTCTGCATGGGACCGGACGCAAAGCTGGCTTGAGCAGGATCCTGTGCTCGCCTTCCCCATCGCGACAGATGATCCTTACCGCATGCTCCTACGGTGGTAGTGTTGTAAGACAGGAACGGCTTGGCAGATCACGACATCTCGCGTCCGCTATTCTGTCGACGTCTGCTACTGACTGCGCCGTCGCAGGGTCGACCGGTGGGATCTTGTTTGCAGGTTGCTGGAAAGCAGACCGAGTCTCCCTCCTATCCGACGCCCATGAGTACTACTGCAGTGGCAATTTGCGCTCCGAGGATCCCTGCGTTGCTAGCGGCCGCGCGTAGGCCGCCCCGGATGCCACGTAAATCCGGCTATGCCTACATAGCAGCAACGCAAATCGAGATTGGCCAAGGGGGGGAAGCCGAGGCGGGCGGGTGAGTGAAACTGTCCGAGGCACGCACGAATCCGAAGGTATCGTCGAGTCCTCGGCAGAAAGACATACTTGGGGATTAGTACCTTCGACGCCGGCTCTCGACGGTGACGAGCTGAGACGAAGTCGAGAAGGTGAGGATCGTCGAGACTATCGTCGCCGGGATGGTTATCCGGTCCCGATCTATTTGCGCCCAATCTGCGTATTGGCCTACAAGGGGCCGTCATAGGTATAGTGTCCGCGGGATGGGCGGCAAGCTCCGCAGAAGACCGCCAGTCGAAGCATTGCTTTTCATCGAATATCCAGCCGTCTTGGCGGAGGCGTTCCCAGCCGTTGTGGGAACGGCAAACCGGCGCCTCATTCTAGGTACCTACCTATATCATAGCGCACAGAAGAAACCTCTCCCCCTTTCCAGAGAGATTCCTGGCCGCGGTGAGGGACAAAAAAGAAAGAGGCAGACGTGGGAACGAGTTATCACGTTGGAAAGATTGCGTAGCGGAAGACGCAAAAGAAACAGAAGAGCAATTAATTTAGGTCGAAAAATAAAAAAAACATTACCTAACACCTACCTACCTATGTATTTCGGGTTTCTCCATTCCACTCACCACGCAAGCTTTCCCCTCCCTTGACAACCCCAAGTGACCGGCAGTCCGATCCGCGCGACGGTTTTCTCGCACCCGTCGATGCCCGAGACCGTCGATTGGACGCGAAGCTGACCGCGGCCACGAGGCGCGTCGATCGCTCGAGCCGAAGGACAAACCGCGCCCGCGCCCCCCCTTGCCTCCCTCTCGCGCTCACGCCCACGCCTACTGGCATGCGTGGAGGACCCATGCCCGCACACGCATGGGCGTGACCGGGATGCCGACGTGCATTTGTCGACGTCGCTGACTTGCCTGATCGGGGCGGGCGCTCCCTTGTCGAGGGACGCCTGGGAGAGAGGGAGCCCAGAACCCACACACACGCCCACACACACGCCCACACACACCCACGATGTGCGCACGCCCACCCCCAGCTCGACCAGTGCCGGCCTCGCTAGTCCCGATGCGGACGCCCCGCGGTGGTGGCGCGCGGGAGATGAGCAAATCGATACGACTTCAATATAAATAGAGGCTTGCGATAATGCCTGCGCGCAGGTGATGGGTGGCTCGAGGCGTCGGGGCGGTAAGAGAGGAAATACGCGGATATGATACCTAGGTAAATATACCTACCTAGAAACACCTGCATACCCATATATCTAGATGTAGGTATAGGTATATGGATAGGTAGACAGATCGGTAGATCGCCCGGGTCCGATGCAGCTCTCTCTCTCTAGGCCTGTGCTCAGGCATCCGGAGTAACACGTCGTCGTGCCCGCGAAGAGGCAGAGGGAGAGAGAGACGGGCACCTCCCGCGCCACACCTACCTACCTACCTACCTACTCATACTTACTTACACACATATCTAGCATGCCGCAACTCCGTGCCAAAGCAAGCTGATACAGACCTGTCGTAACAGATACTACCCAGGAGCGGCCCAATGCCCAGGGCAAACCTGCCACGCAGCCGGGGGCCGGGGGGGCGGGTTAGGTATTTTGTCTGCATGCTACGTCGTAATGTAGGCAGGGAACACGCGGATTTATTTATACCTACTCATACAAACCACCCAGGGAGGACAAGCTCCCCGAAAGGGCCGACGACTCGGCTCGCGAGGCCCCCAAGAAGGGCAGGTAGAGGAGCCGCAGCAAATCGCAGGATCGGATTGCACAATCGCGCTCCTGGCCACAAACCTCGAGGGTAAAACCCGAAACGGGCCAACGCTACCTACGGCATAGGCAGCACCTCCATTATTATTATTATATCGTCTCGCTCCCCGGCCTCTCCCTTTTCGTCTGCCCTTTGTTCCTTTCCGTTCGCTTCGTCTTCTTCTCGTTGCCTCGGTTGCGTGTCTCAAGTCGGCGGCTTCTGCAGAGAGTCGCGGGCATCTGACGGTGATATAACCGCCAACCGCCCATGTAGTCGCCAGACCGACGGGCAGGTCACGCGTAGCAGTTGCGCCGAGTCCTGCACCGCGCACTCGCGTCTCTGGCAGAGTGCGGTAAAACCACCCGTAGGTGCACCAGACGGTCCGCGTGAGCACGCGACCTCTGGGGCAAGAGCCCACGTCGCGCGTGGGTATGGACGCGTGTCTACTGCTCAAGTAGGCGCGCATTCTCTGCGGTAGACGCTCGGGGTGCCGATGTGCGCATCGAGATATTTAATATCGGATCAATGCCGGGGACGCCCGTAGACTAGATAACCGCATGCCTCGCTCGGGTAAGAGTTTAGTAGTCGCCCCGTGGCGGGGGCCGGTTAGCTGCATTATTATGCGCCGACCTCCCGGCGCGGGGACGACATTCAAGGAAGTCAAGGCGAGACGATGTAGTTGCAACGACGACGACGACGACGGGCTGATGGTATGTTGTCTGCCGAATCAGTTGCCGGATTCATGCGGGACCTCATTACTCAGTTTCTACAGCCAGAGCAGATCAAAAACTAAGACGATACAAGCAAAAGGAGCGCCCTGAGAATAATCCAGCCGTGCTCCGGCCGCGCACCAGCGAGCCGAGAGCAGGTGTCCCGCTGCGGCCAGGTCCGTCATATACAGTTATATCTATCTATCTGGGGTGGGCCCATTCTGCTGATGCCCATGTAGTTGTCGCAAACTGCGAGTCGTCTCGTCTCTCATCTCATATCTCATTCGCGTACAGGAGATGGCCTCGTGAATTCAGGACCATATTCGGAAAGCAGAGAAAAAGAAACTCCCGACTCAGGAGACATACTCGTGTTGTCCTCCCTCCCTCAAGGCCCGGATGCGGGCAACCAGCGACAAATCTCCCGCCCGTGTCTTCCTCCACCTAACAAGGTACGAAAACGTCCTCGAGGTGAATGTATGTACGATTAAACCTCCCAACGCCGGTGTGTTTGCATGTCTGTGTAGCCCTGGTCCTATCCCCGATACAAAGACGACGAAAAAGAAATAGAAAAACAGAAAACTCCGACAACGATGCAGATACGCGGGGTGGGGTATTATCGTAAACCAGCAGCAACAAAGGCAATTTGAAAACAAGGAGAAAAAAACCGAGAGGAGGAGGAGGAGGGGGGAAGACCCGGAGGGTTGAGGGAGCCGGAGGGGAGGGTTAGTCCTATCATGCGCATCGTGGCAGCACACCCCGGCCCGCCCTTAGTCTTCGGAAGAGTCGCCACCTACGACGGGGTCGTTGGCGCCGACGAGACGGAGGCCGGCGCGGCCCTCGAGGTGCTCGCGTAGCTCCTGCATCTGCTCCATCATGGCGATCTGCTGGCGCTTCTGGGCCTCGACCTGGCTGCGCAGGTGCTGGTTCTCCATCTGTAGGCGCTTCACCTGGTCGTGCAGGTCCGTGTCGGCCTTGCGCTTCTCGCCCGTCTTCTCGCTACCGGCTGCGACTCCGACCCCGCCGGGAGAGGGAGCGGGAGCGCCGCCGTTGACAGCAACGACGGCAGGAGCCGGCGTCTCGAGAGCGCGTAGGGCGACGAACTCGTCGGGCTCGCCCTCGACCGACGGCGGGCCGCTATTGCCAGGCGTGTGGACCCGGCGGAGGTGCTCGTTGAGGTTCTCGAGGCGCGAGAAGCCCTTGCCGGTGTGGCGCTTGCAGTTCAGGTGCGGGCAGTTCAGCGGGTTCTTGGGGCCGCCGTGCTTGCCGTGGACCTCGCGCTCGTGCCGGAGGAGACCACCCGAGTACGTAAAGCCGGGCAGGTTCTCGCAGCCCTCGGCCGGGCACTTGTAGGGGCGGTCGTGCTTGTCCATATGTTTACTAGAAGAGAGGCAGTTAGACACGGTGTTGCAGCGCCGGTTGGAGAACAAGAAATCAAGCAACGAATTTGTCGGCCGACTTACCTCCACTCGCACTTTCGGCCGAACTGTTTAACCGGCTCGGTGCATCCAGGGAACGTGCAGCAGTACTTGCCGTCGAGATTCTTGGTTGCCTGGCGTTGTGGTTTGGCGATGGGTCGCATGCGCAAGGGCGACGCCGGATCAGTTTCGGCTCGGGCGGGTGGTGACAGACGTCGCTCGGGAGTCTGAGGCATGTTCATTATGCCGGAGGAGTCTGGGGAGGCAGGCAGCATAGGATTTTCGTCGGAGGGGAACCCGATAAGGTCGGGTACCACATTAGGAGAGAAGCGCCGGTCTCCATCCTCCACGAGGTCGCCATCATCAACGACCGTCGAGTACGGATCGTTACGCAGGGCCGATCGGTTCTCGAATACGACGCTCATCTTGAAGCGATAGCCGGGGAGCGTCTGGTTGTGCGGCCGGTTCGTGCCGAAGGTCTGGAGGAAGTACAGGCGGAGGCGATCGTTGAATCGGTGGCGCTGGGGAACGGTATATCGGCGGCACAGGCCGTGAGGGTCCCCCACAGGAGACGTGAAGGCGAAACCGTACTCGATGCCCTTTTTCTGAAGGGCTTCTTGGATGGCGAGGATGTGGCTGGCAACTTCGCTTTGACCTAGGATGGGGAGAGATGGAAGAAAGAAATGTCAGTGCCGGCCCAATACAATAAAAGCTGTGTACAAGAGGGAGCCGTTAGAAAGTCTGGAGAAGGATGGATAGATGGATGGATGGGCTGGAGGTAGAAGGGATTCGGGATGTCGGCGATTGGTCAGCAAGCTTGTAGCCCAGCCACAGATGGGGCTTGGTCGGCTGCCCTCGCCACAGCCCTGTGCACAACCTCCTGCACAACCTCCTGCACAAGCCCAAGATCTTGCACAAGCCTGAGAGGGGGAAGTACCTAGGTACTTAGCAGCCGTAGCGGGCAAGCGGCGGTGGGGCTTGGCGAGGCGGAAAAATTGCACAACTCAATATGAATTTCACAACTCCCTCCTCTTCTGGCCTTCTTCTGACTCCTCCCTCCTTTTTCTACTCACCTCGTACTTCGTCGGCAGCAGGCCACACTTCGACTGCGTATGTCCAGTTGCTGTGATCGTGCAAGTTGCCTGGCCTCCGCTCGAGCTGCATTTTCGGCTGGGGCACTGCCATTTTTTATATTAGCGAAAGGCCCATCGCCGTGGCAGGCCGACGTGACTCCTTTTCGCCGCGAGGCGGTGCTTCAGCGACTAGGCAGCGTCTTCCTCCCCCAGCTTCGTCACCCGGCTTCGTCCCCCCCCAACAGCTCGTGGCATGACTCACCTAGAAATTGATCACCCCCGTCCAATCGACGCTCTAGTTCCCGACCTGCCGGATTGACATTCTGCTGAGCTATCCCTGGCGATGTCTGCTGTATCTGCGCCTGCTCGGGATACGCATACGGAAATAGCGCCTGTTGCACGCCCTGTAGTGCCAGCTCTGGCCCTCCAGGCATCGCTGTCGGCATCGTGAACGCCTCTGCCTCGTCCCAGAGCATGTCGCCGTTGCCCTGGCCAAAGTACCACCCCTCAGCTGCTGAGCTGACGAAGCCGTCCTGTGCCATCTCGGCCCCTGCTGCCTGCTCTTCCTGGGGTGCTATCTTCCAATCGAAGTAGTCGTCCTCCATCGCCGTCCAAAGAGATTGGCTATCGGCCATGACCCCGATGGAGACTGCGAGTCACCAACGCTCCTTTCGGCCAGATAGGACCAGGTGACGTTGGACGAACCGCCGAAGTAGGCAATACGAGGCGCGGGCGTTGCCCTGACTGTCTGACTTATAGATCCAGTGTTGCCTCTTTGAAAGTGCGACGCTCTGCTAGAGCCAGGTGATAAAAATAGCTAAAGATATGCGTCTAACGTTCAAGAGCTTGACTTCCTCGTCGGTGTAATTGTGTAGCGGCTGTATATCTACAAGTGTACAGACGATGCAACATCTTTGACTCGGTCGAGGGTGTTTTGAGTCTTCAGAGGAAGTTGTCTGATGCCTTAATAACTATTCCGGCACGATCAAAGATCTAAACATCGAGAACGGGCCCGGGGCAGCGACGCAATACGCCAGCCGCGCCTAGCATCAAGGCCACCAATTCCATGGCCATCGGGTGCCTAGTCTTATTAACCACTCTTCTCTCGAAAGAACGAGCGCAGCTCTCTCGAGTCCGTAGGCAGAATCAAGAGTCGAGTGCAGATATTCTAGAACAATCAGGATTGGGCCCTAGATATCTTCTAGGAACCACCTCTCACAAAGCCATGCCTAAGAGCTAGGACTCAAGACCTCATGGCGCACCTAAAAGGCTGCTCTGATAACACTCATATTAGGTCATTCGTGCATTCTCTTCTAAGGGGTGCTGGAGATAGCGTCTTTTATAGGTCCCGGGTCCATTCCTCTGACAACACAACTCATTTCCAAGTTACATATCCCGAGCGGCGATGCTGGGAACGCAGGGAGAGCGCGGAAGATAATATCGCACCCCTCTCTACTTGGCTGTAATGTGACCATGCAACTGGGGGATATGCTGGATACAGGTTGAGTCATGCATGCTTAGGATTGATCCTACGAGTTTCTTAAGCATTTGCCTCCATGGGCTCCGGAGTAAATGTAGTTACTCATCCCCTCCCAGCGGGGGCAGCCTACAAGACTGACGGGCCTGGATGTTTAACCGTCAGCCACACACGGATAGGCAGACAACTTAGGACACTGGACGGTCCAGAGGTCTTCCACATAGCCGATGGCTTTGTTATATGCAGGAACGGAAAGAGGGATAACATGCTTATCTCTGTATTTCAACCAAGTTGATCGCATCGACTCTAGGCAGCCAGACGTAAGCAGCCTATGACTGAGTGCTCTCCCTCACTCCCAACTATGCCACGTATTTCGTTAAAAAATATAAATCTAGTGGATAATGGGCGAGCAAGCCAAACGTAAACACCAGGATCAGGGGTCAAAGAAGACGTACCAGGAGGGATACAATAGAAGTGTGCGAATCGTTTCTTCAAATATCGCATTGTTCGCCTGCAGCACATAAGGGACTTCAATACCACTACTCACAGACGCCAGGCTACTTTCAAAATCTATCCATTCTTGGAATAGCAGAGCAACGGAACTCGCAGCAAATTTGAGAACATGGCACTTGACGAGATACTAGAACTAGTCCTTCTCCTGGTCAAGTTTCTGGCTACTTGGTCTTTGATGATGACCGTCTTTGCTCTCGCCTTCTTCTGGTGTCAGATTCTGGAGTGTACCATTGAACTCCTAAAAGTTCTTTTCGTTATTGGGATTTGTTGTCTGTTGATGGTAAATCCCTTGTTGCTGGTCATCGCCATAGCGCTCTACGTTAGTAGACACTATTGCTGCTGGATGTTCACTTTCTCAAGGCTTCGCTTTATTGATGAGCGTACCGCACCAAAGGCTTGTTAGTAAGTAACTCATTCGTTTAGTCGAAGTGGCAGTAATACTACAATTCCTTAGATATTACTTCAGTAGCACAGAAGCTGCTCCCCAAGACCATCTAATGTTACCCATATAACTATTCCCTACTATTATGTACGAAACCATCTCGCTGGCTGACGTGACTCCTCAAACCCAAACCAGATACCTACATAAACAAAGACCCCAGGCTTAAAGGAATTTATGTCTACCAACAAGGAACAATGTTCCTGTTAGCTGTCGCCATAATAGCATTGTCCTTCAGCATCGAGTTCTTTGTCTCCTTGTCGAGACAAAAGAGCGGCTGCAGGACGCTCTCACAGGACTAGAACGGACGCTATAATAACTCGGGTGGGAGGCCATTTTGTGGCAAGGTCTATGAGGAACCATCACTGGCAAATTCCAGACTACATACACATTGGCATTATCGTAACCATCACAGCAAAGCCAGCCTAGCGGAACCATCCCTGTGGGTTATACACGCCGTTGCAACTAATACTTGCCATGGCGTCTTCCGTTTCGCTAGCTGCTGCTAAAGCGTACGCATCCGTGGCGGCGGTATTTTCGAGGTACACAGAGCACCTAAGCTCGCTGGGCAGCAACCCTACACTAACCGCTATTATTGCCACCATCGCGAACTCGACCACGATCTGCGTCGGGCTCTGGCTGTGGTTTAAATACTACCGGCCCCGGGCGGGCACCACCGACCGCGCCGGCGGCTCTCCCACCACCGCCAGCACCGCAACGGACGTAGTCTCGGTGACCTCGCGGACAACCTTCGGCAGCGAAGGGGTGACGACGACGACGACGACGTCGCTGACGTGCGGCGACGACACGAGCGAGTCGTCGACCACGACGTGGACGCAGCCGGGGGGGCTCCTCGCGAACGACAGCGCCTGCCTGGGCTTGCTGCAGGCCGTCCAGGGCCGGGTCGGCGACTTCTCGCGTGCCATGATGTTCACCGACATGATCCTCAGGTCCTGCACCGACCTGCAGATCGCCGCGCTCATGACCGACCCCGAGGCGCTGGCCCGCGCGCTCTACTACGCCGAGAGGCACGTCGAGAGGCAGCAACGATCTCAGTGAGTATTATTGAGCGCGATTTCCGAGCCGGCGTCGGCGTTTCCTGGTATCAGTACGCGCAGAGGGTTTCCTATCGAAGGCAGTTGGTTAGTTCTATTCTGGTTGTGGATTCTGCCAGGCTTAAGAGGAGCGGGTAAATGATCTAGGGGGACGTCTGGAAAGACATTTACGATCGTAGTTCGCTCAGTAGGTCGTGGTTTTCGGGGTTCGCCGAAACGGTAAGTCATGGACAACGTGATGAAGGTAAGTGGTTCACTACAACGACCTCTCGATGTGACACGAATAAATTAAATACTCTACACCTCCCTTTTGCAATGTCCCTCTACCTATGTTGAGAATCGTGACAGTGTTGCCATATACGGTTGTAGTTAACAATTTACGTAACTGCATTTGCTTGATTTGCGTCTCTCCATTGCCGCAATACCTAACCATCCAAGACTATCAGGCCAGATTGAAGATAAAAACTACGCCACGAATCGAAACAACCATAGGAGACGCTTTTCTAGGGAGAACAAATGTGCTAGATAGAAGTGAAGATTTCGGGTAGAGTTCTAACAAACTCGTCTGGGAACTTGATCGAATTCCGGTAGTAAGTAGATCTGTGAGGTAAGCAACGGAATAAAGGCCCAGCGACCACGAGACTCGCTTGCTACCCGCAGCTGAGGGTTGACAGAATAGAGATGCCGCCGAGATAGGTTTCTAGAGATATGCATCTGGAGCTCTCGGTCCGAGTTGAAGTGTACACGGGGCAAGTGTACACTAAAGTTCAGCTTGAGATCACCACATATCCACACAGACTGACCCCGAAGAGCCCGTGTTCTTCATCACACACAGCTTTTGCGAGCAGCTAGTGCCCATCAGCTCAGCAACGAAGGCGCGATTTTCCCACACTCGCAGCTGTGTAACGAATAGGGCATCGAGGCCATACCGTCCGCCATAATAGCGCGCTCCAGGAATATAGCGGCAACGACTAAAGGGATTATCTTCCTCGGCGTGCCCCATAATGGCAGCGAGATTCCCTTTGCCGTATCGTGCTTGGTCTGGCCGACTGTTCCTTTCGTGGCTCGTTGGCAGAGATTCTTCAGGGTACCTGATATACCTCGATTCAGAGTTCTAGGACACCGATGTGACCCCGTGACAGGTCGTAGAGATTCAGCGATATGCTTGGGACACCGTCTGAAAGGAGCCGGGAAACGGAGAGACGCCCGTCTTGAGATACGGTAGAATACGGATATCTCTCTTCTCTCTCTCTCTCTCTCTCTCTCTGCCTCCGATTGAAGTGAATCCCTATAATAGAGGCACAGAGCTAGGTAAAGTAGCTCAACTGTCTATCTCCCCCGTCTGTGGCTCTTAGCTCCGCCACGGTAGATTGATTGCTCGATCTCCGCGCTGGCCTGCGCTTGAACACATTCTAGCCCCTTTGACGCCAACTTTGAGACATTACCAATGGCCATCGGGTAGACGTAAAGTCGCGCACTGTCGCTCGCCACCAGAGGGTAAATCCCACCCTCCAGTGATTCGCGTCTGTCTCCGTAGCCGCGTCCCCCCATCCCTGGGTCTTATCGTACACGGGGCGCGAAAGATTAGTCGTCGTTTGTAGTCAAGGACCGTTTTCCTTCTTTTCAGGACGTTGATAACGGATTCACCGCTATTTAGACGCCGTCGGGTACCGTAAGGGTGGCGACAACCCAGGGGACTGCCCGGTGGCGGGTAGCCGACCGGATCGCCGGAAGCCCTGACGGGGGGCGATGCCACCCACGTGTGGCTTGATATCTCCCGAGTAGCCCTGACGGGAATAGATGGCGCCATATCGTACACATTACCTTATCGCGAAGTCATACACCTGCCGTAATAACCGGTAATATTAGTAAAGATAGGTAATGCCTGTCCGTGTTTAGCGAAGCCTCGAAGTAACGCTGTCTGTTCACGATATATGACGCGAGAGCAGCAAGGGACGGCCCAGGCAGTCCTGTTTCCTCCGTAATGGAGGCTGCCCTGGCTGGGGGGCGAGGACCTCACCCGCGCGAGACAGGTCCATAGAGTATGGATAGAGAGAGGCCTAGGACCGGGATATTATCGGGGAAGCTAGATCCCGCCAAGACGACAGCAGTAGTAATTAAGACTGATTGCAATAGCAGGCCTCGGGTGCTTAGAAATATCCTCATAACCCAGACGGAGGGGAGTTCGGCGGGTAGAACTTCCAGATAGAGGTAGGCGGCGATAAGTCGAGGCAAAGCTCTGTTTATTATGACAGCTTAATATTCATCCCTCATCGCATCAACTCCTCATTGGACGATATAGTCAAGGATAACCAAACAGCTTCGTGTTAGTTATAGCTTCTTATCTAGTCTTATCTTGCCCTGAGCCTGATGTTACTTATCTCATCTCGTTGCCAAGCCGGAGACTGAGCGAGCCCCTGCTGCAGTATCGGCCTATCCCACCATGGGATCGCCCGCATGCACGCCTACAAGGCGTGCCAAAGCGGATACCTCGTCGGCAAAGAGCCGAAATAGAGAGCCGACGTCGAGGGTCGACATCCTTCACCCAGCGAGCTGGTGAACGCGAAAAAAGACCGGCGTAGCTCCGGTATAGTGCGGTTATTTGGGCTAGGTGGGACGACACCATCGAGTATCGTCGAAAGCCAAGCAATGGGATGGACTACGCGGCCGAAGAAATCGTATCGTAGGCACGCTGCCTCGCTGGGAGCGATTGCGTGCGCAACGACCCATCACCTATGACCGGAGAGGGGGAGAGGGAGAAGAGGGGCGAGGAGAAGCAGGAGGAGAGGAGGGCGGTTAGAGGACGGGTATAAGTTCTCCATGGATCCCACCAGGAGATGATCAACAGACCCCTCTGTCCGTACAGGTTCGATCCAGCAAATCGTTGCGCAATACCCCCCACGCGAACCATGACTCCCCGACTGGAAACGGCGGTAGCTGTGCTGCTGGCTGCCTCTGTCAGCGCCAGCGCACTGCCAGCTCTCGGGTTCGAGAGACAGTCGATGCTGTCCAAGTTCGTCGCGCGCAGCGGACTCTACAAGAACTCTTCGGCGGAAATCTGCTCGACGTGTTCGCTCTACGAGCCGGCGGAGACTGTAAGCGCACCCAAGTCCAACGTCTGGGCGCAGATATCTGCCGAGGACAACACGGCCGTCTGGAACTTCTTGCACGACCCGGCTACTGGTCTGAACTTGACCGATCCGGAAACGGCTGGGATTAACGACAACTACGTCTGGTTCATCGATACCGTGCCGGTGAACAAGACCGATGTCCTCCCCTACATCGACGGGTCAGGGCCAGCGCCGAGCTCTTATGCGCGAGTCATCATCTTCGAAGGTGGCAAGCTGGAGCCTGTGTCCCAGGAGTACATGGTCGGGCCCTTGCCCGTGTCCAGCCAGACCACCATCCAGAAACTCGACTATCTCTACAATGGCGGAAAGGGGGGCACCGTGCCGTTCAACGCTAGGTACTTCGACTCGAAACGGAGTAAAGCCTCGGACCCCTTGCTCGCCTCGGTGATGTCCAGCATCACCGACATCACTACCGCTCTGCTAGGGGGTGTCTTCCTGGGATCCGACCACCCGAACTCTACCCTGACTGATACTGGCACGAATCCCACTTCATTCGACGGTAGCCAGGCGTTCCAGATCGCCATGTTCAGGCGGCCCGGGCCGGCTACCTTTCTGCAGCCGCTGGACTTCTTCGTCTTGCTCGACATCACCGGCACTGACGCCTCGCTATACAAGCTCAAGGGCCTGGTGACGAACACGCGGTTCTTTCCGACGGTCGCCGACCTCCGCGCCGCCTTCGAGGCCGGCGAGCTGACCGAGGAGTTCTACCAGCCGGACAACTACGACTGGGCCCTGGTGAACCTCGACCCCGAGATGGGCGTGCGCGACCTCGAGGACAAGTTCGCGCCGCAGAGCGTCGAGCTCGGCGGCAAGCGCTACAAGCTCGACGGCGAGCAGAAGTACGTCGAGTACATGGGCTGGTCGTTCTACGTCGCGCACACGAGCACCCTCGGCGTCATGCTCTTCGACATCCGCTTCAAGGGCGAGCGCATCCTGTACGAGCTCTCGATGCAGGAGGCGGCGGCGCAGTACGGCGGCTTCCAGCCCAAGTCTGCCACGACGGTGTACCACGACACGTACTACCAGCTCGGCGCCCAGCTGTTCCCGCTCGTCGAGGGCTTCGACTGCCCCTTCGGCTCGACGTTCTGGGACGTCCCCATCCACTCGGGCAACGGGACGACGGTGAACCCCAACGCCATCTGCCTCTTCGAGTCCGACGCCGGCTACCCGCTCTCGCGCCACCGCGCCGGCGGCGGCTCCAGCGCCTACGGCTTCCAGAACCTCGGCGTCGTCAAGGCCTCGCTGCTGACGGTGCGCTCGATCGCGACGGTGGGCAACTACGACTACCTGTTCGACTACGCGTTCCACGTCGACGGGTCGCTCGAGATCACGGTGCGCGCGTCCGGCTACCTGCAGTCGTCCTTCTACTACCGGGACCAGGGCAAGTGGGGGCCGCGCATCCAGGAGGCGACGCAGGGGTCGCTGCACGACCACGTGCTGACGTGGAAGGCCGACTTCGACATCATCGACACGGCCAACAGCCTGCAGATAACGGAGCTGCGCGCGGTCAACACGACGCAGCCGTGGTGGCCGGAGCTCGGCACCTTCGAGCAGATCGAGCTGAACGCGTACAACGTCGAGACGGAGCGCGAGCTGTCGTGGGCGGAGAACGGGCAGGCGGCGTACTGCGTCAACCACGCGCGCGAGACGAACCGCTGGGGCGTGCCGCGCGGGTACCGCATCATACCGGGCAAGTCGCCGATCCGGCTGAGCACGCTGGCGTCGCCCTTCTCGCGGCGCAACTCGGCCTTCACGCACGCGCACCTGGGCGTGACGCGCCAGCACGACGCCGAGGTGTGGGCCAACAGCGTGCAGAACCTGAACCTGCCGTGGGCGCCGCAGCACGACTTCACACAGTTCTACGACGGCGAGGGCGTCGAGGACGCGGACCTGGTCATCTGGCTCAACCTCGGCATGCACCACTTCACCCGCAGCGAGGACATCCCCGTCACCCTCTACTCCGAGGCCGTCAGCAGTGTCATGTTCGCGCCCCAGAACTTCTTCGACCGCGCCCAGGACGGCGACATCCGCAACCGTCGCTGGTACGAGACCACCGACGACGACGCCACCACCCTCGCCAGCAACACCTTCGGCATCGACCTGCCGCAGTGCCGCGTCGAGCTGAAGGAGCCCGTCATTGCGCAGATCCTATAATAATTCTACTGTGAATGTTCGCCGCGACCGGGGGAGTGGAAGAAAGTGAGGAAGAGGAGGAGAGAGTAGGAAAGGGTAGCACGACGACGAGTAGATGAGTGAAATGAATGAACGAGATACCTAGATGAAAAATATTAGTGATAATGATATTACGAATACGATGATCTCGATTTTCATGCCGACCATTCCAATCCACGACGACAACGATGTGATTCCTGTGCCTTGCTTGTCTGCGCACTCGTCCCCTTCGCTTAGCCGTTGTCGCGTACGGAGTCGTGGGGGCCAAACAGCCTGTCCAATAGTCTGTCAGCGATCCCTGCCGGGCAATGGGTGCGCTGTGGTTCTGGAAATGAGGTCGACCAGGATAGCTAATAACTATTAACTGTCGCTGTTATTATTAGAAGTAGTCTTTGTGTACACAACACTTAGGCCTGGTCAACACTAGCTTGCTGGCCTGACTTCTCATGAGATCTCTAGTTTCTCCCGATGGAAAGGGGGAAAGGAGGGAGGGAGAAATGTCTGTATGGGAACCGCGATTCCCTTCAACTACCATTATGGCGATACAGACATGTTACCGTAGTCTACGTAGTTAGCTGCCGGCACTACCCGTAGGATCGCAACGAAACCAAGCTACGTTTACTTCTTGGCGGATAGTATCGTCGTCTTGTAGAGTCGAGATCAACGTGGCAATAGAAAACTTCTCCAACTCCCCTAGGTTCACCTATCTTTTATATCTTTTAGGGGGAACTGTAGGTGTCTGGGTAGGGCACCGGACTACATCCGGGGCACGGCGGGGGGTTATACGGCAAAACAGGGAGCGAGGCCTACTAGAAATCTGGCAGTATGGTAGTACTGGTCGCCGGACACGCTAGGACGCAATGCCCCCAAGGTATCCTGGGGCCGGGATGGTAGGTATGGTCAGCCCACAGCTATTAGGTACTTTTACCATTATAACCACCTCCACCAGAAAGGTAGGGTCAGAGCCACCATCTTGGAATGTTCGTCGCACTTCTTTTTGAGAGCAAATGCCATCTGGAAAATCGCTTGGATGAATCTCTCCTTAGCCTTATTGCATGGGGTTGGCTACCACGCCGCGCATGAGGATCGAGGCAACCCTCTAGTTTCCCGGAGGAACTCGGCCCAATCCCGACGATGGTATGTGCGGCTCGCTACCGATGAGAACGGGAGCCCGGTTCGCATGTAGTGGCAGCCTTGCTGTCACGCGCTTACCTTGCTCTCTCTCTCTCTCTCTATGCTCTCTGTTTATCAGTTTTCCTGTCTGTTAGCCGTTCCGTTAGCCGTGATAGGAAGAATGATCTAGCGGGCTCCCTTAAGAGTCGGGAGAGTGGGGAGAAAGGCAGCGAGCTCGACGATAACGTCAACACCCGCAACGGTGAAGGCGGTTATAGTAGCACTCGACGACAAGGAGTCTAGCGCTTATGTATCGATGCGCACATACGACGGCAACCGAGCGAATGCGCAGCGCAGCGTTTTTGGGGCGAGATATCTGCAGCCTCTCGGCCGTGAAATGCTGTTGGCTTATACTATAGGTGGGCAATATGAAGACTGCGGGTTGGTATGATCAGGTCCCGTACGAGACGATCGAATCGGGCAGGTCTGCGTCGGTAATATAGGTAGGAAGGTTAAATTGGCGCATCTAGGACTTCTACCGATGGCGCTCTCATCCCATCTATACGCAACCCGGCCGGTTACAGACGACCCTAGCAAGCTGGGTTCCTTCAGGGGTTGGGATTAAATACCACGTATTGGTGCTTGTTTACAGGCGGGGATACGCCGAACGACCTGCGTACAAACGTCCACAGCAGACCTAATTATAAATGAGCCCGCTGGCTTTCCTCGCGTGCAACATCTAGAGGAACCAGGCATCGTCAATCTCGAACTGAAAATGTCGAACTCGGTTCTACCTGAGGGTGGGGATATACCATGGTAATGAAGCTATTCCGACGTATAAATTGCTCATAAATTTATGCCGATACCCACGCGCATCAATTCCGACGCAGAATCTGGGTGCGATTGTTCCGTGTCTGCCTACTTGCTAGGTGCACTATGCTCCCGTGCGACGCGGGATACAACTCCGCAGTGCCTATAGTGTACGCGCCCAGATTATCAGCTGGCAGAGAGCTGCCTACATAGGGTATGTGATGAGCGAAGAGAAGAGGGACCTTTCTCCATCCCCTATTTTTAACCGGAGGGGGAGGAAGGATCGTAGTCAAATCGGGCCCCTTTTCGGAACGCAGGGAACTCTTCGCAAGCGGGCGTATCCATATGTGGATGGGGCGCATCATAGATAGCGACCCAATCTCTTTCAACCTTGGTACTCCGCTGTCTGGCGCGGTTGCATTCCCCCGTCCGCCTCGTGAGGCTCGTTGGGTCAGCTCGCTGGGGTTTCGAGAAATCCTGCCAGGCTTCGAGTCGTTTCAAAGGTCTTCCTATTTAAAACATCGACGCCATAGATGCTGCCGCTCCCCCTTCTATGACGAAAATAAGTGCTACTTCGGGCCATGTTTGTCTCACTGCGCTCCCTGCGCTCGTTGCTTGGGCCGCAACGATGGGTAGCGGTGCCGACATCCGCGCTGGTGAGATCGACACCGCAAAGCAAGCCTCGCTTGGCAGGGGATGCCGATCCTATCTAGCCGTTTTTGTGCATGCCGAGACCTCGAATCGGGGGAGTAAGATTTGGGTGGACCCTGGCGCGCGCAGGCTTGGGACGAGTGTCTTGGCGACCTTCTCATGCTGTGCGTCGATAGACACAGTATCAGGCAATAGACCCAGCAGGTAGGACTCTGCGAGCTGTTGAAATAACAACTCTGCGAGGCCCACGCCTCTGGGGGAGGAGCTGACTTAAACATTGTGTTTTGTTTTTCCTCCGTGTTCAACAAGGGCACATTTGGAATGTAATCAGGGTCGTTTTCCCCTTCATCATATCGGACAGGCCACCAAGGGAAACGAGCGAAGCAGAGCCATGACGTGGGTACCTCTAGAGAAGGCCGCCGGGCAATCATCCACGGAGCTATTACTATCGTCGGGAACGTCGCGAGCAGGCTTTCTGCGCACCAAGAAAGCAATCGCCATTTTCGTCGGGGTAGGATGTGTTATCGTTCTCGCGATCGGTGAGTCGTCTCAAGCCTAGAAGACGGGGAGAGCTTTTGACAGTGCACTAACACACAGAAATCTAGTCCTGGGAGTGGTAGGCGTAACTCAAGCGAATAGGGTTAATTCCTCGTCTGGGGAATCCGAAGCCGAGAAACAACTCGTCGGCGTCTCGTCATCATCGGTGTCTCCAGAGAAGGCCAGTACGGCAGCAACGTCGACAACGGGAACGGCGCTAAATGCAGTCCTTCCAGAAGCCTCGTCGTCGCTTTTGTCAACGTCAACGTTTAAGACGCAGACGACGAGCACCCACCCATCCGTAAAGACATCGACATTTACAACATCGACAACGACATCGACCACATCATTTGCGACAGGCTCCATCGACGTCCCCCTGCGGATTATGGCCCTCGGCGCCTCCATCGTGAAGGGCGAGACTTCCCCAGGCTATCTGGGGTTCCGGAAGCCTATGCGGGACCAGCTGGTTGACTTGGGCTGCACCGTGAACATGGTGGGCTCCGTGCGGCTGGGCGACTTCGTCGATAACGACGTCGAGGCGTACGGTGGCAAGAAGATCAAGGAGATGCACAACTTCGCCAAGAAGGCCGTGCCGCGGACGTTGCCTAACGTCTTTCTAATCAACCTCGGGACCAATAATCTGCTGCAAAACAAGGATGTCGATAAGGTCGGCTCACAGATGGAGGAGATGATCGAGTATCTCCTGACAGCCTCAGACCGGTCCACCGTCATTCTGAGCACGATGCTGACCAATAAGGTCGGCAACCTCGAGCCCAGCGTTCTCGACATGAACCGCCAGTACCGTGACATGGCGAAGAAATTGGTGGCGGCCGGCAAACCAGTAGTCCTGGCCGAAATGCACCCTAGCGAGGGCGTGCCAGGGGTTCCGACGGCCGACGAGATCGGCCCCGACGGCTCGCACCCTACCGTCCAGGGCTACGAGACCATGGCCCGCGTCTTCGTCAGAGCAATCCAAGAGGCCGCCGCTAAGGGATTGCTTCAAAAACCCGCCGATAACGGAGTCCCGGCGGATGGGGACGCCGAGAGAAAGGGGTCCGGTCGTTGAATAACGACAAAATCCACAGTCGAACATATCGCGCCCGCACGCATACACACACCTATATATATATACATATACATATAGTCGGCGGGTGTCTTTGAATGAGGGCCGGGAGACTTCCGGCCGCCGCAGCCGTTGGGAGCTCGGGGCACAAGCAACCATGACACGAAAAGGAGACGTGGGATAACGACCATGAGAACTACCGATTTGAACGTCGGGACCTTGGCCGCCGCCGCCGCCGAGAGGTAGCTTGGACTTTCGCTTGGGCAACGACGTCCTACTATTCGCTTCAAGGCACGGTGAAGTCCAACGCAGAGCTTCTAGGCTCAGCAATGAGCAACAATGGGTGTCGTCCCGGGAGGCCCCTTGATCGATGAATAGGAGCCTCCGACGGATGGGGTTGGATAAAGCGCCGGAATAGCCGGCCTTCGGCAACAGCCGTCTTGGCTGGTACTATTGTCGCCACGAAGTTGTCATCAACTTACGTGCGACGCCTAATTAAATACCCCTTCTGCTTCCATCCTGGAAGCGGTTATAACTCTTGAATGAGACATCCATACTTACTACTATATCGTGCAGCACGCGTATATTCGATTACGGGTGATTGATTCGGTAGGGTCCTCGCAGTGGGCTTAAGATCGTAGTGAGGCACTACGTGTGTCGGCAGATAAGAGGAAGGGTTTTGGTTGGCGTGAAGCGCGTGAATCAGACAGCCCACGTTACGCGACTCCAAGCTCGAGAAGGGCCCTGGCACGACTTCCTGGGATCAACATTGACGAGGATAACCGAGAGATAGTCTTAGCCGGCTTTGGAGATGGCCCTAAAGGGTCGACATGATAGACGGCTAAACCCCGCATCGCCCGATGGTGACGCTCTGGGATCGAATCACAGAGGCACAAGGGGAGACCTTGTCGCGTCGTGTCGCTGCGTTGTAGCTGGCAATAGGCAATCGCCTCCTAGAGAATATTTGTCGGTAACTTGATTGCGAACGGACTGCTGCACCGAGGCGGATAAATTCGAGGCATTTGCGCAGAAATAAAAAGAAATTTCCGGAGGGCCGCCACTGACAACAACATGGTCAGCGAGCAGGGCGCGATCCCGGTCGTGGACTTCAGCGCGTGGTCGCACGGCTCGGCGAGCGACAAGAAGCGCATTGCCCAAGAATTGACCGACGCATGTCGTCGAGTCGGCTTCGTGTATATCGTCAACCACGGCGTATCTAACGACGTCCTCGAAGAAGCATTCGGGTGGTCCAAGAAGCTCTTCGACCTACCGGAGGAAAAGAAGATGCTGGCACCTCATCCACCAGGTTAGTAGTTAGTTCCAGACCCGCCCTCAGTTCGAGGTGACAACGCTGACCAAGGCGTCCGATTTTCCACCCGTATGGTAGGCCCCAGTGTTCACCGCGGATATTCGTGGCCAGGCCTGGAAAAGGTGTCGCAAGATATCATCCGTGAGGGGGACGGGCGGAAAGAAGCCGAGAATCGGAAAATTGCAGACTTCAAAGTCCGTACCCTCCGATTCTAGCCACTTGCTCCGAGTATTTGGGTTGACCTAACTGTTCCCTCCTTGGTTCGCAGGAGAGTTACGAGATCGGGAGCGAGCACTCCCAGCTGCAGCCGAACATCTGGCTACCGGAAGATATCCTCCCCGGCTTCCGTGAATTCATGACGCGGTTCTATTGGAAATGCTTCGGGGCGGGGAAGGAATTGCTGCGCGCTCTGGCACTCGGCATAGGTATCGAAGACGAAGACTTCTTCCTGTCCTTCCACAGCGGCGGGAACAACCAACTACGGCTGCTGCATTATCCGCCGGTCGAGGTAGAGAGGCTGTCCAGCAACGTTGTCGCTCGGATGCCGGCTCACTCGGACTGGGGGACTATCACGATGTTGTTTCAGGACGAGTGCGGAGGCTTGCAAGTCGAGCACCCCGGCAAACCGGGCCACTTTGTCGACGCGATGCCGATGAAGAACGCGGTGGTGATGAACGTGGGCGACTTGTTGATGAGGTGGAGCAATGGTGAGTTAGACTAGAGCCAAAGTCATGCCCTCCCCCCGATCGGGTGTCGCATCATGTGTCCCTCGAAGCGAACCGTTAACGGAAGAGTGTAAACAGATTTCTTGAAGTCGACGCTCCACCGTGTTACCTTACCACCAGCTCCCGGTCGGGGGCAGGCGGAAGGGGTGCCGATGACCAAGCCGCGATACTCGATCCCATACTTCGTGTCGCCGGATCCGCAGGCCGTGATCGAGTGTCTACCTGTCTGCACCGACGAGAAGCACCCGGCCAAGTACGAGCCAGTTACGCAGGAGGAGTACAGGCGGATGAGAGGGAGGGGGCAATACGAGGAGGTCCCGGTAGCGTCCTAGGGGGTTATCTAGAGAGGTAAAGCCATACTTGGATGTTACGGAATGGGGGAGACGAGGCAGAGAGGGACGGATGGATTTGGATGCCATCATCATGGTAGGTATGCTGCAGGTACCTAGGTACCTACCTGTTGGTCGAGGCCGTGCATACGCAGATGTACCGAAGTATACTAACTACCTAATCAGATACCCTAATCGTGCCTACATGCAATAAAACTAACGGGTATTGCTGCAGACGGCCGCTTAACCTCTTTAACGGCAATCTTTTCCATTCAGTATAGAAATAGAAACACGTAAATAACCCATCTTAGGTACCTAAGCACCCATTGTTTCCGTCGCCCATCGATCGACGTTCCTTACCACAGGTGCCCACCTACCTAGGTACCTAGGCACATGCTCAGCAGGTGGTAAGTATATATATGCCTGGCTAAAGTAGAGCCAGGGCTAATCCAAGTGGATTCGAGGTGGAATTCCGCCCGCGCCCCCGGTTACCTGCCAGGTATAGGCAAAGGGGTCTTCGTGGTTGAATTCGTCGTCCAGGTACCTCCAAGATCGGTTTTACCATCCAGAATCGGAATAGGAATCTAACCTAAGCCACGCCGCTTTTAGCCTAAGCCTAAACCTAAGTCTGGCTTAATAAGACCCGCTTTTCATAACCTAATATAAATAAACTTATATAATTTCTAAATACGTATTACCGTAATTACGCTAAAAAGACCGTTTAATATAAAATAAACTTTAGTATGTAAGCTTAACCCCCTTCTACGGACTATCCCTTCGCGGACTACCTAAAAAATCCTTACTATTACTACTACTACGTAAGTAATTAAAGCTATTTAGATTATTAAAACTAATTAAAACCTTCCGATTACGGCGTTATTACTTTAATATAATCCTCCGCTTACGATCCTTCGTTTTTAGTCGTTTCCTGCGCCGTTTCTTATTCGTTAGGTACCTTCTCGTCGCTTGCTTCGTCCTTATATACGATCCTGCCTTTTAACGACCTTTTCGCTTACCGTATATTAGCCATACGTACGAAGCGCTTACCTAGCGCCGGGAGGACCTTCCGACGGGTCTTAGGAGTATTACTATAGCCTAGTACCGATCGAACTAAATTATAGCTATAAATAACTATAATTAATTAATCGGCTAGCTAAAAACGGTAGCTAGGAAAAGGAAAAACTAATAGAAATGGATAGAGATAGCGAATAAAGGCATAATAAGAAACGAGTAAAGAGCTATAGATCCTAATATCTATAAGTTTAAGTTTAATCGATAAAAAGATAAGTATAAGACCTATATAAATATATATTTAAAAGGCTACGTAGCTTAGTTCTACCGTATTATTATAATAATCGAAACTCTTAATATCTAGGATCGTATTACTTAAATCCTAGATTTCGAGGCTAATAAGACTTTATAATAGTAATATATTTTCCTTATCGGGGTTAGCTATACCGCGGCTATAAGATAAATCTAATTATATTTATAAAGGGTTATCGATTCCGTTAGTTTCCTAGATAAGTCGGCATTAGAGTACGTCGTCGCGTTAGTAGCTATATTATCCGACGCTTAACGTTATTTCTCTTTATATATTTTAAATAAGGTAGCATTACCTTCGTATTATTACCTTCGTACCTACGTTTAAAGTTACGCTACCTTAATTACCCCTAGTTACGGCAAAAGAATAGACTTAAGTTTATTAATTTACTATTACTACTAACGGATTAGTTTAAGCTTCGTAAAGAATTTTCCGTATCCGTAAATATAGTAATTTATTTTCCTACTTTTAACTTTAACCGTTAGGAAATACTATATCGCGTAACTTAATTACGCAAGGGATTAGCGATTAATAATACGAAGTAAAGTATACCGATATAGTCTTATGGAAGGCCTTTTTAGCTATTATTCCTCGCTTTAAGGTAATAAGCTCTTCTATATCTATATAATTCTATTTATTATATCGAGGAATGCTTTAGTTATTACCTTATCCGTTATAATGGATGTAAATCTAAAAGAGAACCTAAAAAAAGGACTCGAGGTTATCTATAAAGGAATAGTCGTCGCCGGAGAGGATCCCGATTACTATAAAAGCCCTCGTACCGGTTATTTCTTTAGTACTTAATACTTATAATCGATCGGTCTTAATAGCGAGATCGAGATTAATTAAAAACAAAGGCTAAGAAAGGTTCTCTTTATCCTTATTAATTATAAGATTATTAATTAAGATATCCCGATAAAGAATATTAGCCTTATATAAAGACTCGTATCCTTTAATATATCCTTTTAACGCCTTAAGTAAGGCTACTTATAAGCTTACCTTATAGATTAGCTTCCCGTAATCGCGTAAAATAATGCGTCGGTAAACCCGGTTTAGGAGTAGACTTTTAGGTTTTATAGGAAACGCCGAACCCGAACTTAAACGGGACTTTTTACCGGGCGGGAGAGGGGCGCTAACTTAATAGGATAAGCGTTTAAGGCTCGTAGAACTTAGGCGTAATCGAGAAAACTAGGCTAGGCGTTCTTAGCTATAGTTATTAGCCTTTATAACGTTTAATCCTTTACGAATATAGCCTTAAATATCGTCGTTATTATATCCTATATAAACCGTCGTATAGGCGTAATACCGCGCGATATTTTTCACGCGTTTCTCTATTATTATTTTAAGTAATTTACCTTCGTCGTTACGTTTTAGAAATTACTATAAGTCCTTAATAATAAGCGGTATTATTTTATTTCCTTCGGGGTATGCTTTCTAGTAGGTAGTTATACGGCTTATTATACCTAGTATCCGCCTTATAAGACTATCGATTATGATACGCTTTATCGTATTATTTCGCTTAATATCGATATATTAGTAGTAATTTAATTTTATTATAGTAGGATCGAAGCCGAACGATTAATCGTTTATTTAAAGGAAACTAAGGATAGTTAATATAAATAGCTACCTTATGTTATAAATATCGAATTTCTTAGATACGATAACGCTAAGCCGGTCGAATTCCTAAAGCCGTATTTAACGTTTATATAAGGTAAAGGCTAAAATAAAGCGGCGAATAGGTTAAGAAATAAATACTTCTTTCGCGAATCTTCCTAAAGTAAGCCGCGCCTTAGAATCTATGTCTTTTTTAGGATTACTCTTTAGTTCCTTAGGTATTAAGATATATAATTAATCGTTCCCTACCGTCGGGTTATCCATAAAGATAAAATCGGGTTTCCGCTTCGTAACCGAGCCATGAAGCGGTTTATTAAGGTAAGCTAACGGCTTCCGTATTATTTTCGGCCTATAGTTCTACGCTTACCGGATAATTTAATTATATAAATCGGTTAGTTAAGTAATAACGTCGTTCTAGTTAGTATCCTCTAGCTATTTAATCTAACGACCTTTTCTATAGCGTAATAATATCTTATTAATATATTTCTAAAAGATATCTATAGATATTACCTCGAGATTTAGAATATTACCGAAAAGGGCTTCGTAAAAATTCGGAATATCGACGTATATAACGCTAAGTTTATTTCTAAGGACTTTATTTATATTAACGCATAATTTAGAGGAATTTATAAAGCTACTTGTTTTATATACCGATAGTATTTATAGGAAGAAGGAGACGGGTTTTCGCGGAAGGGTAGATTCGGTAACGGCGTAGTAGACTTATTCCTAGATTTCGATATCGGATCGGTAAATAAAGACGGCATTTAAAAAAGGCTTAATTCGGTTAAGGTAAACGGTATTAAAAGCGAGTACCGGAATAAGATTAAAGATATTTTAACGTAGGTTATTATAGCTTATTTAGGAAGGTAGATAACGGGAGGCTAGGTAGTTAAGGAATATAAAAAAAAGCGTAAGTATAATGGTTTAAAGATCTAAGTATATATTAAAATAGTCGATAGGAAGTAGGTAGTTCGTATTTACCTTTACGGTTAACTATATCGAGTTCGATAGGATTCTAAACGACTACGTTTAATAACGTACCGCTTAGAGGGTAATCCCGAATAATATCTAGCTAGTATTAATCCATCGTAACGAAAAAGTATATTTAGCGATAGTAATTAATAAGGAGAGTCGGTATAGCGCGTTATATATTCGGTCGGCGATATTTACGTTATTACGGATAACTATATTAATAGGTATACGGATTAAGTTAATATTTAATGAAGCGTTATCTTTTTTATCCCGCTATATAGACTATTATAGGCTTTATTTAGGCTATTAAAGCATAGGTTAATTATTAGGCATTAGTTTTAGGATAAAGTAAGGAATAGGCTATAGCTTCCTTATATGCGACTTCCTAGGAAGTCGCTCGGTTTCCGGGTAAAGGCTAAAGTAGGCTTAAGTAATTAAAGCGCTAACGAAAATATATACTTGCTATAAGTAAAATATACCGCGGCTATAGCTAAAATAACCGTAAGCGCTTTAAAGCCTAGCTATAAGTACTTTACCTTTATAATAATATTTTATATATCCCCGTTATCCCTTACCCTAAATAATTATTTATAGCGAATTAATATAGCGTCCTATTTTATTAGCTTTAAGAAGATTATCGCGAAGGATATAATAATTATCGCTAAGGTTTAGAAATACTTTTAAACGAAGTTATTATAGGTATATTTCTTATACTTCCTTTAAATCCCGTCGCTATAGTTAGTTAATGGATTTCTAGGTTAATTAGGAGTAGCTTACCGTTAAAGCCGGCTTCGAGGACGGTATTACGGCTAAAGCCTATTATAAGCTACCTTCCGATCTAAATAACCCCGGCGATACGCTAGGAAAGCGATAGTACTCTTATAACTAAGCCGTTTCGATACGATTAAAAACCGAAGATAGAAACGAATACTACCTTTATAACCGCTTTACGTCTTATTACTTATTTAACCTTAAGGATGGAAAGGGTTAAACTAATAGCTTAATATAAAAGGCTAAATTATAAAATGTATTAAAGGAATATCTTAAATAGTAAAGTCGCTTAAAGACGGCCGAGATATTACGTAATATTACGTAG